GTTTTGGATGGGTTTACCCGTAGGTAGTATGCTCTGTAGTATTCCGAAATGCTTGCAAGCGCTGTGTTGAGATGGAGTTCAACAGCTTCGAAGGTACAATGCTGGGCTGTGATGCAGTTGTCATCTGCAAAGATGAAGTGTCAAGTATTCTGAGTTGAGAGGATGTTAGCAGTGTTGATGTTGTAGAGTGTTGGCGCCAGGACGCCACCCTGGGGGAGACCGTTTTTCTGTTTCCGCCATCTGCTCTTCAGCCCATCAAGTTCGACAAAGAAACGTCTGTTCTGCATCATCTTCTAGATTAATCTGGTGACTTATCTTTATTCTTACACTCAATTATCTATGTTACACTATAATTGTGAAATTTGTTATCCAATGTATAAAGAAATTGAGAATGATCATATCTGTTTGGATTGAAATCAATAAAGTTTGAATTTGAATTTGAATTTATATATCGTTCTATCTATCTACCTATCTCTACATCTTCAGGGCGTGGGTAGGGGAGAGGTTGGAAGGAGGCTAAATCAATAATACATGAACGAAGAATCATCATGCTTCAAAGTTTTAAATGAAATTTGGTACCTCTCTCTCTCTCTCTCTCTCCTGCTGTTGTTATCTCTCTGTTTCTGAAAGTCTCTCTTACAAAAGATTTTATACGAGGAACTATAAATATTCCAATGAAACAAACAAATTTACCCCCCCCCCCCCCCATTAAAAAAGGTGTCAAAAAGGATGATTGTCGAGGTCAGTGTAGCAGACAGCCCACCATTAATATGGTATCGGGTTTAAATGATATCGTTTGAGACTGAAGCTAACAATATGTCATGCAATGGTTTAAAAATAGACCGTCCAGAATGTATTTTTTTTAAAGAACATTGATAGTAACAAAGAAAGTAACATACATACTGTAAAGGGCCCGTTTTATGATTTGAATGATGATGACTTTACGAACATGTTTTCAACAACATTGCATTAACAAAAAATTGATATAAATAAATGAAAAAGTACATTTAAACATCCTTTAGAATGTGTTAGAACCTTTTATTCATATTTTGTAATATGTCTATATGTACAGGAATAATAACATCTGAAATGAAAATAGCCAGCGTCGCTCCAATATACAAAAAAAGATGATGTAAAATTAAGTAATTATGGACCAATTTAAGTTTTACAATTTTTTTTTAATTTTTTTTTTTAGAACGAAATGTATATAATCGTTTGAATACATTGTTATTTGGTAATGCTATATTAAATTCTTGCTAATATGGATTTACAAAAAAATTTATTAACTGAAATGGCTCTAATTGATGTCCATGATTATAGGTCTTTTCTTAGATTTAAGCAAAGCCTTCGATTCTATAGATCACAATATTTTGTTAGATACATTTGTTACGGAGGTGTTGCTTACATATGGTCAGGGGCGTCGCTAGATGGGGTGTGGGACACTACGACACCCCCACCTATAATATGGTACCTCTCTCTCTCTCTCCCCCCTCTCTCTCTCTCTCTCTATCTCCCTCTCTCTCTCTTTTCTGCTTTATTTATCTCTGTTTCTGAAAGTCTCTCTTACTAAAGATTTTCTATGATGAACAACAAATATTCCAATGAAAAAAAAAAATTAAACGTGTTTTTTTTTTTATATATAAATCAAATCAAAAGGGACGAGTGTCGAATTCAGTTTAGCGGACAACCGACCGTTATTATGGTATCGGGTTCAAGTTATATCGTTTGAGACTCAAATGACAAATGAATCGTTTGAGTCTCAAACGATATCCAATGCACCTTTTATCCATTTGGAAGGGAAGTTGACATTGTAAAAATATTAGATTTTGTTTTCATTAGATCCTGACGTTGCTGACGAAATTAATTATAAATAGATTTTGAGCAAAATTAAGAAATTGTTATATCGGTGGAAACAAAGAGATCTGACTCTGATTGGAAAAATTCACTTGCTAAAAACATATGTATATTCAAATTTGATTTATGTTAGCATTTTGACTCCGGTGCCTGAACGGGTTTTCAAAGAAATTAATGAAATCTGCTTTAACTTTTTATGGCGAGGTTAGGACATGATAAAAGGAGTACTTTATATTATGATTACAAACAAGGAGGATTGAAAATGCTTAATTTTAGACTAGTTTTTTGTGAAGGTACAAAGGGTGATGTGGTTCAAAAGACTTGTAACTGGAGACCAGAAAGTGAAATCGGAAAAATACTTCCAATTTACACCGAGACCAATTGGAGGAAATTTATTTTTCTCTTGTAATTATTTACCTAACATGATCCACATACAGCTACCAAAATACTACCAGGAAATTATAAATATTTGGTTTGATATTTATTTATTAAAAAGGATGCATTTGAAGAAGATGAAAAAAATCTTCAATATAATAGGTATATTCATAAAAAAGGAAAAACATATTTTCATGAAAATATTTTCTGTAAAAATATCTATAAATTGTACCATATTATAGACGAAGTAGGAACATTGAAGTCAGATATTTATTTTAGATGTATGAGACTAGATGAAGAGGAAATAGCAATAATTAAAGAAATATATGCAGACCGCACGCCTGAAAAATGGAAAATCGATTTAAGAAAGCATACTTCAGTTGACGGAATAAAAATTGAATTTATGTTTTCAAAGAAAACTTTTTAATTTGAATCAGTTTATTCACAGAATGTATATAATGCGTGCATACAAAAAATGGTCGACACTCCTATTAGTTTTCATACCTAATTACAATCATCATAGAATATGTCGGTAGGAAAAATTTAAAAGGCTTCTCCTCCATCCTAGATTTAGCAAATTGGATAATAAATTGAGAGAATTTCAGTTTAAATTGATCTATAATATTATTTTTGTGAACCATCATTTATATAGGTTTTAATTCATATCAAACGATAAATGCCCATTTAGCCGTAAAGATGAGGAAACTTATAGTCATATATATTTTTTTAATGTGAAGTGGTAACAAATTATGGGAACGGTGTAGTAAAATCTTGGATCTTTTTTAAAGACATTTTTTTTAAAGACATGAGTTTGGAAGGAAGTTCACATTGGACTAAAGGAAACAACTGAAGATAGGCAAATAATTAATCATGTTGTTTTATTAATTAAATATTTGACATTCTTTACATATTATGTATATCAATTAAAATGAAGAAGTATGTTTTTTCATTTGTACTGAATGAGTGCAATATTAAAGAATGCTTCAAAACAAAACATAAACACCACGGCTCACCCTGACAAAACACAAATGAGATATATTTCACTATGTATCACAGAACCACAATATTGCACCATCGTCATGAACCATGAGGGCGACACACAAATAAAAAGTCATCATTCGGTGGAAAGAAAAATTTAAAAAGTCAATACATGTCATAATTGTTCTCGGTTTTGATAATTGGAAATTGTTTGGGAGAAGGGTGGAAGATCTATTTGTGAACAATATTTTCAATGAATACCCCAACCCTAGCTCCCTTTATTGTTTGTTTCCCCGTGCTTTAAGCTTTTCTGTTGAGGCGGAGGGGGGGGGGGGGGTGGGGTGTATATCTTCGTTCTTGCTTTATCTTGCTTAGCTTTTTCTTTCTCCATCGCCCTTTCTTTGATTCTCAATTCTCTTTGTAAGCCTGTACTAACTAAATTAACTGAATATACACAAATAGATTTCGATGCCTTATGTGACATATATAGTTAATAATAATGAAAATAGTAACTGTTATTATCGTAACTATATTTCTTATCATACTTATTTTGATGATGATGATGATTTTTAATATCATTACTATTATCATTATAATATTATTACTATTATGATCATCATCATTTTTATTATTATTCCTCTTTTCCCTTCTTCCCATTCCTTCTTTATTATGTTTACTGCTAACGAGGCACGTATCACTTGAGTATAGCTACGCCACTGGTTAGCCGCGGTTATGAATTTAGACGAATATTGGGGAGGGGGCTTAGAGGCTGGGGGCTTGGGGGCTTGGGGGTAATAGGGGTTCTTGCATATAATTTATAGTCATGTAGGTGTGCGCTTAAATTCATTTAATCCGTAGTTACAGAAAATGCGGGGGAGTGTTTGATGAAATAGGGTAGGGGAGGGGGGCTGGAATCCCAAGGCCCCCTTTAGAACCGTTGCTGCCACTGACTTGATTTGATTTCATTTTGACTTGATTTATTGGTTTCCTTTTTTTTTTTTTTTCATCATACATTTTCATGAACATTAGCGAACATTCAGTATCAACTCTCCTCTGTGACCGATGGTATATTCCTGCAATTCCTGATAGTGGATTTGTTCCTGCTTTCCAGATGCTGAGGTTATATATTTTGTTTGGCTTGTAGTTAAATACATGTATCACAATATACCTACTTGGCAGGAAAATTAACATCATGCGCTGGAGAAAAAAAGATCATCAATCTAGAATGAATCAGCCTGTCTACTTTAATTGCCTCGCGTGCCAAACTGACATTACTCTCATCGTTAGAAGGCCATTATAAGTACGAATAAATTGCGGCTAGATAATTATTTTTTCAACCGGATTATCGAGCTTGTGTTGTCCAAATGGGAGCAGCCCTCGTATACAGATCGAAATAGGCAAAGCGGGGTCATCACCCTTGACTCTGTTAACAAATAAAAGCCATTCTCAGCGAATTTAAATGTTTTTTCTCTCTTCTTGTGGGAAACTATTTCCGTTAGGATGTTGGTGATAGGAAGCAAGGTTATGGTCGTCAGACTAGTTCAGTCAAGGCATGATTGCTCCGGTATATATTTGTGCTTGATTCGATCCAAAGATTTGGTGACAAAGTTTAAAGGTGTACAAATTGTGGGTAAAGTTTATAGTAGCGGTAGATGTATCCCGACCTGCCTCACGATTTTTTTAAAAGCCATCGTCGTTTAAACAAAAAGTGGAAACAAAATTCTCACAAGTTCGTACAATATAATCAGGATCTGTAGATATGTGGGTACAACTTTTGATCATGTCTTCATCAAAAGTAGCTCGTCGCGCTGGTGAGCTGTAGTGTTTCAATTAATTGCATAACATTTGGCTTTCCGGATATGGGCAAAACAACAAGAGGAAAACAAAGAGAAGGATGTAGAAGAACTGTCGACGATAGGTGGTGTAGAAAGAGCTCCAGGATATATCTCAAAAGCCACCATTACTGCAAAAGATAAGACCGCCTATATCTAATCAGTCATCACTGACTTAATGACTTGTACTATTTTGTTAGCGGAAGCCAGTCACGACTTTTCTAGATGGGTACAGCCGCAATCCATCCATGTTTGTCACTTATCACAACTACGTAAACACGTACGGCATGCCTAAAGCCAGATCATTTTTCTTGGCCCACATTAACTTGCCTGTAGGATCGAGTTGAGAACCCGAAGCTACCAGGCCACGAATTCCATCACCTTCACATTTCCTAGAAACCCATCTACAAGGACTTGTGCTAGATGTGCATGTCGTCAACATTATACTAACTAGCTTTGTCTTCAATCGACATGACTGGAACTTTATACACACGGACTAAAATTTGCAGTCTTCTCTTTCTCACTGTGCTTTTAGAGGTAAGTACATCTTTAATATATACTTTTGAAGGTAGCTAATCCTATTTTTTCGCCAAGAGATATCTTTTCCCATGATCATGAATTGTACCCAGTTTTATGTTCCGTTTTTCGAGGTGTATAGGCCTGTATGACAATGATAATGATGTAACGTTTAGATAAGTGCTTCTAACAATTTCATTATACTCTTACTTTAGCTCAGGCTGCTGTTAATGATAATAACACTAATAACCATAATGATAATAATAACAATATTAATAAATATAAATTATGATTTCTATAGTTATTGTTTCTAAGCGTTGTACATCAACTGGTCAAAACAATCAAAAATATCTTACATAATTCAAGAAATTAACAATATAACAATATAAACTAAATTTACAAAGAACGTAGTATAAAAAAACCATAGGGAATTGACATAAATGAACAATATACCAAAATGTTGACAAAATACTACATGTATATAGAGACATATATTCTTAAAACTACCGTATAACGACAAAACATAATGATAGACGAATAAAAAGGCATATAGGAAGGTAAACAATATATGAATCAAGTAAGTTCACAGAATTATGTACAAGGTAACTACATGAGACAGTGTAACGCGCGGCATGGGCAGGTATTCTACCTATCTCTCGATTGAGTCGAACAAATCAACAACTATTTCATGGTGATCCCATCATCACCGCACTGGAAACAGCAAAGGTGGCTCTATGGTTAAAAATATAGCGACATCTATTACAAAGTTCTTGTTCTATTCCTCGAACTCACAGGCATCGGAAGTTAGTTTGTAATCGGAAGGTATACTGTAAGCCAGTAGACCTTCATCTACTTGTATGAGTCAGTTCGAGAGCATCATTAATTCATGACCCAAGCGACCCCTCGCTCCCCTCCCCTCTCCCCGACTTCACCTGCTCTCCTTCTACCATTTTAGATTCAATCTAATTCTGTTTCGGTTGTCAGAGAGAAGGTAAGTACAATTTCGAAGTTTAAAGACATCGTGAGTAGGTCCTATTGAAAATTAATTTTGAAGAAAAAAAACCTACCTCAATTTGTAAGGTAAATATCAAATACAAGACCTCATATTAACATTGCCCCATTATGGCGTTTATATCCGCTTAATATATGCTGAAGCAGGCGACTTTTTTTTTAACCCACACATTTGCGAAAGACAAGGAACATCTACCTACCCATTACCCATTTACATGGTTCAAAGAATTATAAGTAATAACTATTAAATGACGTACCCCTTTGTTTTTGTGAGAGCCTTCGGTCAAGCGAAGAGTTCTCAGCTATCACCTTGAGCTCTCTATTGTGTCTCTTGTCTATCACATAATGGTTAATAGAAGAATTCATGGAAGGAAAAAGGAAACGATTTAAAGCGGCTTAATGTATTTTCTTAAATGAGCGTCGTGTTCCTGTCCTGTCTGTCTTTATACCGACTACTGACCTACTTTTAAACTCTTAACCCCCCCCCCCGGCATTTATGGCGTATCCAGGAATCGACAAGCAGGGGGGGGGGGGGGTAACGAATGAATCGTGGCAGCTTCGCGTGTAGATTAAATATCACAAGCGTACTGATCGGAAATAATAATTATTGAAAATAAAATTCAAAGTAGTTAATTTCTAATTCGATACCAGAGATTTATAAATGTCGGGGTTTTTCCTCCTTTTTAAATAAATTATACTATTTGTTTCTTTTTTCTGCCCCAAAATTGTTGTGCCAATTACGCCACTGACCAACAGTGAGCGAGTACGCAGAGTGATTTACCTTAGGTCTCCAAACGGGAAGGGGTTGGGGGCTTCGCACATGACGTGATACACCGCTGAACAAGGGGGTCATTTTTTACCAAGTATTCACAATTAACTCATATGATGTCTTTTAATTGGACTTTAATGCTATGACTGGTTTTCGTCAGAGCACCCGAGCTGGGCATAAAGTGATGAATCACGGCATTTTTATGATTTGATATGAAACCATTATAATCTCCCAAGACTGCGCCAGCTCCTCAAATTTAGTCATCATTTACACATTGTTGAAGTAGGTTAGTTCAGGGGAATGTTTTGAGCTGGTCTCGGTGGCCAGTTTCTCAATGAAAAAATACAAGCGTTTGCAGAGCAGGGGAGCACTATAGAAAGAAAAAAAAGGAAAACAAGCATGATTGCCCAGAGTTAAGTGTTTTTTTTAAAAACCTTTAAGAGCTGGTAGAAGTGCTGTGATCTAATGGATAATTCAACGAAATGTGAAATACATAAAGGGGTTCAAATTCCTGCCACATTCCTGATTTATTGTTTTTCGGCAGTTCATCATTTACACATTGTTGAAGTAGGTTAGTTCAGGGGAATGTTTTGCGTTGGTCTTGGTGGCCAGTTTCTCAATGAAAAAAATACAAGCGTTTTCAGAGCAGGGGAGCACTATAGAAGAAAAAAAAAGGAAAACAAGCATGATTGCCCAGAGTTTAGTGTTTTTTTAAAAACCTTTAAGAGCTGGTAGAAGTGCTGTGATCTAATGGATAATTCAACGAAATGTGAAATACATAAAGGGGTTCAAATTTCTGCCACATTCCTGATTTTTTTTTTTCGGCAGTTCATTTTTCTACACTTGTCACTCCCCATTCAGGTGAAGTCAATGGGTAACTTGTATAATAAAACTCCTTGAATGATCGGATAGTAATCAACAATCATCATAATAATATTCTGTTCTTGTATATAGCATGTCCCGATGTGCTTCCAAAGAGCCTTTAGAAATTATTACTTTGGCTTTAGCTCCTAGAGGCGCTATTACTTTATAGTAGCAATTATGATTGCAGTGTCCTCAAGGAAAACAGTATCTGATGAGGCTTTATACCCAGGGGGTGTTTCACACAGATCCTAAGTTGGACTTAATAATTATGGAAAACCGAAAACTTAGATTTTTAATTCGAGGTGTGCGTCATATAACGCGTTTCGACCAAGGTTCAGACAAACCTTGGTCTGAAACGTTCAAAAGGCTCGTCATATGACTCACATAAACCTAGGTTTGTCGACGAACCTCCTTTGTGAATTCGGGCCATTATCTTTGTGAAATACCCCCCTGGGTAAATAAGATCATAATGGGAGCAGATTTATAACTGTTATACTATATACCACTAGCCCGTTTGATTTGTATTCGTTCATTAGATTGTGCAGAGATGTGACAGTGGTGTTGTGGTGTCTCTACGACTGGGTAGGTTTATCAATCCGGGTGGTAGCTGCTGCAACGTCAGGCATGGGCAGTGCGAACCATGTTACTATGAGTTCCAGGTCTGCGCCACAAGACTATCAGGGTAAGATGCAAGAACTTTAAAAAAAAAAAAAAAAATCTTATCATATATGCAAAATACGCAATTTATTTAACATTTATGCAAGCAGAAAATCGCAACTCATGTTTCATGAAGTCTCTATTCTTTGTATTTTCAAAACATTAATCCACAACCGACTAAAGATCGAAAGGAACTGTAAAACAAACAATCTATGCATTTTTGAAAACACTGTTATTCAAGAAAACGAAACATGTTTTATTTGAACTATGTTAATATGCTACGATGTTATTTCAATTGATTGTGTATGATTGTTTGATTTGTTCAAAAGCATATATTTATCAATAAATTCATTTTACAAAAAAAAGAAAAAAAAAGAAAAAAAAAAGGACTTAAAAAAAAGTGTTGGAACTTTAGAGGTGGCCCGAGCTGAACAAATGTTCAATGTTTAGAATTATATAACATGCACGAATAGGGTCGACATTTTATTATTGATGCAACGCCCTCAATTATTGTGTCGGGAAAGTTATTTGAAATTCCCTTTCCCCTAGTTTACTGACAATCCACTATTGGGAAACTTAATATTTTGCATGGCATCCTAAGAGGTGAATCAAGAATAGTCAGAAAGGAGATGGAAGGGGGTGGGGCACCATGTATGAAAATAAAAGCATATACCATCCCCAGGAAGCTGAAATTGATGCAGTAATGTACCGTGATCGTACAAGATTCTCACTGATAGGGTGATACTACAGTCTACTATCTTTGTGATTCTGATCCTGTTTTGAATAACGGCAATATCCTACATAAAAAGTTGTACTGATTTAATCGTTGTGTACGCTTATGTTCTGCTGCATGTTATGGTTCACGAGAATGGAGGAAATAAGTAACATCTTGAACTCTTGGCAATTTGACAATCTGTAACATTTCATTAGGGTGGTGAAATGTTGCATGTTGGAAGACTACATGCTGGCAACAACAGCAAGAGTACATTGACAAGTTTCCGGTCATCTGGTTGTTGCACAGTTGCACCAAATTGATGAAATACAAATAGTCGACATCCAATTATTAAGGGGGGGGTGGGTAAAAAGGGATATTTTGCTGAATTTATGTACATTTGAGAGTTTCTGTCTTCTTCGAAATTGCATTTTCCCCACTGTAATGATACATATATCTAATAAGTCTAAAAGTTAATAGGTCCACCTTGTGGTGATATGTCAGGCATGTACAAAAACACAGGTTCATCTCTGTATAGATGCTACAGCTAGTGTCAGTCTCATGAATTATGTTTCAACCAATAGAGTTTCCTTTGAGCTTCTAACTAGATGTCAAGCATAATTACACCCACATTTATTCTACCTTTATTTAAAAAAACATTTTCCTCTGCTTTTAATTTCATCCTTAGTTACGCCTACACATCAACGGGCGATCTCTTCTGTGATTACGGACGATGGAACACCGGTGTGATACGATCACGCGAAGATTCCAGCGAAGATTCAAGCGAAGATTCCTTCTTTCTGCCGTCAAGATTTCCAAGCGGCCATCCGAATCCGCTGAAAATCCAAGTACCATACTGGGAGGTAATGTGGCAATTTTTGCAGGTTTGAAGTCAGTTGCGTAGCTTAGAGGAGAGGGGGGGTGGCATGGATTTACGTGCCCCTTGATCAACACTTTTATGGTGGAGAAAAGAGAGGGAAAGAAGAGGAAAGTGAAAACAAATGATTATACAACCCTATTAATCCTTGTCATTTGTGTTTCATTCAACAGGTGAGAAAGGTGCCCCCAATTTTTTTCCTTGTTTTCTTTATGTGTTTTATTAAACAATTTTTAAAAAAATCACAATATTTACTTGTTATAAAAAGATTACAAAAAAGCAGTAAAACGTAGATCAAAACCTCACGAAAAGTAAATTTATACTAATATGCAGGCAATTACATGCACATATACCGATACATCATTATAAAACAAACTTCCATTTTTTAAAGTGCAAGGGCAGTTTGTTTTTCTTTTTTTGCAATACGATATTCAAGATCAAAGGTGCGCCCACTCATGATGCCGGTAGCCTCTCGATGTTTATAGACCCACGCTATGATACTGGTTACAGTGTAGACCTAGCTATCCGAGGAATGTAAACACATGTGAACAGATGACAACCTGGACAAACAAATCCCCGTATAAATACATCTGGACAACCAACCCGAAGGCAGTTGTACTATTTCTCTCCCGACAACAAGCCATAGGACTACCCCAACCCGGACAACTACCCTAGCTCACTCGGACCCTGCCTTCTGGCAACTACCTCCAGAGCGATCACCCCATTATCAATACTACATTTTAAGTGTATAATTAGACAGTTGTCTGGTAGTTTGATAGTCCTGAGGGTCGTTTCCTTAGGGGTTGATATTAGGGGGGGGGGGGTAGGAGGGGTACTATTGTCCAGGATATGGCTCGTAGGCGAAGAGGTAGTAGTACTAGAAAATATAGAAACTGTAATTGTTTTAGAGCATTTTTGTCGGTATTAGTTTTATCGAATCAACTAGTCTTATATTATATTAAATATGTTTTTATAGCAAATTTCGAAGCGCTTTGTAACTGCAAATATTGACGGTCTTCTAGTTTTACGGTTCTATCTAGAACTTGGCTACACTTTATCTACGCCTAAATCGGTTTCCAGTTTGTTTTGAATTACTTTTACCTCTAAATGTCACATACGTTTTGATTCAACCTGCATTTTAGCTTCACATGATTTTTGATGCAAGTTAGATAGGTCAGCTTTACTCACTGTACGTCACGCTTCATGTCAGGTGCATCCGTTGCCAAGCCAACGAGTTCGACGGAAATGAAACGCGACAGGTGTCATTATGTACGTGATAGCTTCCGGGCCACCTGACTAGTCTTTGATTGGTATAGCAGGCGTTAATTCCTCAGTCTTAAAGGACTAGACGTGTGCACTATTGACATGGATAAGTTTTTTTTTGTTTTCGTCGTTTGTTTGCCTTTTAGTAGGGAGGTGAGACTCACCTGCCTGCCTTAAGCCCATGTCATTGCCCAGAAATAAGAGTAATAGTAATGATAAGGATAAAATACTATAACCTTGTTTATTAAACTTAATTCGCACCAAAACGCAAAGTATTCACAAACAGATTTGACAATTCAGTTTAAAATTATTATATTAGTAGTTCTAGTTATGCTCGGTGATCCGATATTTCACAACAATTGTGCTCCGGGCTTCATTTCGCCTTCTTCAAAATAATTGCAATCGGGGTTTAGGTTCGTTAGAGACCATAATATCCGAACTGAAAAATGAAATGGATAAATCATATATCAAACGGAAGCTTATGAGCCATAGAATACAGTAATTGCTATTATTTGCTCACAAAGTGTCATGCAGAGGAGAAATCATTGTTTGGAAGCTTGAATTCAAAACCCGGAATAATCTCACGAAAAAAAAGAAGATTACTTGATGACGTCATCGTATGTAGAGTTTTGCTCTGCGGCTTAAGCATTAACGTAGAGCTAAAAGGGGGGCCATCCCTGATCTTCATCAGCAGCCTCCTTTCCAGGCCAGATTGAATTAAATACTGAGCTTACTTTTTTATTGGTGGAACATAACAATTTCTGTTCATTTCGAGAAATGCATCTTTACTGAAAATTGAATATTACTGCCTGCTTAAATTCATTAGTTTATATTACCGATGATATTTCCTAATCTCTTTTGAAATTTATACCTACCTTAATGTTTGTTTCAAATTCAGGGTCGAATTCGAGTGACGATAAACGTGAGGGACGTCGGTATGTGGGGCTACCGCAATGATCCGGTGAGCGAGTACATCTTTTCCCTGTCCGAGTGGACGCCTGGGAGAACGGAACTAGAAAGTCTTACTCGCAACTGGCTGTTTGTCAGATATGGTTTGAGGTAAGGCTCACTTACGAAAGCTTAAAGGTAAAGACCAGTATTGGAAACGCCCCAATTTCAAAAAATGAAATGGAAGCTCTTATTACCAATCATGTGAAAGAATATGTTTTGAATATTACATGATGATACAAAAAAATTGACGGGAAACCGCCTACTAATTGATATATTTGGTAAATTAGTGTATCTCTCGCCTGTTGAGAGATATGAAATGCACGTGTCGCGCACGTGTGTGTAGTCCCATATACATATTTCTGTGCACAGTGCTTCTAACTTTATGAAGACTTGGCCAAATTTCTTATCATTTTGATGATTCCAGAACCTTGCAGTACATCTATGCTAGATGATAAACCTTTTCTGATCGATTTCACAACGTTTCTTTCACAATGCAATCGCATGATCATAACTGGTCTTTACGAGATGACTAGATAGTTGAGACAAGAAGACGAATTTTTACTAATGGCATAGCGTCCATGGGAGCAGCTGGCCGGGTAGTAGACTTATTGGAGATTAGACAAAATGGAAATTAGACCAAATGATAAGTAGACCAAATGATTATTAGACCATGTGGATAGTAGACGGGGTCGGTGTAAACCATATTAACAAAATAGACTTATTGGATAGTAGACGAACTGGTTGTATACCAAATGGCAATTCACCGATGGTATTAGGTCGCTGAGAGGGGGATAACGTACGTGTGCTACTCACGAGGTAAATTTATGATTGTTTTTGATGTACTTTTGAGAACTTACACAATGAAGCATCGTAATAATGGTAATAATAACAATAATACTAATGATTAGAATATATAATGATAATATTAGTCATGAGAAAATAATAATAAGAATAATGATCATAATGATAATAATAATACTAAAAATAAGAATAATACAAATAATAATAATGGGGGCTTCTTTAATAGCGGACGTGTCCATCACATTGTGACGCTCCTGGAGCCCCAATATTATTACCACAGTCATAGCTAGCGGCTGAATGATAGCGCTCGAGTACCCATTTACACCTGGATGGAATCGAGTGGCAAATGTATATTTGAATTTGTAAGCGCTATGGTACTTATTGTTTTTAGCGCTCCTAAATATTCGATATTATTTTTTATTATTATTAATAACTTGTCAAATTATTTTTAGTACCGTGCTAGCATTCGAAGCCTCAAACATTGGATTGAAAGTCAAATAAATGAACCTCTACTCAACGATCCCCTCCACTATGGCATGATATGTTTTTGTTTGAACTTATGTTTGACCTTATGTTTGATCTCATTTTTATTTTTGTTATTATATATGCATGATTTATTGAATAAAGAACATATTTATATTTTTTGTGTTTATTACAAGATTAAGTTGGAAATTTTAAGTCGGACAATGGTGCGCTTAGAAACACCTGTATTAAGCGCCTAATAAATGTTATGTATTATATGCATGTTCTTTGGTGTATCCCAATGATGGAGTATGGTCACACCCAGGAATCCTAGGCTACTTTTCACTCCTTAAATAGAAAGCTATGGTTGCCATAAATTATGTGCGGATCCAATCACATTTCAATTATCAATCTGTTTTTGATTTAATACAATCATGGATTTTAATAGTTAAAAACATAATCTAGCCAATTTCCAAAGTACTTTTCGATTGTGTACACCAACACAATTTAAGTCGTCACACCTCTTTAAAAAAATATGTGAGCGATTGTCAGCACGTTTGGGTTGTCACCTTTCCCAGGCCCTGGGAGGGTAGGAAAGGTGATGCAGTTAGCGGCACGCCCCTTCTCATGTCACTCACCTATATAATTTGATTTTCACTGCACTGTCATCATGTTCACTTTGCCTCCAGATTGGATGTGCAGTACGCTGTATATTGTCAACCGAACTTTTACGGCCATTTCTGCAGGGGCCACTGCCAGCCTCCTACTTACTATGACCAATATACGTGCGATACCAATACAGGTCGAAAGATATGTCACAGAGGGTACACAGGATATAACTGCAAGCAGAAGGTTTGTTAACTTTATTCATTAATCTTCAGAAACTTTTAATTTGATATACTTTTTCCTTTTCATTTATTATGAACAAACTTTTTCAGTATAAGTTCATAAGAATGTTACAAGGATTTCTTAAATAACGAAAAGGGACTGTCCATGCGTAATTTGAGTCCACAAATTTTGAAATGTAACAAAGACTACCCTTGCCCCCTTGCCAGCTACCATAATGGCTAGTGTAGATGGAATAACTATAAGCTAAACTCAGATGTTTAAAGGATGCTAGCTGGACTGCCGTTGAGACTCATGACCGTCATATGGCGAGATACATATGGCATGAACCGTTTTATAAATGAAAATGACCGATCACTTTAAAATGCCGATTTGTAATCTTTTTTTGAGTCAGGAAGGAATTGGAGCAACAACAAAAAAGGAATAATACTGCTACCATTAATCATAGATTTTAATATTTTCCTTTGGAATTCCCTCCCACATTAACTAACCTATTCGCAGTCATTGCAGGTGATGAGTAATACAATTGTTTTCTTTTTCTTTTTTCAGATTTTACCGACAACTTCGTACCCATGGTGGAGGACTACCACAAGAAGGCCATTGCCCCCAAGAAGGTTGATCACGACGGTGGCACCTATAATTACATCAACAGAATCTACATCCTCATCTTCTACCACAATAACCACGCCTTACGTCACAACAAACACACCCGCCTCTACAACGAAGTCACTCACCTCTACAACACACACGTTCATCTCCACAACGCGCCCGCCTTTCTCCACGACAGAAACGCCCACCTCTACACCACAAACGCCCACCTCCACCACCGACACGCCCACCTCCACAACAGACACACGCGCCTCTACAACACACACTCCCTCCATAACAGCAACGCACATGCCTACTCCTTCAAAACACATTCTCACCTCCGCAGCGGACACGCCTACCTCGACAACAGATACAATCACTTCGACTGTGGACACGCCTTCCTCAACATCGCATAACTCTACCTCCGCCACCGTCACGCACACCTCCATAACATCCACACCCACCTCAACAACGTACACGCCCACCTTATCACCAAAGGGGACAACACAAGATGCTAAAACGACAAAAATAGTAGCTTCAACAGCTCAAACAACGCCACCGCAAAAAATAACTACGATTGGGAAAAAACAAGCAACAACCGCGATAAGTATATCCAATACAACTCCATCTACACCACAATCTCCGAAAGCCACTCCAACTACACCTGCATCCTCAACACTTGGGCCAAGTACTTTGATTGGAGAGTATGTTACTACGGAAATTTATTCTACCAATGCTAGAACTGATGCAAATGTAACAGCCGAACATATAACATATCGCGCAAACGATTCCGCTCCTCCAAACACGCAATCTTCATCGGCAGCGTATTTGAAATCCTTGACAACAGTTTTTGACCAATATGTCACGACGGATACCGTCTCCTCTGAAACGCGTGCAGTCTCCTCATCTACAGAATATTCAGAGATGAAAAACAAATCGTCACCTTCTCCTACACAACCTACTTTGCCTGGAGAAGATGTATCCACTGTACCAGATGAGACTACAGACCCTTCGAGTGTTGCCACCGATGGAGGATACAAGACTGATTTCTTGGCGCACACCTCAGAGGAAACTTATACAGAGGTATCGACCGTTGGAGAATCTACGACGATCACAGCTTCCACGTTGAATACCAACATTATATCCGTTTCATCAGGTCAAGTAACGCGTCGACCAACGCCAAAGGTATCAAAGAAACCAACAGATCGCCGTCGACTAAAAAATGAAACCACGACTGCCAATCCAACTAGCACAGGCAATCCAATGTCAACCGTGAATGTCACTAACTTGACCTTGCCTGCATCAGTTTCCATGGTGACCGAACACGCACCTGCATTGTCAACATCAGTGTCGAATCAAACAGATATCTATACTAATTACAGTGACATAGCAACGCAAACCATGACACCCGATTCCACAGATTCGAAAACGGTAGGTTCTACGTTCCCTCATCATGATACATCAACTGATGGAATGTTTTTCACAGATTCAATTTCACAAACCAGCCCTGAGAGGGCGTCGTTACAAACTGTGGTGACGATATCGAACGGAACGTTAACAGCTACAAATTCTACGACGTCGACTTCTTCATCGCCATCGACATCGCAGGTAGTCGCAACTACTGTCGCTACATTAAATTTTACGCAAGCAAGACAGCCGACTGGTCTACATGGTAATGATCACTTTCCAATAAGGACAATGTCTTCAAATGTGTGTTGGACGTGGAAATCAAATGATGTGAAAACGATTTGTAATTGCGATCAAAGGAATCTGCCCAAACTTCCGCCTATAGACGCTTACTGGGGAACCTCATTAAGAACTGGAAAGCCAAAATTCATCCTTGGAAAAGTAACTTTAAATTAGATATGGTCGAGATTTTGTTGGTGATGGTTATCATGTTTCTTCACTTTGCCTCAGTATTACAAACAATATTTATGCTATATATGTTGTCACGTAGATGCTATGTTGTTATATTTTATTATAGGGTATGAGAGGGGGAGTAAGATGAGCATCCTTCCCGCTGTTGATTTAAGACTTGATTTTTGTAAACGGTAATAACACACTTAATGGTAAAGACCAGTTCTGGTCATGCAATTGTATTGTGAAAGAAGCGTTGTGGAATCGATCAGAAAAGGTTTATCATCTAGCATATAATTATTGGTGTGTACTGCAAGGTTCTGGATCATCAAAATGATAAGAAATTTGGCCCAGACTTGGTAAAGTTACAAGTACTGTACACAGAAAGATGTATATTGGACTACGCGACACGTGCGCGATATCTATCCGGTCCGGATAGATATAACAATTTACCAAATATATCAATTAGTAGGCGGTTTCCCGGCAAAATGTGTATCATCACGTATTAGTCAAAACATATTCTTTCACATGATTGGTTATAAGAGCGTTCATTTCATTTTTTGAGAGGGGGGGGCGTTTCCAAAACTGGTCTATACATGTACCTTTAAGAATTAAGTTATTACGTGGACGCAGAAATCAGATATATAAAGGAAAGAAATGTTGATGATTAATTGAGCAAGAAACGAAGATCAGCATCTTCCCTTTGGTCAAAAACCAACACATGGTTCAACTATGCCCACTCTTCCCTACATGCCAACACTCATATGTATCTATTCATACATTTTAAAGGAACAAAAGTATGGCGCATAGGCCCATACGATCATATATATATAATTATTGTGTTTTTCTTTTTGCAATAAACTATATATATATATATATAGTTAATTAAACCTCGTGAAGTGTTTGCGTTTAATTATGTTTCACTTTACTTTTTATTTTTTGTAATCGACTCTGAACGGGTAATCCCACTATACAGAAAGCTCATGAAACAGACGATCAATGGGACCGACATTTCAAAAAGGTCCCCGAGACCGATAGCCTACTAAACCGACATCCCACGAAACCGACGAACAGTCCGATCGGATTTTGAAATTCTTGATCTGCTCGATAGATTTTTTTTTTGGATGTAAAATGGGATGACAACGTTTTCGTACTCGTAGCAGACTTTGGCTACATGCGCCCGAGCCTCGACGATGAGCGACAATTTCTCCCCGGTCCAACATCACACAGCATGTACACAAATAGGTTATTGACATCATTATATCTTCAAATGTATCTCTATCATGTTATTACTAAGTCAAGTAGAGAGAGAGAGAGAGGGATGTTCATCTTCAAATTTTGTTTACTCTTGTACTGCATGATTAATGAATATTTCCAATGAATATTATCGTCCCATTGCAAAACACTGTCCCATGGCGTTCACAAAAAAGTATATTTTTAGCAACCGTCTTAGATTTCTGACACCACACAAAAGTATGAGCAGTATTGATATGAAAGAAACGAGCAAGGGGATAATTACTGTCATTTGATTAAGAAGTATTCAACAAAACATTGTTTAAATATTTTTAAAAAAACGGTGAGCGTGCTTCAAAACATGCATCCTAAAACCGTCTTCAATACTTAAAGAGTACTGGATTGCAAATTTCGGCAAAATCCTTTCCGCACCTTTACAATGAGTTTATGCCCTGTCCATAATTAGCCTTAGAGAATATAAGTATAATTTCATTGGCCTGGTACTGTCTTTCAGAATTATACTCCTCTTTTTCAAGTACAAACTACGTGGCTTTTGTATCAGCAAAAAAATAAATAATGAAAGTGTGGTGGGCCAGTTAATGAGTTGGAGACGACAAGTTCAAATATAAATGAAAACAAAGAAGCTCGGAATTACAGTTGAAGTCCACTTGATTAATTATGTAAGTCAGCCGAAGCTCCAATCGTTACAAACGAGGAGTAATTATTTTATAAACATTTTAAATACAAGCTACTTTTCTCGTAGGCTGGGCGGACATATCGACAGTAAACTAGCAGCACATCCTAAACATGTTAAAATAATCAAATAAACTCTCAAATAATATGACTATAAAACCCCGCACATGGCATTTAAATACTGCGGCACCCGACGATGCTTAGATATCACCAGCCAACAAGGAGGACCCTTACGAAGACAACCAATTACAAGACCGGATATATATAATTACCCTTAGGACATCCGACCAATTAAGAGAGGAGTTATACCTTTAATTAATTATAACCAATGACAACGCATAATAGATAAGAGTGATTTGAACTAGTCACCGACAAAAATGGGAGGAGTCTATCTCTTCGCTAGAATGTCGCGTCCCAGGAAAAACAGTCTATTGTCTAACGTGTTATTGGAAATAAACACCTGTACATCTTGATGCAGGACAACGTGTTTATCAAAATGAACAATTTTATCTAATGCAAGAATTCAAAAGCACTCGGGTTGTTTACCCTTTCCCGGCATACTATTGGAAACATAATTAATGCCAAGTCAAACTAAAAAATCGTACAATTAATCAACCCAGCCCGGCTCTTCTAGGGCACTAGCGCCCCCTTTAGATCAAATGAGTTGCCCAAATCAGCGTACCACTACAAAAGCACTCGTGTACGCAGCGGCAGCGGAGCGATTTTCAAAGTTGGGCACCAAACAAAATAGGGCACCAACAACGGGAAATCTCAAAGAAAAACATAATCCATTTTTCTAGACATTAGTTTATTCCCCTACTGTGCCCTTCATTGTGATTACCTTATGAGGGATGATTTCTATATGGTTTCTCTTTATACACAACACAAGATATTGATTAAGCATCATACTTTGCAGTTGGGTGTGATGGTCTGAAAGTTCATTCGAATTTGTTTAATGATGAGAGGAAAAGGGGACACTTATCGAAAGGAATAAGAAACCTATTAGAAAAGAAAAGGAGCACGCATCAAAGTTATAAAAAAGGTGAATATCAGAGGTGAAAATGGGGCACTTCTTATACCTACAAAAAGAGACACCTACAAAAAGAGGCACTCACCAGAGATGAAAAAAAGCAAGTGACGTATGGCCTTGAGCCATAATGCATGGCCGTAAAGAGGATTTTTTCTGTCGGGGACCGGGGGAAATTCAATGAATTATTGAACATTTATTGCATTTTCTTTGTTTTATTTTTATTTGTGGAAACCGCCCCCTAGCCCTAGCCCTAGCCCTAGCCCCGCTGCGTACAGTCATGGTTCGGTGGCAAAGCAATGGCCTCGTAACTGTGAGGCCCCAGGATCAAAACCGTGTCGATGTGCTATATTAACGCCCTTTTGTGGGGAATTAATCCTCATTGCTGAGCATCCTCAGAAGAGTATTTCACGGCTTAGAGAAACAACATGGAGATGAGAAGTCCTACTTTCATGTACTGGGACCTAATCATGAGATATGAAACCCTCATTCTCATCTTCATCAGGGCGCACAGAGAAAAGAATTTCCCTTTGCATGTTGAAGTCTTGGAGGAACTCACACCACTGTTCTTTGCCTTGGATCATGTGAACTACTCGCGGTGGATGCCAGTCCACATCAGAGATATGAATACCTTGTCCGACAATATCATGGATGAGTTTGAGAAGTGACCTTATCCCTTGGGACACTCAACATACTATATTATGGATAGCATGTTGTAACAAGTCCTCTAAAAGAAAACACTCACTCAAACACTACTGTTTTACACATATTGACATTTTTGTAATTTAGGGGGTTGAAACAAAAGAGAAAGTTGTCCGGCAGTATGTCACAGTCACCTTACCAATGGCCAATTTGACTTTCCCATGTGTATAATGATGACAACTTTCAAAATTAATACCGTTCTTAGTTTTGTCCTATTTCATTCAAACTTAATTTCAACATTCTGCTGTTCGGATTTCTTTTGGATTTTTGGGGGCTTTTTTCAGAGTAGTTCACTTTTAAGTTTGATAAATACCTAAACAAGCGAAAAGAGAAAGCGACCGAGCGGTGGTTTACCAATGTTTCTTTTTCTTCACCAATCAAACAACCGCTTTTTATATTGATATATTCCCCATAATTTGCACGGGAGCACAGCATGCATCCGAGTTTTTAGCGTTTCTTTTAGATTTGTAAATATTCAACGCGCATAAGTATCGAAAAAAATGAATAAAAAGTGACAAGGAATTCTAGCAACGCATTCTAAAATCCGAAATTACCATGATCATAGATTAACATATCAGCAGGGAGAAAAACTGAAGTCTAGACTACTAAAAACCAACAAAACCCTTGGCCAATGTTCAAATGGTTATGTATACTCAAGATGTTTACTCAAGAGGTTTTTTTTCCTTTCATGAAATACACTGCAAATAATGCTCACAACGAACGGAGACACAGTGAATGCTATCCCCGTTCAGACTTCTAAAATACACCGTATGGCTATACGAAACTCATAGAAATATTCAATAAGTCATACAAAATTTTAAGATTTGTGAGGTCGCAGTACGAAAAAATTACATCTTAAAAAGACAAGAACAAAAATCCTTATACGGTTTTTAAACACAATCTTATCATGTAAAACTGAAAAGACCTTGAATAAGAAACATAATTGTATCAACTTTAAATGCAAGCTTGCGATCTTTGCGTGAAATTAAAGAAAAGGTTGATCTTTGTCCCTTTAAATTAGGAGCACATTTTATTGTGAAAGGAAAAGGGGCGCTTATCCAAATGAAAAAAGACACTTATTACAAAAGAAAAGGAGTACGTGTCAAAGTATAAAGGGGAATTATCATATGTGAAAATGGGGCACTTCTCGCTTCTGATAAGGAGCATTCACCAAAAGGACACTTATGAGAACGAGAAAAAGGACACTCATTACAAAGGAAAAGGGTTAATTATCAGAAGGAAAATGACACTTATTATAAAGGATAAGAGGTCACGTGATAAAATAAAAAGAGGCACTTATAAGAAATTGGGCATACAAAGGAAAAAAGGAACTGGTCAAAATATAAGGCTTTAAGGGGCACTTCTCCGATTTGAAAAGAGGCATTAATAAGTATACAAATAATACACAGCAGTGAGGGCATTAGTAAGAATTAGCCTACCCACACAAGGTACCTTTGGAAAATTCTAACCCGCCCGAGACGATAGCCGAGGGCGGGTTAGACCTTTTCAAAGGTACCGAGTGTGGGTAATGTTACTAATGCCCGAACAAAATGATGTGTATTATTTGTTTTAAAAAATTATGACGTGGATCCTTGTTATTTGATAAATCACCCTCATCTCAAGAATGAGATCTAGACTAGGTAAGACTGATATAGACCCTAGGTCTATTCTAGATCTAAGTTCTAACCTATGCTCAGTCTAGACTAGATTTTACTAGTAGACCTACTAGACTAGATCTAGAACTCGTTTTTTTTTTTTAATGTTTTGATCTTACTTTTTTAGTCTTACCTTTTAAATCAACATGATCATCCATCATAAACTTGTAAATAAATGCAACAGATCATAGAAAAACTTGAAATTGAAACTCCAACTTTAACAATGAACGTCTAGACTCGAGTCTACGTAGAACTTGAAGTAACTTAGATCCCGAACCAGCAAGGTAAAAATGTCTTTCCAAAGTGCAACTTCCAAACAGCGATAATGTACATGTAGAATTGTTTAAAAAGCTGAAATAGTCAAAGTCAAACTCAAGTCAAAGCCGAACATATGTACATGTAGATCTAGGCCTACACAAAGTCTTGTCTTGAACATTCCATTAATTATTATAAATGTTCACCACACAATCGTGGATTTGAAAAGTATTTGAAGTCGTTGTAAGGTCCTGGTGTACCTTCTCCTGCGAAAGTGAAAAAGATAGTTGTTGATGGGAATTCACATGAATATCTGCATTATCTGAGTCACGATCCGGAACTACTATTTCAAGCGGCTGTCTGGTCGTGTGCATGGAACAGGCGCGATTAGGCCTGCTTGGACCTGGTCCAGGATCTGGAACCGATTGAGTTGCACTAGGCAAATTGATGCTTCTTTTCTCGTAGAGATGACTCCCAAGATGTGAGGACATTTGTTTCTTCTGCCCGTGGCCACTCACTGATTGAATGTTTCGAGACTCGAAACCGGCTCTATCCAGAGTCGTGATGCATGTTGCTCTTAAGCAGTGGTTTGTGTACAACTTTGAGCATCCAACTTTCTGGGAAATTTGTTTCATCTTATTTCCCATTGTGTTTTTGCCAACTGGAGCATTGCAGTACCAGTTGTCACCATCTTCTGGCTTCTTTGCTTTTGGTTTCCGCCATAGAAAAGGGCAATCTTTGTTTAGCTTCGATACAAACAGCATGAAACTCTCAACTGGACACTTTGAACTTCCTGGAATTTCGTATATCACTCCGTTGTTCGTCACCTCATCATCACCATCCTCACGATTGTTCTTTGTCAATTGATCTCTTTTACTGATGCATCGAAGTCCGTCTTCATCTGTCTCAAGTCGAAAATCGTCTGGTTTAAGTTCTCGAAGATCTTCTCGACCACGACTATAAAAGTAGATCTATGTCATAAAATCGACGAAGACTTTGTTCTGTAATCCAGCTGGCGTGTCACAATCGAGCACCGATGAGTTTTGTATGATTCCATGTCACTAGCTGAGATCGCGGGTTTGTGCTTGGTGGAGCCTTTGCCTTCACCTGATCACTTGCATCGTTTTTTTGCTATACCACGATCCATCTTTGCGACGGAGACTTGAATAGAAAGTGCACGAAACGTTATCCAGTCGAAGCCTGTCGGTTTTGATTTCACCCAATTCAATTTGTTTCAGGCCCAAAAAGGCTTCAAATTTCGCAAAGCCAAACTTTATGCTCTTCTTGGTACTAGCAGAATCAGTCCCATTCAATAACTCTTGCATTTGTGCAGTTGAAAGAATTTCAAAAGTAAGCACTTTAAATGCAGCGGCAGCCATTCTCGCGAGTAAAAGTAAAACGATGAAATCTCAATGGTTACGATAGCAACAACAAGATGTGGTAATGACCGGTCATTACAAAAATTACGCGTTAGGCAAAATAAATGCCTGGTCACGTGTACGCTTTCAACCAAGCATTTGATTAGGATCTACGTCATCATTTTATAAAGGTGAATATACACTCATCAGAGGTGGTCAGGGGCACTTCATGTACCTGAAATAGAGCACTCATTTGAGATGAATAGGGACACATGTGAGAATGAAAAGGGGCACTTATTAGAGAATTTGTAGGGAAAGAAAAGGGGCATCTATCAGATTATGATAGAGGCATTTATCATAGGTGAGAGAAGGGGCATTTATTAAAAGGGGAAGGGCTCTTACAATAAAAGAAAAAGCGAATTTATCAGGAGTTAAAGGGCACTTATTAAAAAGAAGAAGGGGGCGCATGTCAAAATAAAGGGGGCACTTAGGGGTAAAACGAGGCACTCACCTCAGATGAAAAAAGGCACTTATCAGGAGGGGAAGAGGCACTTATTACAAAGGAAAGGGGGCCCTTATATCATTGGTAAAGGGTACTTATAAGAATTAGGAACGGGCACCTATTATAAATAAATAGGGCACTTTTCTGAAGTAAAGGGGTGCACTTTTCCTATGTAAAAAGGGGCTACTTGAAGAAGTTGGGGCACTCACCCCACCCCCCTTGGGTTCACGCCTTTGGTTCTTGTCTGATAGTCATATCGTACAAACATTTAGTGGGTGGGGCTCGTGAGCCGAAAATCGGCTACCTTTTTACGACTTTCTTCATACGATGTTGTTTTCTAGTTTGTCCGATCCTTTCGCTATGCAATGATTCTTTATACGACGTTTCGTTATATGAGTTTCGTATAATATAATTAACATGATTAGGGCACTTAATTTTTAAGTACTCCTACTTCTGAAAGTTTAAATGTAAAGGTTGTTGGTTTTCATGATGTTTTCCATCATCGTGGATGAATTTCGCCAGGCAATGTGAGAGGGCGTAGTTTCTGGTCCTCTCTTCGTAGTTTTGCTCTGTTGGATCGACGATAGCCTGTGGCGTTGTGTTTATAAAATTAATAATGTCAGTAAAATTTAAGTAGTTATTTTCTGTATTGTTATGTAGCTTGTTATTTTAAAGAATAAATAAAGGTTAAGTACCATGCTCTTAATTTGTAGAGGCTTGTGCCGGGGCTTGTGTTGATGCAACCATGTGATGACAGAATGGTCCTGTAGGTATTTCATATTGAATTTGAAATCTGTTTGGATCGAGCTTTTGTAGCAAGAATAGTTATTTCACTAGCTCGTTATTTGACGTTTCTTTAGGCCTATACAAGTTTATTTTCTAGTGTGCACGACCCTCTCGCAATACAACGATTCTTTGTCATGTTTATACTTTGTACGAGTTTCGTGTACCTTTCTTGTAGGCTGAACACGCACTGAGCTTTGATCTACTCCTACTGTAGAAATTCTGAACCCAAAGGTTAGAGTACCATGTTCTTATAAGGGCTTGCTTTGATGCAATCATGGACTACTATGATGCAATCATGTGAGGAAAGAAGGCGGACAAACAAGTGATGTTCCAAAGGTCCTGTTGGGACGTGAAAACGGGTTGGAGCTGTATAACGAGGAATCATTTTTCGCCAGTAAGAAGAGAAGGATCGGGATCCAAACATGGCTGGAACTAAAGGCAAGTAGCTTGATCGAGAGAATCATATTAGAGAGAGAATCAAAATGATTTAGTTTGACTCTGAATAACTCATCTCTAAGGTGAAGTGTGACAAGACAGTATAAGAAAGGACTCGTCTTTATGAAGAGTTAAGAATTAAGTTACAAATCAATTGCTACCCAATGCGATCCCTGGACGTTATTTTATTATGAAATTCGATTTTGATACTTATCTCATCTGGACTGTGATCCTAATTTCATCATGTGTTAGATACCACTTAAATTATGCCAATCTCAACCCAAGTTTGGTATGTCGATCTCATCTAAAGGTTGATATAAATTTCATCTTGAGTTTGATACTAATACCAACTTGATTTCGATATTTATCTCATCTTGACTTTGATGCCAATATTAAATCAGTCCTTTAGTTTGACACGATCTCTTTTTGAATTTAATCAGATCTTAACTGGAAACTAATACCAATACATTGGGTTTGATGTCAATCTAGACTCGAGTTTGATGTCGATCTGTTTGTTTGTTTGTTTTACCTTACTGCTAAGAAAGCATGTGTATGCTTGTACATGTAAGTAAACGATGCGTGGACTGATGGCTTTAAGACCTGTCTGAGGGACTTATATGGTAATGGGGATTAATTCCTTACCGTAGGGCTCTACCGCATCGACTTGGTTTCGAACCCGGGACCTCGATCCCGGTTACGAGACCACTACTCTACCACTGCGCTCTACCACTGACCCATTGCGCATCCTCATTTTGACTTTGATGCAAATGTTATCTTAAAGGTTAATGTCAATCCCTAATTCAACTCAAGTTTGTATTTATGATAATTATAATAATAGCAACAATAGCAAATTCTTGTGAACGATTAATCACCAATTCTCTAGTAATGATGACGGTAATAATCAAATTATAAATAATTACAATGATTCATTGCTAACAATAATGTAATGCATTTTTTTAGAACCTGTCCGGTCTTGGACCGGGGAGATGTCATCCCTCCTCGCCGAGGCTCCGGCACATGTTGCCAAAACTTGCTACGAGTACGATAACATAATCACGAGCTTTTTCTTTACCAAGAAGTGTATTGAGCAGACCAAGAATTTCAAACTCCGATCGGATGACGTGTTTATTATCACTTATCCAAAGACAGGTGGGTAACCTAAAGCTCCTCTTAAGCAGGGCTCCCACTTAGCCGAGTTAGAGCCACGAGTTGTGGCGAGCTGGCTCGATCGTATGGCAAGCAGTTTTATCATTAAAACATATTTCTTGATATCACGAAATCGAATTCTTGATATCAAGAATTACCATTGCTTTACAACGTAAAATTATTTTTTGATATCAAGAAATATGTTTTGATGATAAAACGGCTTGCCATAAGATCGAGCCAGCTCGCCACAACTCAAGGCTCCAACTCGGCCAAATGGGAGCCCTGCTTACACTTTCCTGAACTAGGTAACATTGATTACGAGTTGAGTGCGAACTGAGTACGAGTGGGTTACGACGTGACTACTTATTGAAAGCCTAGTAACGAACAACTCGTACAGAACTCAGGACAGCTAGGCGAAAAAAATCGTAGTATATTTTATATGCTCTAAATGCCCCCAAGTCGGTACGAGTTACTAATTTGTACGAGTTCACTGGCTGTATTCCATTTAAAGTTCAGTTCCCAGTTCAGGCGCGGATCCAGGGGGCCGAGCGGGCCTTGCCCCCCCCCCCCCCCCTCGCAAAAACCAATAGAGAAGAAAAGAAAGGAAAAGAAATAAGGAAAAAGGGAGATAAAGTGAAGGAAAAAAAAGGAAGAAGAAAAGAAAAGAAGTGGGATATCAGTTGTAATTTTCCCGGCAACAAGTTGTGGATCGGGGGGCACCAAGGCCCTTGCCGCCCCCGCCCCTGCCAAAAAAAGAGAGAATGAAGGAAAAGGGAAAAAGGAGAGCTAAAACGGAGCCCCCAAAAAGGTGAAAAGAAGGGGAGATCAGTTGTGATTTGGTGTAGATCGGGTTAGGGGCCAAGTGGCTAACTGATGGGACCACCCCCCAAAAAAATTCAAACGTGGTGTGTTTCTAATTCGATACCGGTGATTTACAAATGTTGCTGAAATTACATAACATGTCAGGGCCCACGGAACGGCGGGGGCTCGTGGGCCTCTAGCCCCCCCCCCAAACTTTTTCTGTAAAAGTATATTAATTGAAAAATAGAAAGAAAGAGAGAAAGAAAGAAAGAATAATGATCTGCTAGGGTCACAACATGATGAGGTATCAAAATATGCTCATCTGACCGTGATTAAATGCCTACAACCCCCGGAGCTTCCGGGGGCTTTGCTCAATGGGTTCCACCTAAGGCCCTAAGGCGGGCCCCTGGATGCTCATATGACGATCATTTAATGCCTAAAACCTTTGAGCTTTCGACTCCTTGGACCCCATGCCAATTAGTGTCCTACCAGTGTCATAATTTATATAAGGTATCAAAATATGCTCATCTGAGGGTAGTTAAACGCCTGAAACCCCTGAGCATCCCGGGGCTCTGCCTCTGGACCCAACCAATGGCCCTAAGGCAGGCCCCTGGATGCTCATCTGATCGTTCTTTATCGCCTAAATCCCCTGAGCTTCCGGGGGCTCCGCCCCCTCGGCCCCACTCCAATTAGTGATATGCATTGTCACAAATAAGTTATCAAAATATGCTCATCTGACCGCAATTAAATGCCTAAAACCCCTGAGCTTCCAGCGGCTCTGCCCCTGGACCCCACCTAGGGCCCGTAGAGGGGCCCTAGATGCTCATCTCACGGTAATTTATTGCTTTAAACCCCTGAGCTTCCTGGGGCTCCTCCCCATAGAAAAAAAAAGAAGCGAGAAAGAAGAAAGGAAGAGGACGGAGTCGAGAACGGTACAACGAATCGTCTTCTTTCTTTAATAATTTAATGAAACGTCAAAAGGATTTAGACAAGGATTAAGAGTCGAGAACGGTACAACGAATCGTCTTCTTTCTCTAATAATTTAATGAAACGTCAAAGCTACCGCGCTTCGCGTGGGAGGGGGTGGGGGGAACTAAATTCAGACAAGGATTAAGAGTCGAGAATGGTACAACGAATCGTCTTCTTTCTCTAATAATTTAATGAAACGTCAAAGCTTCCGCGCTTCGCGCGGGAGGAATGGGGTAGGGGGGGGGGGGACTGAATTCAGACAAGGATTAAGAGTCGAGAATGGTACAACGAATCGTCTTCTTTCTTTAATGATTTAATGAAAATTCCCCCTCCCTGCACCCACCCTCTAGGGAGCGCGCTTCGCGTGCTCGTTACTGCCCCCCATAAATAAAATCCTGGCTACGCGCTTGAGAGGATAATAACCCAAATAGCAAGCCCATGTGGGACCCACATGGATCCCATATTCTCTGAAATGTTATCTTTATTGAGAGTGACTTGAACAAGTTAATAACTTGGAAGGGAGGGGTGCAACCTGCCACACGCTTCTACCTCTTGGTTGCTTTGATCCATTGCCGAAAACATTTGCACCTATCATCCCCCCAACCACGGATACAAATCGACACCCCTGCCCATACCCCTGAGCTTTCGGGGGCTCTGCCCCTAGACCCCACTTTAATTTACGCTACGCTCTACTTGCGGGGCCTTCATGTAAGATAGGGGTGATGTTGATATTTGTCTGCTGTATGGTCACCATTACGTACCAATATTTGGCTCGCATAATTTCAAATTTGGGCCCCCCCCCCCCCCCCCCCCCTAAGAAATTCTGGATCCACGACTGTCCCATTTTCCATACATCAACTGTGTACGAATCCTCTCCTTTGTCTGTCTGTATGTCTGTCCCAAGTGGAAAAGGATATAATCGGTCGTCATAGCTCATAAAGTATCATGTTCTAACAGCGCAAAACGTGACAATTTTTACATGAAGACATAAATTTTCTTTGAATTTGTAAAAGTCACTTCATATAGAAAATTTATGGTGAGTCTTGAATTATTAAAAGTCTCGCCATTAGATTTTTGCAATGGTTATTCTTGGTTATCATAATCTGCAAGTGCTGTATTTATATTGTAAGTGCTTTGATAGAGAAAAAATAAAATTCATGAAATGGTACACATTCATTTGTTTCAATGATACCAGGAACCACGTGGGCTCAACAGATCATGATGCTGGTGCAAGTTGAAGCAGATCTGTCCTTCTTCGAAGGGAAGCATATCTCCAAGTTGGTTCCATTCTTGGAATGTCCTGATGTACCTGATGCTGGGGTGGTAAATATAAGCATCATGCCGAATACACATGGGGCGTCATTGCTACCGTCAATTAAAGGTACTATGTCCCATTTGCAGGCCAACAAAATGAAAAGGTTAAATTCCAACGGCATTTGACAGGTATTACTAATTTAGAACTTCCCTAAAAAAAAAAGGGGGGGGGGGCTTGAAAATGTCTTGAAGCGGGAAATAAAGATTATTAGTTGTCGAATCGATTTAAAGCCCAAGTCCACTCCAAAAATAACTTACTTTCAATAGAACCAGAAAAATCAGACAAACCAATCAAAAAAAGTTTGAGCAAAATCGGATAACTAATAAGGAAGTTATGAATTTTTAATGACATGAAAAACTTTGAAAATCACTACACATATTGACAACTCACTCATGAGTCTGTGACGTATGGTCTTCACTATCTACTAATTATTTTCTTTATATTGATAATATAAATTTCCTATTTTCCCCCTAAGAATCTTATTTCTTCAACCCAGCATCCAAGTTTAATGAAAAATAATATGTTTTTGTGTGGATGCACAAATAAAGAGTAATTTTTGTCCAGTTAAATCATGAAAAATCGAATTTTGATTTACTATTTATATAAAAATCAATAATTATGAAATACAATATTCAGAAAATAGCATCAATTCTTCAAAATTCATAAAAGTTTTTGAGAAATGTCATGCACGCAATATGATACAAATCATATAACCTGGGCAAAGGCATGGGGAAATCAAGTTTTTTTTTAGATAAAAAGGGAAATTAATGGTATTAAACTATATAAAGCAATTGATAAGTTGTGAGGACATGACGTCACAAACTGATAACCATCTTGACAATTTGTGTTGTGATTCTCATTGTTCCATGGTTTTACATACTTTTTCAAAAATTCATAACTTTCTTATTGGTTATCCGATTTTGCTCAAACTTTTTTTGATTGGTTTGTCTGATTTTTCTGCTTTTATTGAAAGTAAGTTATTTTTATTTAACGAAATAGAATGCCTTTATGTGCGCCGGGTTTAACTCGTATGTACGGCGGATCTAGGAATCAATGACGATGGGCGTATCAGGACAGTTACCCCCTTGGCAATTACCCAAGAAAAATAGAAAAAATGAGGAATTTTGGACGAGAAAGTTCGGATGAGTGTCGTAGCGCCAAGTACAGGTATTGTTAGAAAAGATAAGATTTCAGCTTGGATTTAAAGGTCTATAAGGAAGCTATGATTCTCAAATTAAATGGTAAATGATTCCGAAGACAAGGTGCTGCAGATGAAAAAGCCCTTTCACCACAGGCTACTCGTGTCTTTGGGATCTTGTAGGCATAACAAGGTTTTGTAAATAGCTCTAAATACTTAACCTTGAAGCTCTCGAACAAAAGAGTAGGCCGCCTACTTTGCTAAAATGAGGACATGTTAACGTTTAAGTGTTTTTCTCCTTAATATTAATAGACTTTGGTTTGAAATCCCATTCTTTTAGTACAAGACGGAGGCAGAGTTAAACACGGCACCAACAATTGCTGAAGCTGCAGACGCAATGCCAACCGATACACCCAGAATACTGAAAACACACGTGGTCCAAAGATGGCTTCCTGAGGGACTCAAAGATGATCCCCAGGCCAAGGTTGTGTACGTGGCTAGGAACCCGAAGGATACGGCTGTTTCCTACTACCACTTCTGCCTGCTATTCAAAGATCTTCCACACTACACGTCGTGGGACGAGTTCTTTGAAGAGTTCATTGCCGATAGAGGTAGATCTCTCTGAATTGGATACGACTTGGGATTAACCTTGATAAGCAACTCTGCATTTATGTGTTTGTTTCCTCTCCGCAATACTGGTTTACCATCTTATTTCCCTCCTTTGTCACTTACTGGTTATGTATGTATTCCTTTTGTATTTTATAATGTACATTTTTGTATATGCATGTTTTTTTAAAACTTGAATGTATAGAAATAAATGAAATGAAATATATACCAACAATGTTCTATCATGTAGGAATATGCAATTGACGTATATCACGGGTAGATCGACGATCGTGAATGTGCGAGATGTTATGCTATTCATTAATACTCTTATATAAGAAGTATCAAACAATGAATATATATGTACGTCATTTAATGCTAATACATTGCTATACGAAATGTAAGATAAGTATGTTAGATAAGATAATCATTGCGTTAGTCACGGTGATATAGGTTCCAGTGGGCCAGTGGCAGTGGTTTAAGGGATTCTCCAGGTGATGTAGGCTATTAAATGGGGCCATCCAAGTCGACCGACAGCCCACAAGACCTGTCTGGTGGGCTACCGGTATATTGGGATGTCGGTCTCTGAGGCTCTAGCTCAGCTAAATTTTGGAATGGTCATTCGTTATTGTGAATTAAACTGTACAATTCTGTCTTCTCCATATCTCATCCAGTTCCTAACGGTTCTTGGTTTGACCACACCCTTTACTGGTGGAAGCTCAGGAATCATTCGAATGTTCTGTTCCTTACCTATGAAGACATGAAACAGGTAAGATATAAACGTTCTGTGTCAAACAGGCGCGGATCCAGGATTTTTTAGGGGAGGGGGCCCAACTTTTTTGTTGTTTTTGCTCCCGACAATTTGAAAATCGCGCCAGCCGAAAAGTCGCTCTGGGGGGGGGGGGGGGAGGGGGGGAGTGAGCACATTTATTTTTTGGCCGGTAAATTTCAAATATTTCGTATAGCACCTAAGGCCATTCCATGGTAGCTGCGACCATGAAACTCTCAGAATATGCAGTTCTGATTTATAATTTCTACACAGGATTAGCAAATCGGTCGATTCAGAAACATTGTTTTAAAGCTAAAGTAATATCAGTCTTGAAAGGGCGCTTTATAACATAAAGAGTTTATTATTTACAATTTCATCGCTTTAGGCTCGATTTCAACCGCGACAACGATCATTGAATATTGTAAAATTGCATATGCTTCCAATATGTTCTTTTGAACCAAATTCATGACCCCATACCAAAACTTTGTGTCACCTTTAAGAGGGGTGCATATATATATACTTGCACAGGGTAGAGTTACAAGAAAAAAGTTTGTCCATGGGGTCAAAAGGAGTCGGGGCACCTAAATACGACAACAAAAACAGAACAAAATATTTTTCATTGGAATCCTGTGGAATGAACCCACAATTATTAATCAAATCAGAGTTTTTTGTTTTTGTCAGAATTTCTTTACAAAAGATTATGAAAATGACGATGAATACAATGATGCATTAGTTTTTTTTTTTAATGAATCTTTCATCCATATATCTTAGGGAACTTCCTTGGTTGCATGGCCAAAACAATAAACGACAGTAGAAACGTCGAAAAAGATGACAGAGCTTTCTCTTTTTTTTCAGAATTTCTTTACAAAAGATTATGAAAATGACGATGGATACAATGATGCATAAATAAAATGAATGTTTCATCCATATATCTTAGGGAACTTCCTTGGTTTCATGGCCAAACAATAAACGACAGTAGAAACGTCGAAAAAGATGACAGAGCTTTCTCTTTTTTTTCAGAATTTCTTTACAAAAGATTATGAAAATGACGATGGATACAATGATGCATTAATAAAATGAATGTTTCATCCATATATCTTAGGGAACTTCCTTGGTTTCATGGCCAAACAATAAACGACAGTAGAAACGTCGAAAAAGATGACAGATAGCTATTTTGATACTGATGTTCAAACATACTTACTTCGCTACGCATACTTTCTTAATTGTGATAGGACTCGAGGAAAGCCGTAGTTCTGATCGCCGAGTTCATGGGAAAATCTTTATCAGACGACATCATTGACCGTATCGTCGATGCGTCAAGTTTCAAATTCATGAAAAAGAATAAAAGCACGAACCCCGACGTCGCTTACGAGAAAGAAATGGACAACAAAAACAAGAAATCATTCATGCGGAAAGGTAAAGCTTCTGGTGCAGGTCTACGCTCTGTAATCCTCTGTTCCATTGTCTTATATCATATTGGTCCTGTGGCATATTGCTTTACCTTCCAATTGGTCCTATGTTAAACTGTTCAAGTATCCCATTGGTCCTTCGTTTCATGGGCTGTGTGACACATTGGTCCTTCGTCCGGTTGGAACTATGTCTCACTGGTTCTCCTCATCATGGGTCCGTCGTCACATAATGTCCAATGTCCCATTGGTCGTTTGTCCAATGAGTCCTATGTCACATTGGTCCTTCCTCATAATGGGTCCTATATATCACATTCGACTTCTGTCCAATGTTGTCCTTTGTCACAATAATTATCCGTACCATTGATCATATGAATTTTTTGTCTTTGACTCCCTGGTCCTCAGTCCTATTGGTCCAATGTCAAATTGGTGTACGTCCCACATGCCTCGATAGTCCTTTGTTCCATAGGTCGCATTGAATATGGACCTATGTCCCTTTGGTCATGTGTCTCTTTGATCCTCTGTCCAGTTGCTCGTGTATCCCGCTATGCCCTGTTTCATTGGACCCTCCATCCCTTTGTTCCAATGTCAGTCAAATAGGGTCTTCGTCCCATTAACCCCTATGTCACGTTATAGGTTATGTAAATGAAGGTTTAAATAATGGGCTATTATGTAAACCTCCTTTGTGAATTCGGGCCTTTGACTCTCTCTCCCATTCTTCCTATGGTACATTTGTGGTATCAATATTCCCATGAGAGGATGAAGCTCCCTTAGCCTATCCCCCTCCCCCTGCGTACACCTTAGTGCCAGTCGGTATCGCTATATCAAAAATTAGCCTATCCATTTACTCAGTCGTTATCTCACATTTGAACCTCCGAACGTTGGTAAAAATCTATATGCGTTGATTTAGCAGAAACATTTGGAATTATTTTATCACAATTTTGGCGACTTCTAGACGTTTAATTTCTTGTCGTATGAGTGTAAACTTTCTTCTTTTTATTTTCTTTGTAGGGGTGGTCGGAGATTGGAAGAATTACTTCTCAGAAGATCAGAATCGTCGATTTGATCAACTCTACCAAGAAAAGATGGCAGGATCTGGACTCGAATTAAGATTTGAATAATCACGATCAGAGATGGTGATCCCGGGAAGCCCTCCTCCGGAAACTGTAAAGGAAAACTAATGACAAAGGGGGTAGCACATAAGGCTAAATGCGACAGCATACCTTACGTTCTAAAAGGCCCAATACACTCTAAAAAAATATTGGGCGCCCAATTTTTACCCAACATGAGGGCGATTATGTGTACAACCAACTGTTGGGTAAAAAGAAAATACCCAACTGTTAACCAACAAAAATTTACCCAATCAGAAATTCACCCAATTCTCACCATAATGTGTAGCATATATTAGACACTAGTGGGGCAATTAAGTTGGATAAAATATTATATGCAAAAGGACATTAGTGCCGCGGAGGGACTAGAACCGCGGACCTTGTGATCTACAGTCGTGTGACATATCCACTCGACCACGACACCTCTAATATAAGAATATAACATTATTGTTGTATAATAATGTTGCCTGACTTACGTTTGCCCAGTTACATCTGCCCAACTTATATTGAACATGTAATTGGGTAAATACATGTAGTGAATGGTTGGGAGAAAATAACCCAAATGTTGGACAAAAATGGCCCGACCCTAATTTGCCTAATAACATTACCCAATTATTTCATCGGTTACTACATGGTTGGTAAGAAATAACCCAATTGTTGGGCTACATTTGCCCAACATCGATTTGCCAAGTAACACCTACCCAACCTTTTTTTACCTTTCGTGAGGTAACTTCATATAGTAAATGATTGGGAGAAAATAGCCCAGTTATCGGACAAGATATGCCCAACTTCGATTTACCCAGTAACATCTGCCCAACTTTTTTAACAGTGTAGAAGGCAAAATTCCACTATTCACGAATGGCAAACACGGTCCCTGATCATGAATTCATCTTAACATCACTTTCTCATTCTGTCTAAATTCATTATTGCGCTTCGATTCACACATAATTGGCAAGGCATTAATTTACATTTGCCACTCTCCACCCAGGTGAAGTAAATGGGAACCCGGTAGGAAGAAATTCCTTGAATGCTTTAGCGCCTTACTATGGCAGCTCAGCTACAGCCAACACTGATATGGGGTAATATAATTATGATACTTTTTATCATATAGCTCCGTTTAGTCTCATTTCACAACGCCCCCTATCGTCAGAGTCAGCACCCATACATGTTAGCCTATGGAATTGCACCCCAAAAATCGTTAAAAATTCTTTTTATATTAAACGAAAAGCACATCCACCCCGAATTACGTTATCACTAGCTCTTTCATTGGAACCCTCATGTCCCATTGACTTTTGAAAGTTCACCCACCGTAATTTGATCAAAATAGGTTGCAAGCTCGTCATTGCCTATAATACACATGTGAAACAAGTCGAACTTTGGACTCAGTTTGCTAAGCGATTTTAACATTATAGGTCAAGCACACGAAGGATAAGAAGCATGAATTATCATAGATCACTTCTGCTTGGTTCATTATGTCCATTTCATCCAACCACCAACCGTAATTTTTCCATTTAGTAAAAGCAAACATTTTGCCGAGGTAAGCAAAAACATGAATATTCATGAATGGTCAGACATTACAGCCTTTTAGTACGTAACGTATAGTGAATAGGAATGGGCGATGATCCGTCCAGGAGGTAGAGGTCAGTGGTTTGTGCTGGCAATGTTCCAGCGAGCGAAAATGAGACAATCGGAGCAATATGATTCATAATATTATAGTGGCTGCGCTATATAGATTTACTTATTATTATTATTATAATTATGTATCTTGGAAGAGGAAACAAAATGTTTGTCTTTTATACTGAATTATAATGACACATCAACTAATCTTTAACCAAATATTCGAGTGACCTTTTACTTCTATTTTGCATATTAATCAGCGTTTTGTTTCCAAAGCTTTGTTCTAAAACGAAAGTGTGAGTTGTATGTGGTTAATGATTATGTACTTTGATAAATGTCCAAGCAGATGAAGAAATAATATAACTTTTCTTTACCATAAATGGTCAACAATGACTTTCATGATCAGGCCTTTGAAACATTTTGAAATTTCTCTATAATAGTTCATGCTGCCGTTTTGTAAATTCAGCGTAATTCTGTTATGAGCAATGTTCCTTTCATTATGTGATTATTATACCAAAGAAACAAGTGTAGACAGTTGTATAGTTTATAGAAAATCAAACTAAGAACTGAAATATGTAATTACATTTATTTCTCTGGATGCTCATTGTAGTGCCTAAATTGCTTGGTCGAAAAATCTACCAGTATGAATAAAACTATTCAACTCGAGAAAAAAAAACATGTACGAGTGATACTTACAGGTGTATCTATGAAAAATAATGAATAGATTCTCTATATATTCTCTAACTATATTCTCTGATGTATTAAAATCAGTGGCGTAGCTACGGAGGCACACCCCCGTCCAATTGAATATTAAAATATAAACAAGAGGTGAGAGTGAGGGGAGAGATGAAGGAAAAGGGAAGGGAACGTGAAAGGATATAAACAAATATAAATTGTATCATATGAACATGTATATTATAATCATTTGTCAATGTGTTGTTACACCCTTTGTAAAATGAGATATTGTGGGCACCAATAAGCTATCTATATCTATCTATATCATCAAGGACCAATGAACAAATTATTAGCGATTTTGATAGGCATTAGATTAAAATCATTAAACAGTATGTTTCGCAGGAGTGCTAGGAGTAGTCCGGGAGGGGGTGTTTCGGGAGGAATGACATGTTTTTTTTTTTTTTATTATCTTTCTATCGTCACATTGGCTTCCAGGATATGGGGATGTTTCTGAAATTAGTGGATTTAGTATTTTGTAGTCCTAGGCTCTATAACCATAGCGTTAAATCTATTCGTTTCTTCTTCAGATTATTCCATCCCCATCCCAGTACCTTATTATTATAATTTTTTGACGGCTCTCTTTTTTCGATTTTGTTTCTCTCTGCGACAACAATCGATTAATTCTCGTTTCATAGTTTGTCTTCGTTATTATTCCCAATTCTAAAAAGATTTATCCTGCCCTCACCGTATTATCATTGATAGGCCCATATTTTTAGCTATCTTGAAGCTCTGTATGATAGAACAGACCTTGAACAAACGCCTTCACATGTAAATATGTTTTTCACTATAAATGTACATACATTAGATATTTGCACAAATTATTTGACAGCAAATTCTAGCTCTATAGATGTACTTCACCCACAAACATACCCTTTGAACCATTCGATCAAAATAAAATCACTCTTATGGTCTACGGTCACCACTACGTGTGCTATATTACTTTGATAAATCATTACATTCCGTCCAGATCTCAAAGCTCCAGATTTATTGTTCTTTCTAAACTCAATACTAAGCTGGGGGGGGGGGACCTTAGCTTATACAAGGCATTCGCTGTGGAATCCTCTACCTCGAAAGATTCTTAATTGCAGATCAGTTGAAGGGCTTCAAAGTAATTTTAAAACGTATCTGTTTAATTCGGAATATAATTTTTGCTCTGTAATGTTTCTACTTTCTATCTTACTTCTGTTCCTTTCTTTATAATACAGGTAATCAACTGCTTTTATGTGATCTCTGTTTTGTTTTTGTTTTTGTTTCACAAGTGCGCCTTGAGCATTTGATTTCAATTGGATTTGGCGCCTTATTATTATTTATTATCATCACAGTGCACTCAGAACGTTACGATAGGGTTCCAAATATCTAGGTTAGCATTCGTCAACCTTTGTATATAGTCACGACACCCTTTGAGAAATAAAAAGTGTCGCGTCACCCTCCAAAATTCATTATACAAACATCATTCCCATCACTCTGGTACACGTCAAGGGCTATGCACACACAAAAATGTTTCGATAATTATGCGCTCCGAGATTGGAAAGAATTGAGTCTAAAAATGTTGAATATTAAAAAAATCTAAAAGCATCGCTAACACTCGGATGCATGTTGTGCTCCCTTGCAAATTATGGGGTATATTGGGTAATAAAATGTTTGTTTGATTGGTAAAGAAAAAGGAACATTGGTAAACCGCCGCTCGGTCGCTTTCTCTTTTCACTTGTTTAGGTATTTATAAAACTTAAGTGAAATTTCAACCTATAGATAGACGACTACTCTGAAAGAAAGCAAACAAAAATCCGAACAGTGGAATGGTAGACTAAGTTTGAATGAAATCGGACAAAACTAAGAACGATATCAATTTTGAAAGTTGTAATCATTATACATATGGGAAAGTCAAATTAGCTAAATTGGTAAGGTCACTGTGACATACTGCCGGACTACTTTAATAACAAACATTATTTTATCAACTTTAAATGCAAGCTTGCGAGCTTTGCGTGAAATTAAAGAAAAGGCTGACCTTAGTCGCTTTAAATTAGGAATACCTTTTATCATAAAAGGAAAAGACGGCATTTATCCAAATGAAAAAGGACACTTATTAGAAAACAAAAGGAGAACGTGTTAAAGTATCAAGGGGAATTATCAGATGTGATAATGGGGCATTTCTCGCCCCTGATAAGAGGCATTCATCAGAGGTGAAAAGAGGCACTTATGAGAACGGGAAAAAGGGCACTTATTACAAAGGAAAAGGGGTAAATATCAGAAGGAAAATGTGAGTTATTGGAAAGGAAAATTGGGCACACGTGCCAAAATAAAAGGCTCTCATTGCAAAGTTAAAGGGGCACCTCTCAAATTTGAATAGGGGCAATGACCAGAGATAAAAAGAGGGCACTTTATAAGCAAGGGGGCATACAAAGAACTAGATGGAATTTTGACTGCGCGCAGTCGAAAATGATGCCTCCGCCATAGAGCAATTTAAACAAGTTTGGAGTTTAAATCTCCAGTGGTTCTTGAGATATCATGATAACAATCTCAATGTATGGAATTTCATAAGTTGACCTCTGTGACCCTTGACCTTTGACCTACGTGCTCCAAAATCTAATCAGATTGTTTTCCTATAGTGATACACACTATCACTAAGTTTGAAGTTTAAATCTCCAGTGGTTCTTGAGATATCATGATAACAATCTCAATGTATGGAATTTCATACGTTGACCTCTGTGACCCTTGACCTTTGACATACGTGCTCCAAAATCTAATCAGATTGTTTTCCTAAAGTGATACACACTATCACTAAGTTTGAAGTTTAAATCTCCAGTGGTTCTTGAGATATCATGATAACAATCTCAATGTATGGAATTTCATAAGTTGACCTCTGTGACCCTTGACCTTTGACATACGTGCTCCAAAATCTAATCAGATCGTCTTCCTATGGTGATACATACTATCCTTAAGTTTGAAGTTTAAATCTCAAATGGTTCTTGAGATATCGCGCTAACAAACTCAATACAAGGAATTTCATAAGTTGACCTCTGTGACCTGTGACCTTTGACCTACGTACTCCAAAATCTAATCAGATCGTCTTCCTATGGTGATAAATACTATTCCCGAGTCTTAAGTTTAAATCTTAAATGGTTCTTGAGATATTGTGATAACGGTCAAACGGGACGGACGGACGTACGGACGGACAACCCGAAAACATGATGCCTCCGGCACCACCTTCGGTGGCGGAGGCATAAAAAGAGTAACTGGTCAAAATATAAGGGGCACCTCTCCGATTTGAAAAGAGGCAATTATAAGAGGTGAATAAGCACGTATCAGAGGTGTAAGGGGGCCCTTCTAAGAATTAGGAACGGGCACATATTAGAAATAAATGTGGGAACTTATCTAAATTAAAAGGGGCCACTTTTCCTATGTAAAAATGGGCATTCTAGGGGTAATTGAAAATTCCCCGCCCCCTGGATCCACCACCTCTACTTCTAGTCTGATAATTATGTCGTACGAACATTTAGTGGGCGGGGCTCGTGACCACACTTGCAATTTTTCGCTATGATTCTTTAAAAGACGTTTCTTTATACGAGTTTCGTAAAATATACTTAACATGATTAGGGCACTTACTTTTGATGTACTCCTACTTCTACTGAAAGTTTAAATGCAAAGATTGTTCTTGCTGTTGTTGTTGTTGGTTTTTATTCAGTTGTCAGTTTTCAGTTTCAAGTTTTATTTCTGTATTTTCTATAAACAATAACAAAAATGACAATGAATACATTTTAGCAATATAATGATAAAGTAATACAAGTAGCAATTCACAAATAAATAAATATAAATAATCAATAGTACAATTAATCGTATTTGAAAAGAAAGAAAAGGGGGAGAATGCAGAAGACCGATATCGTAAGCAGAGCTTGAAATGATACCGGCCTTACAAAAGGAGGAGAGGAGACAGGAAGAAAGAGTGGGTGAAGAGAGTGCTGTGCAAAGTGAAGAGTGCACTGCGCGAGCTCCTCAATCTATCAAATAATTTCCTTTTTATATACAAATAAACAATGAATATTTATATTAAAACAAAGTACATGTAGTACATTATAACCAGAATCTAATTTGCATACCTTATCAATAAATATTCTTTCATCTTCACTTTAAAGGAAACAAGTGTTGTACATAATTTTAATGTTATAAGCAAGGAGTTCCACACATCGGGTCCATTGTGTCTTATTGATTTTTGTGCCAAAATGGTGTTTCCATTGTCGTTGGATGATTTTCGCCAGGCAATGTGAGAGGACGTAGTTTCTGATCCTCTCTCCGTATTTTTGCTCTGTTGGGTCGACGATAGCTTATGGCGTTGTGTTTCAAAGTAATAATGTCAGTAAACTTTAAGTAGTTATTTTCTGTATTGTTATGTAGCTTGTTATTTTAAAGAATAAATAAAGGTTTAATTACCATGTTCTTAATATGTAAGAGCTTGTGTTGATGCATTCATGTGATGAATAATTGGTCCTGTAAGTATTTCATATTGACTTTAAAATCTGTTTGGATCGAGCTATTTAGCAAGATTCATTTCTTTCACTAGTTCTTTATTGGACGTTTCTTTATATCCGGTTATTTTCTAGTCTGAACGTCCCTTTCGCAATACAAAGATTTGTTTATCATGTTTATATACGACGTTTCTTTGTATGAGTTTCGTGTACATTTCGATCTGTAAATGTAGGCTGAACACGCACTGAACTTTAATCTACTCCTACTGTAGAAATTACAAGCCCAAAGGTTATTGTACCGTGTCCTTATATGCTTGCGTTGATGCAATCATGTGAGGAAAGAAGGTGGCCAAAAAGGTGACATTCTAAGAGTCCTGTCGGTACTCTATCTATATTGACGGTGAAATCGGGTGGGAGCTGTACAGCGAGAAATCATTTTCGCCAGTAAGAAGAGAAGGATCGGGATCCGAACATGGCTGGAACTAAAGGCAAGTAGCTTGATCGAGAGAATCATATTAGAGAGAGAAACGTATTATAGAGAGAATCAAAATTATCTTGTATGTCTCTGAAAAACTAAGGTGAAGTGTGACAAAACAGCATAAGAAAGGACCCAAAGGTTTAAGTACCATGTTCTTATAGGGGCTTGTTTTGATGCAATCATGGACTACTATGATGCAATCATGTGAGGAAAGAAGGCGGACAAACAGGTGATATTCCAAAGGTCCTGTTGGAAAGTGAAATTGGGTTGGAGCTGTATGTACAGCGAAAAAAAAAAAAATCATTTTTCGCCAGTAAGAAGAGAAAGATCGGGATCCAAACATGGCTGGAACTAAAGGCAAGTAGCTTGATGGAGAGAATAATATTACTAAAAAAGTTATTGCCAAGTAAAACGAATATTGGTGAATTGAACATAATTCCAAATGATGAATTCATTACGGACACAAATATTATTGCTGAAATCTTAAATAAAGCTTTCAAAGAATTTGCACAGAATCTAGAACAGGGTGCTCAAATCTTGGTACATAATGTAAATAGCATGAATACTTTGGTTTTGATAGATAAGAGTTTTGTTTTCGAAGAAATAAAAGAAGAGTTTGTTCTTTAGGAATTGCAGCATCTTGATGTTAAGAAAACATGTGGCGTTGATGGACTGCATCTGAAAATTTTGAAGAAGTCTGCTTCTTATATTGCTGAGCCTCTTACAAATTTATTTAATAAATCACTCGAAACAGGTCGAATTCCAAAAGAGTTTTAAAAAAGCAAAAATAACCCCAATTCTTAAAGGTGGTACTTTTGAACCACAAAATTTTAGATCTATTTCGCTTTTACCAACAGTCTCTAAAATATTAGAAAAGGCAGTACATCAACAGCTTTATGCTTATTTAAATAACAATGATCTAATATGTGATCGCCAGTCTGGTTTTAGACCTCTTCATTCACCAGGCGCGGATCCAGGGGGGGGGGCCGAGCGGGCCTTGGCCCCCCCCCCCCCCCCGCAAAAAAAAAGAGAGAGAAGAAGGAAAAGAAGGGAGAAAGGGAAAAAGGAAAAAAGGGAAAGAAAGAAGAGGAAGAAGAAAAGTAAAGGGGGAAGAAGAAGATCGGGGGGGCCGAAAGGGCCTTGCCTCCCAGGCTGTTACCGCCCCCCCCCCCCCAATCAAAAAAATCAGAGAGAAGGAAGGAAAGGAAAAGAAAAAAAAAGGAAAAGAGGAGATACTGGCGTACTGATAGAGGGGGGGGGGGGCTTGGGGGAAATCAAATTCAAACGTGGTTTATTTCTGATTCCACAACGGTGCATTACAAATAATGCTGAAATGACATAATTTCCGAAATTTTTCCTCACTTTTTAGTAAATTATACGTTTGTATGTGTTTGTTGGAAAATAAAAAAATTCCTAAATTTACAACCAGGCATAAAATATGATTCTTGAGATTCCTACATGTCAGGGCCCGAGGAACGGCGGGGATCGAGATCCTCGAGGCATCAAAATATGCTCATCTGACCGTGATTAAATGCCTAAAACCCCTAAGCTTCCGGGGGCTTTGCCCCCTGGATTCCATCTAGGGCCCTACGGCGGGCCCTTAGATGATCATCTGACGGTAATTTAATGCCTAAAACCCCTGATTTTTTTGGGCTCCGCCCCCTGGACCCCACGCCAAATAGTGACTTGCCAGTGTCACAAAATAATAAGGTATACACAAAAATATGCTCATCTGACCTTAATTAAACGCCTAAAACCCCTGAGCTTCTGGGGCCGGCTCCGCCGCCTCGACCCCACCAGGGGCCCTAAGGCGGGCCCCTGAATGCTTATCTGACCGTAATTTATTGCCTTAAACCCCTGAGCTTGCGGGGTCGGACAAGGTATCAAGATGTGTTTATCTGACCGCAGGCGCGTAGCCAGGGGGGGGGGGGACGTAGGAAGAAAAAGGAGCAGACAAAGAACATCTTTGAAATTCAGACAAGGATTAAGAGTATATAGAGAACGGTACAACGCATCGTTTTCTTTCTCTAATGATAAAACGTCAAAGCCTCTCGTAGGAGGGGAGGAGGGGGGGGGGAGACTGGATTGAGACGAGGATTCAGAGGCGAGAACGGTAATACGAATCTTTAATTATTTAATGAAACGTAAAAGCTTCCGCGCTTTGCGCGGGAGGGGGGAACCTGAATTCAGACGAGGATTAAGAGTCGAGAACTGTACAACGAATCGTCTTCTTTCTCTAATGATTTAATGAAACGTAGAAGCTTCCGCGCTATGCGCAGGAGGGGAGGGGGAGGAACTGAATTTAGACAAGGATTAAGAGTCGAGAACTGTACAACGAATCGTCTTCTTCTCTAATGATTTAATGAAACGTAAAAGCTTCCGCGCCTCGCGCGGGAGGGGGGAACCTGAATTCAGACGAGGATTAAGAGTCGAGAACTGTACAACGAATCGTCTTCTTTCTCTAATGATTTAATGAAACGTAGAAGCTTCCGCGCTATGCGCAGGAGGGGAGGGGGAGGAACTGAATTTAGACAAGGATTAAGAGTCGAGAACTGTACAACGAATCGTCTTCTTCTCTAATAATTAAATGAAGATTAAAAGCTTCCGCGCCTCGCGCGGGAGGGGGGAACCTGAATTCAGACGTGGATTAAGAGTCGAGAACTGTACAACGAATCGTCTCCTTTCTCTAATGATTTAATGAAACGTAGAAGCTTCCACGCTTCACGCAGGAGGGGGAGGGGGGGAACTGATTTTAGACAAGGATTAAGAGTCGAGAACTGTACACCGAATCGTTTTCTTCCTCTAATGATTTAATGAAACGTAAAAGCTTCCGCGCTTCGCGCGGGAAGGGGGAGGGGGGGGGGGACATAATTCAGACGAGGATTAAGAGTCGAGAACGGTACAACGAATCGTTTTCTTTCTCTAATGATTTAATGAAATGTAAAAGCTTCCGCGCTTCGCGCGGGAGGGGGGGGGGAACTGAAATCAGACGAGGATAAAGGGTCGAGAACGGTACAACGAATCGTCTTCTTTCTTCAATAGTTTAATAAAACGTCAAACCTTCCGCGCTTCGCGCAGGAGGGGAGGGGGGGCTGAATTTAGACAAGGATTAAGAGTCGAGAACAGTACAACGAATCGTTTTCTTTCTCTAATGATTTAATGAAACGTAAAAGCTTACGCGCTTCGCGCGGGAGGGGAAAAACTAAATTCAAACGAGAATTATTTTCGAGAACGGTACAACGAATCGTCTTCTTTCTTTAATAGTTTAATAAATCGCAAAATTTCCGCGCTTCGCGCGGGAGGAGAAAAACTAAATTCAGACGAGAATTATTTTCGAGAACGGTACAACGAATCGTCGTCTTTCTCTAATAATATAATGAAACGTCAAAGCCTTGGAGGGGGAAACTCGCCCCCCCCCCCCTGCACCGACCCCCCCCCCCCCCCCGCATCACGTCACTGTTGGTCACCATAACGTACCAATATTTGGCTCGCATAATTTCAAATTTGGGCCCCCCCCCCCCCTAAGAAATCCTGGATCCGCGCCTGAAGATCACTGGGGGTCTGTTTTTAGACCTACATAAAGCGTTTGATGTCATTCCAATTGATTCAATCCTCGATAAAAATGTATTATTATGGTATAAAAGACTCTGAGTTACAATGGTTTAAAATGTATTTGAAAGAAAGGCAACAATGTTTTTTTCAATTGTAGGAGCAACAAGTACGTTTTTAAATGCCAAGACGGGTGTCCCTCTAGGGTCCATACTTGGGCCCCTGATTTTCTGTCTTTATGTCAATGATATAGGTAATTTACCTTTACATAATAAAACAAATATATGTTTATATACAGATGACAATTGCGATAATAATATGAGTAATATCCAGACAAATTTACAGTCCGATCTGGATTTAATTACAGAATGGCTCCGACTTTAATCGCCTGTATTTACATCCACAAAAGACCAAGATTGTGACTTTTGGTAATAAACGTAAATTACAAAATAAAAAAATGACAATTCAATTTGAAGGTGCATCTTTAGAGCATGTCAACAATATCAAATACCTCGGAATAATTCTCGACTCTCAATTAAATGGGACATTACATATTCAGTATATCCCTAGTAAAATCTCACGCTCTATCGCTTGTATTAGAAGAATCAAACATTTGACCAAAAATTTAACAGTTATATCATGCATTGATATTATCATATATAGATTATTTTTGTACGGTATGGTGAAATTGTTCGAAAACTAAAATAACTCGGTTACAGAAATTGCAGAATAGAAATGCTCGTTTGGTTTTGAATGCAGATTATTCAACTTCACAATGTTCTTTATTAACTACCTTCAATTGGCAATCTGTTGAACAAAGAATTAAATATAAAAAATGTCTTTTAGTCTATAAGATTTGGAATGATTTTGCACCAAAATACCTGAAACCATTGTCTGTTTTGGGACCCATTGTTTATAATACTCGCCATACCACCCAAAACCGTCTACACATACCATACCCTAAAACAGAATACAAAAAACGTTCCTTTTCATTCACCGGAAATTCTTTATTTAATAAGTTGCCATTGTCCGTCCAAAATTGCAAGTCACTAAACAATTTCAAGAAACAATGTAAATAGTTCTCTAACATGCTTTAACAACGAAAAGACACACGAGAATCTGGCCTACTGGGGGGGGGGGGTCTCGCCGTGCATCCCACGTGCACCTCATGTGTATATATAGTTTATTGTATAGTCAAATGTATAAATGTTTTTATATATTGAGTTATATTGATGTTTCAATTAATGTTTTGTTTTTATTTGTTATGTTATTGTTTGTATCATGTGGAGGGCTCCGTTGGAAAGCAGTTTCTTTTAACTGAATCGGACTACCCTCCACTGTTTTGTCAATTGTAATAAATTCAACATGAATAAATAAATAAATAAATTAGAAATAGAATCATATTAGAGAGAGAATCATATTAGAGAGAATCCTAATTAGGTTTTTTTACTCTGAATAACTCATTTCTTAGGTGAAGTGTGGCGTAAAAAAAGGGCTCGTCTTTATGAAGAGATATGAATTAATTTTACCGCGATAAGAATCAATCAATCAATCAATCGCTACCCAATGCGATTCCTGGACGTTGTCTTTATTATATGAAAGTCGATTTTGATATTTATCTCATCTTGACTTTGATGCCATTATTATTAGTTCTTTAGTTAGACGCGATCTCTTCTTGAATTTAGTCAGATCTTAACTTGAAATTAATACCAATATATTGTCAATCTAGACTCGATTTTGATATCGATCTGTTTGTTTGTTTGTTTTACCTGACTGCTAAGAAAGCATGTGTATGCTTGTATATTAAAGTAAGCAATCAGTTGACTTATGGCTTTGAGCCATCGCCGAAGGACTGGGTAATGAGGATCAATGCATTATCAAAGGGCACTACCGCATCGACTTGGTTTCGAACCCGAGACCTCGATCCCGGTTACGAGACCGGTACTCTACCACCGCTCCCAACACTGACCCATTGTGCCTCCTCATCTTGACTTTGATGCCAATCTCATCTTTAAGGTTTATGTCAATCTCTAATTTTACTAGCAATATTTACAATAATAATAACAATAGTAAATTCGATTTATCACCAATTCTAGTAATGATGATGATAATAATAAAATAATAAATAATTACAATGATTCATTGCGAACAAATCTAATAATTTCTATGCGTTTTTTTTTTTGTTTTTTTTTGTTTAGAACCTGTCCGGTGTTGGACCGGGGAGATGTCATCCCTCCTAGCCGAGGCTCCGGCACATGTTGCCAAAACTTGCTACGAGTACGATAAAACCATCACGAGCTTTTTCTTTACCAAGAAGTGTATTGAGCAGACCAAGAATTTCAAACTCCGATCAGATGACGTGTTCATTATCACTTATCCAAAGACAGGTGGGTAACCTAAAGAACTGCAATTTCCCGAACTAGGTAACATTGATTACGAGTTGAGTATATACGACCTGAGTACGAGTTGGTTACGATGTGAGTACGAATTGAAAGCCTAGTATAACAAACAACTCGGACAGAACTCAGGACAGCTCGGCGAAGAAACTCCTAGCATTTATTTCATATGCTCAAAATGCCCCCCGAGTCAATACGAATTGCTAGTAATAGTATGATCATTCTAATAATACTAATTTGTACGAGTTCACCGGCTGTCTTCCAGTTGGAGTGCAGTTCCCAATTTGCTCACATCAACTGTGTACGAATCCTCTACTTTGAACGCATTTTACAGTACGGAGTCTAGAATAAGTTTATTAATATACAGCTATATAATATGTCAGTCCCGAGTGAAGAAGGATATAATCGGTCGTCATAGCTCAGACAATAGGGACTTTTAGATTTGCACGTCAACAGCTTTGACTGCAACATGTGACGTCATTTTAAGGCACTGCGCATGCGTTACGTCGTCTCAGTCGAGATCGAGAATGCGTCAACCTTGATTTTCCTAAATCTAGTACATACATACATATTGATATTTATATAGCGCCTTTACATGCTCAAGGTACTAGTATGCCACGTGCGCATAAAATATACAGTTCCTCAGGTAGACAAAGGAACATCCCTTCCCTGCTATTATGTAAAAATGTGTAGAGCAGGTGTCACATGCATATTCACCTATTCTACACATTTTTTACATAATATCAGTGAAGGGATGTTCTTTTGTTGAGGGTAGAATGGGGAACTGTATATTTTGTAGAATGGGGAACTGTATATTTTGTCTTCTTTCGATGTCCGTGATGTTCATAGTGTTACTTCCTGCATGCATGTATATCGTCGAGTGCAATCTAAAAGATTTCTAATTGTAGTCAACATGGGCAGTTAAGTACGTTGACACGCTTGATCAGTCGGCGTTCGTCGTGTTCTCGTCCACTCAATCTAAAAGTCCCTAATATCATGTTCTAACATCGCAAAACGTGGCAATATTTACATGAAGACAAGAACTCCCTTGGATTTTGAAAGTAACTTCACGTAGGGAATCTATCATGAATTTTGAACTATTAAAGTCTCGCCGTTTGATTTTTCCAAAGGCTATTCTTGGTTATCATAATTTGCAAGTGCTGTATTTATATTGTATGTTCTTTATCAAACATGAAGCCTTATTTGCTTTAATAGAGAAAATATGAAATGATTTACCTTCATTTATGTTTCTATGGTACCAGGAACCACGTGGGCTCAACAAATCATGATGCTGGTGCAAGTTGAAGCAGATCTGTCCTTCTTCGAAGGGAAGCATATCTCCAAGTTGGTTCCATTCTTGGAATACCCTGATCTACCGGATTCTGGGGTGGTAAATATATCAAACCCGATACACATGGGTGTTATAGCTATCGTCAATTACGCCAAATGGATGGCTTAATTTCAATAGAATTTATGACACAGTAAGGAATTAAAAATAGGCCCCTCACCCTGTAGATTATGAAGGCTGAGCCCGGAGTTGTTGCACAAATGTTCTTTATGCTTCCGTTTCTCCAGAATTCCTAGATCATTCATTCAGCACACTGCTTCAACGATTGCGCCTTTGCTGATTATCTTGTATTGGAATAACGAAAAAAAATACCTTTATGTGCGCCGGGTTTAGCTCGCATGTACGGCGGATCTAGGAATCAGTGACCATGGGCGTATCATGATAATAATTACCCTCTGGGCGATCACCACCATTGGAAAATTACCCCCGGAAAATTACCCCCCCCCCCCGAGGACAATTACCCCCGCCCCAGGACTAGCAAGGACAACCACCCGCGAGGACGATTCCCCCGAACCCCCCCCCCCCCCCCCATGTTCCTTAAAGGGGAAGTCCACCCTGATTATAAGTTGGTTTTTAATAAATTTAAAGCAGTTTTTTTCGAGGGATTATTTACCCTCGGTGGTTTAGTGGTAATTGTCATCGAGGGTTATTCTCCGGGGGTAATTATCCGGGAGAGGAATTGTCCCTTGGGTAATTTTCCTGGGGGTAATTGTCCTTAGGGGTAGTTTTCTGGGTGGTAATTTTCTGAAGGGAGGGTGATTGCCCAGTGGGTAATTGTCCTAGAACCGACTATGGGCATTAAAAGGCGATTGCAGACAATAGGCCTTTGGATCCATCAAAAATGATTGTATCAAGTGCATAAATCATCAAAAAGGATATTGATTTATCACTCTTATATAGACCCCGCCCATCCATCCAACCCTCTCCCTGCCTCTATCCGTCTCTATAGAACTATAATCATTGCTGTAAATAACATTGTAGGTCTCAAACAATAGGGATACAAGTTCTTTGCTTATAATGAGGATATATTATTATTTGTTTTTTCATAATTTTAATTGACTTTGGTTTGAAAATCTCATTCTTTTAGTACAAGACGGTGGCAGAGATAAACACCGCACCAACATGGGTTGAAGCTGCAGACGCAATGCCAACCGATACACCCAGAATACTGAAAACACACGTGGTCCAAAGATGGCTTCCTGAGGGACTCAAAGAAGACCCCCAGGCCAAGGTTGTGTACGTGGCTAGGAACCCGAAGGATACGGCTGTTTCTTACTACCACTTCTGCCTGCTGGTCACAGATCTTCCAAACTACACGTCGTGGGACGAGTTCTTTGAAGAGTTTATTGCCGATAGAGGTAGATCTCTCTGAATTGGCTACGACTTGGGATTAACCCTCACAAGCAACTTAACTTTAATTTGTTGTTTTTTTCCATGCGTTATTGTGAATTAAATTTTACAATCTGTCTTTTCCATATTTCATCCAGTTCCTGGCGGTTCGTGGTTTGACCACACCCTGTCCTGGTGGAAGCTCAGGAATCATTCGAATGTTCTGTTTCTTACCTATGAAGACATGAAACAGGCAAGATATAAACGTTCTGTGTATAAGTTTCGAGAATGGCCGTGAGAATGGCATTTCATTCGCGTGTAATTTCAGTCTCTACAACTTTCGGTCTCACTTGCCGTAGATTTCTTGTGCTGTATAGTCATATTTCATCAGAGTATATAACAAAGAAACAGACAAGATGCATATATATATATATATATATATACATATACTTGCACAGGGCAGAGTTACCTGAAAAGGGTTAGTCCGTGAGGTCACAAGGAGTTGGGACACCTAAATACGACAACAAAAACAGAACAAATATTTTTCATTGGAATCCTGTGGAATTAACCCACATTTATTAATCAAATCAGAGCTTTTTTGTTTTCGTCTGAATTTCTTTACAAAAGATTATGAAAATGACGATGGATACAATGATGCATTAATCCATATAATCTCTTTAGGAGTTTCCTTGGTTTCAGGCGGAAAACCATGAACGAAATACAGATTAGAAACGTCGAAAAAGATGACAGATAGTTATTTTGATAATGTTCAAACATACTTACTTCGCTACGCAAACTTTCTCAATTGTGATAGGACTCAAGGAAAGCCGTAGTTCGGATCGCCGAGTTCATGGGAAAATCTTTATCAGACGACATCATTGACCGTATCGTCGATGCGTCAAGTTTCAAATTCATGAAGAAGAATAAAAGCACCAACCCCGACGCCGCCTACGAGAACGAAATGGACAACAAAAACAATAAATCATTCATGCGGAAAGGTAAAGCTTCTGGTGCAAGTCTACCCTCTGTAATTCTCTGTCCCGTTGTCTTATATTTCATACATCTTTATTTCCCATTACAGACATTGGTCCTCTTTACAATTAGTCTCATGACACGTTGATCTTCTTACATATTGGTCCTGTGGCATATTGCTTTTCCTTCCAATCGGTCCTATGGCAAACTGTTCAACTATCCCATTGGTCCTTCGTCTCATGGGCTGTATGACACATTGATTCTTCGTCCGATTGGGGCTTTGTCTCTCGTGGTCCTCCTTATCATGGTTCCGTTGTCACATAATGTCCAATTTCCCATTGGTCGTTCGTCCCTTGGGTTCTTTGTCACGTTTGGTCCTTCCTCATAATGGGTCCTATATATCACATTCGACTTCTGTCCAATGTTGTCCTTTGTCACAATAGTTATCCGTACCATTGATCTTTGTTCCATGGGTCGCGTTGAATATGGACCTATGTCCCTTTGGTCATGTGTCTCTTTGATCCTCTGTCCAGTCTGTTGCTCGTCTATCTCGCTGTGCCCTGTTTCATTGGACCCTCCATCCCATTGTTCCAATGTCAGTCAAATTGGTTCTTCGTCCCATTAACCCCTATGTCACGTCATGGGTTATGTAAATGAAGGTTTAAACCATGGGTTATTATGTAAACCTCCTTTGTGTATTCGGGCCTTTGATTCTCCCTCCCATTCGTCCTATGGTACATTTTTGGTATCAATATTCCCATGAGAGGATGAAGCTCCCTTAGCCTATCCCCCTCCCCCTGCGTACACCTGCAGTTGGTATCGCTATATCAAAAATTAGCCATTTACTCAGTCGTTAACTCACATTCGAACCTCCGAACGTTGGTAAAATCTATATGCGTTGATTGAGCACAAACATTTGGAATTTATTTTATCACAATTTTGGCGACTTCTAGACGTTAAATTTCTTATCGTATGAGTGTAAACTTTTTAATTTTTATTTTCTTTGTAGGGGTGGTCGGAGATTGGAAGAATCACTTCTCAGAAGATCAGAATCGTCGATTTGATGAACTCTACCAAGAAAAGATGGCAGGATCTGGACTCGAATTAAGATTTGAATAATCACGATCAGAGATGGTGATCCCGGGAAGCCCTTGTCAGGAAACTGTAAAGGAAAACTAATGCCAAAGGGGGTAGCAGATAAGGCTAAATGTGACAGCATGCCTTACGTTCTAAAAGGCCAACTAGAAGGCAAAATTCCACTTATCATGAATGGCAAATCAATTGCGACGCGCTCTCGCTTAACCTACTTTATATACTTAAAATATATACTATGATGTTATGACAAGAAAACACGGTACCTGATCATGAATTCATACTAACATCAGTTAAATCATTCTGTTTGAATTCATTATTGCGCTTTGATTCACACATTGGCAAGGCATTAAAAACTACATTTGTCACTCTCCATCCAGGTGAAGTAAATGGGTACCCGGTAGGAAAATATTCCTTGGATGCTTTAGCGCCTTACTATGGCAGCTCAGCTACAGCCGTGGTAATAATATTATGATACTTTGGATATTCATAATATTATAGTAGCTGCGCTATTAGATTGACCTATTATTATTGTCATAATTATGCATCTTGGAAGAAAAAAAAATATGTTTGTCTTTTATACTGAATTATAATGACACACCAACCAATCTTTAACCAAATATTCGAGTGACCTTTTACTTCTATTTTGCATATTAATCAACGTTTTGTTTCCAAAGCTTTGTTCTTCTGCGAAAGTGTAAGTTGGATGTGGTTAATGATTATATACTTTGATAAATGTTCAAGTAAATGAAGAAATAATATAACTTTTCTTTACCATGAAATTTGCAACGATGACGTTCATGATCAGTCCTTAGAAACATTTTGAAATTTCTTTATAATAGTTCATTCTGTCGTTATGTAAATTCAGCGTAATTCTGTTATGAGCAATGTTCCTTTCATTATTATACCAAAGAAACAAGTAGACAGTTGTATCGTCTATAGAAAATCCAACTAATAGATGAACTATATAATAGCATTCATTTCTCTGGATGTTCAATGTAATGCCTTAATTACGTTGTCGAAAAATCTACCAGTATGAATAAAACTATTCATCTCGAAAAGAAAAACATGTACGAGTGATACTTACAGGTGTATCTATGGCAAAAAATGAATTGATTCTCGTAAAATATATACTAGATGTATGAAAATCAGTGGCGTAGATACGGGGGCACGCCCCTGCCCAATTGAATATTAAAATATAAAAAAGAGGTGAGAATGAGGGGAGAGATGAAGGAAAAGGGAAGTGAACGTGAGAGGATATAAACAGATAGATGTTGTATTGTATGTACATGTATATTATAATAATTTTTTAATGTGTTGTTACACTCTTCGTAAAATGAGATATTGTGGACACCAATAAACTATCTATATCTATCTATATCAACACAAACTAAAGAACAAACTCTTATCGATTTTAACATGCATTAGATTAAACAGTATGTTTCGCAGGAGTGCTAGGAGTAGTTCTGGAGGGGGTGTTTCGGGAGGAATGACATGTGAATCGTCACATTGGCTTCTAGGATCTTGGGATGTTTCTGATATCAGTGGATTTACTATTTTGTAGTCCTATAGGCTCTATAACCATAACGTTAAAATCTATTCGTTTCTTCTTCAGATTATTCCATCCCCATCCCAGTTCCTTATTATTATAATTTTTCTGATGGCTCTCTTTTTTCGATTTTTGTTTCTTTCTGTGACAACAATCGATTAATCCTCGTTTCATAGTTTGTCTTTGTTATTATTCCCAATTCTAAAAAATATATTTATCCTGCCCTCACCGTATTATCATTGATAGGCCCATATTTTTAGCTCTCTATCTTGAATGATAGAACAGACCTTGAACAAACGCCTACACGTGTAAATATGATTTTCACTTATAAATGTACATACATTAGATATTTGCACAAATTATTGGACAACAAATTCTAGCTCTATAGATGTACTTCACCCACAAACATACCCTTTGTACCATTCGATCAAAATAGAATCACTCTTATGGTCTACGGTCACCACTACGTGTGCTATATTACTTTGATAAATCATTACATTCCGTCCAGATCTCAAAGCTCCAGATTTATTGTTCTTTCTAAACTCAATACTAAGCTGGGGGGACCTTAGCTTATACAAGGCATTCGCTGTGGAATCCTCTACCTCGAAAGATTATTAATTGCAGATCAGTTGAAGGGCTTCAAAGTAATTTTAAAACGTATCTGTTTAATTCGGAATATAATTTTTGCTCTGTAATGTTTCTACTTTCTATCTTACTTCTGTTCCTTTCTTTATAATACAGGTAATCAACTGCTTTTATGTGATCTCTGTTTTGTTTTTGTTTTTGTTTCACAAGTGCGCCTTGAGCATTGGATGTCAAGTGGATTCGGCGTCTTATTATCATTTATTATCATCACAGTGCACTCAGAATATTACGATAGGGTTCCAAATATCTAGGTTAGCATTTTCACCTTTGTATAGTCCTGTACTTTTTATAGAAATTAAAGGTTTCGCGTCACCCTCCCAAATTCATAACACAAACATCATTCCCCATCACTCTGGTACACACATGCACGTACACATTGGAGTAAACAAATACACTAGATAAGATATGATATTATGTATGCGGAAAATTGATGCCAGATACATGAATACCAAAGTCATATATGCAGTCGCGTCCATGCACGAATAGAAGAATATTCTGGCATCTCGTTATCCAGAATCATCTTGTTTCTAAGTGCTCTGAGCAAGTGAAGCGGAAGAGCGCGGTAAAAATGTAATTACAAGATCAACAAAATATTGGATATAATTGGGCACCTTGCAGCCCGAATGTGAGGATATTCGGACACCTTGCTGTAAAATGAGATATTCTACTGTCAGGAGAAATATTATGGAACCGTGTTGACTAAATATGTGGGTATTCAGGCATTTCACTGACTGAAATCATATTGTATCTAAATGTTGCGAGCGAGCTAAACGAGCGAGAAAAAGACATTTAAATTTTCATTTTTTCATTGAAATACATAGAGGTTTCTAGTATTTTGTTTTCACGAGATCGACGTTTATTTCATAATGGATCAACGAATTGGTGTTCAATTCATTTTTCTCACAGCACCCCTAAAAATGTCCAGCGGCACTCCAGGGTGCCACGGTGCCCCGGTTGAAAAACGCTATAGTATAGACTAAAGACTGGTGCCCCCCCCCCCTCCCCCATGGCTGAGCCCACGCTACGTCACTGGTAGCAATACCATGAAATAGCAATTGCATATACACAGAGGGTAAACCGGTCTATTTGAGTCTTCCTTACAATAATTATTCTTACTATATCATCACTTGTATCTATATCTAAATAATGGTGTACCTTAGGATTTTGGCGCCCGAGGAATAAAATGAAGAAGGAAAAAAAAATGCGCATTTTCGCCATGTGTTCCAAATTTACAACCTCAAGCGATTGTTATATATTATTATTTAAAAAACAGTTTGATTAGAAATTCTAAACTTGTAGCACTAAACGTGAAAATGATTTTGTATGCAGTAATCCGGGAATTGCACGGTAAACACGACATCACTGACAATGTATACGTCTATATAAGCTAATCTCTAATTGACGACCTGGTGAGTGCATTCTGACGTACACATGGACAACTCTCCCGCGTGTCGTGTACAAAATATCTTTAATTTGTGTTTTTCTCCAAAGTGACACTCAACAAACTATATTAAGGATAGCATGTTGTAACAGGTCCTCTAAAAGGAAAAGACCTTCCTGTTTTACACATTTTAACAAATTGACATTTTTATCATTTAGGGTGTTAACAAATGAGAAAGTAGTCCGGCAGTATGTCACAGTGACCTTACCAATTAAGTCGATTTGACTTTCCCATATGTATAAGGATTATAACTTTCAAAATTGATATCGTTCTTAGTTTTATCTGATTTCATTCAAACTTAATCTCACCATTCCGCTGTTCGGGTTTTTGTTTGCTTTCTTTCAGAGTAGTTGTCTATCTATTTGTTGAATGATAAATACTTAAACAAGCGAAAAGGGAAAGCGACCAAGTGGTGGTTTACCAATTTTCCTTTTTTCACCAATCAAACAAACATTTTATTACCCAATATACCCCATAATTTGCAAGGGAGCACAACATGCATCCGAGTGTTAGCGATGCTTTTAGATTTGTTTAATATTCAACATTTGTAGACTCAATTCTTCCCAATCTCGGAGCGCATAATTATCGAAACACTGAATAAATAATGACAAGGAATTCTAGCAACACATTCTAAAATCCGAAATTACCATGATCATAGATTAACATATCAGCAGGGAGAAAAACTGAAGTCTAGACTACTAACCAACAAAACACTTGGCCAATGTTCAAATTGTTATGTATACTCAAGATGTTTACTCAAGAGGTTTTTTATCCTTTCATGAAATACACTGCAAATATTGCTCACAACGAACGGAGACACAGTGAATGCTACCCCCGTTCAGACTTCTAAAATTCACCGTATGGCTATACGAAACTCATAGAAATATTCAATAAGTCATACAAAATTTTAAGATTTGTGAGGTCGCAGTACGAAAAAATTACATCTTAAAAAGACAAGAACAAAAATCCTTATAGGGTTTTTAAACACAATCTTATCATGAAAAACTGAAAAGACCTTGAATAAGAAACATAATTGTATCAACTTTAAATGCAAGCTTGCGAGCTTTGCGTGAAATTAAAGAAAAGGTTGATCTTTGTCCCTTTAAATTATTGTATTGTGAAAGGAAAAAGGGCGCTTATCCAAATGAAAAAAGACACTTATTACAAAAGAAAAGGAGTACGTGTCAAAGTATAAAGGGGAATTATCATATGTGAAAATGGGGCACTTCTCGCTTCTGATAAGGGGCATTCACCAGAGGTGAAAAAGGACACTTATGAGAACTAGAAAAAGGGCACTCAGTACAAAGGAAAAGGGTTAATTATCAGAAGGAAAATGACACTTATTAGAAAGGATAAGAGGGCACGTGATAAAATAAAAGAGGCACTTTTAAGAAAGGGGGCATACAAAGGAAAAAAAGGAACTGGTCAAAATATAAGGGGCACCTCCCCGATTTGAAAAGAGGCATTAATAAGTATACAAATAATACACAGCAGTGAGGGCATTAGTAAGAATTACCACACAAGGTACCTTTGGAAAAGTCTAACCCGCCCGAGACGATAGCCGAGGGCGGGTTAGACTTTTTCGAAGGTACCGAGTGTGGGTAATGTTACTAATGCCCGAACAAAATGATGTGTATTTTTTGTTTTATAAAATTATGACGTGGATCCTTGTTATTTGATAAATCACCCTCATCTCAAGAATGAGATCTAGACTAGGTGAGACTGATCTAGACCCTATGTCTATTCTAGATCTAAGTTCTAACCTAATTACCTAGATCTAGGCTCTAGACTAGATTCTATTAGTACTAGAGTAGACTAGATCTAGAGCTCGTTTGTTTTTTAATGTTTTGATCTTAATTTTTTAGTCTTACCTTTTATATCAACAGGATCATCCATCATAAACTGAATCAATGCAACAGGTCATAAAAAAACTTGAAATTGAAACTACAACTTGAACAATGAACGTCTAGACTCGAGTCTACGTAGAACTTGAAGTAACCATAGAAAAGAGCAATCTTTGTTCAGCTTCGATACAAACAGCATGAAACTCTCAACTGGACACTTTGAACTTCCAGGTATTTCGTACATCACCCGGTGTTCGACACCTCATCATCATGCTCACGATTGTTCTTTGTCAATTGATCTCTTTTACTTATGTATCGAAGTTCGTCTTCATCTGTCTCAAGTCGAAAATCGTCTGGTTTAGGCCTAGGCCGAAGTTCTCGAAGATTTTCTCGACCACGATTATAGAAGTAGGCCTAGATCTAGATCTAGATCTATGTCATAAAATCGACAAAGACTTTGTTCTGTAATCCAGCTGGCGTGTCACAATCGAGCACCGATGAGTTTTGTATGATTCCATGTCACTAGCTGAGATCGCGGGTTTGTGCTTGGTGGAGCCTTTGCCTTCACCTGATCACTTGCATCGTTTTCTTGCTATACCACGATCCGTCTTTGCGACGGAGACTTGAATAGAAAGTGCACAAAACGTTATCCAGTCGAAGCCTGTCGGTTTTGATTTCACCCAATTCAATTTGTTTAAGGCCCAAAAAGGCTTCAAATTTCGCAAAGCCAAACTTTATACTCTTCTTGGTACTAGCATGATCAGTCCTATAATCTCTATTCAATAACTCTTGCATTTGTGCAGTTGAAAGAATTTCAAAAGTAAGCACTTTAAATGCCGCGGCAGCCATTCTCGCGAGTAAAACTAAAAGTAAAACGATGAAATCTAAATGGTTACGATAGCAACAACAAGATGTGGTAATGACCGGTCATTACAAAAATTACGCGTTAGGCAAAATAAATGCCTGGTCACGTGTACGCTTTCAACCAATCATTTGATTAGGATCTACGTCATCATTTTTATAAAGGTGAATATACACTCATCAGAGGTGGTCAGGGCACTTCATGTACCTGAAATAGAGCACTCATTTGAGATGAATAGGGACACATGTGAGAATGAAAAGGGGTACTTATTAGAGAAGAGATAGGGGCAATTGTAGGGAAGGAAAAGGGGCATCTATCAGATTATGATAGAGGCATTTATCATAGGTGTGAGAAGGGGCATTTATGAAAAGGGGAAAGGCTCTTACAATAAAAGAAAAAGCGAATTTATCAGGAGGAAAAAAGGCACTTATTAAAAAGAAGAAGGGGACGCATGTCAAAATAAAGGGGTCACTTAGGGATAAAAAGAGGCACTCACCTCAGATGAAAAAAAAGGCACTTATTAGGAGGGGAAGAGGTACTTAAAGAATTAGGAACGGGCACATATTATAAATAAATAGGGCACTTTTCTGAAGTAAAGGGGGGCACTTTTCCTATGTAAAAAGGGGCTACTTGAAGAAGTTGGGGCACTCACCCTACCCCCCTTGGGTTCACGCCTCTGGTTCTAGTCTGATGGTCATATCGTACAAACATTTAGTGGGTGGGGCTCGTGAGCGAACACCGAAAATCGGCTACCTTTTTACGACTTTCTTCATACGATGTTGCTTTCTAGTCTGTCCGATCCTTTCGCTATGCAATGATTCTTTATACGACGTTTCTTTATACGAGTTACGTTTAATACAATTAACATGATTAGGGCACTTAATCTGTATGTACTCCTTTTCTGAAAGTTTAAATGCAAAGGTTGTTGGTTTTTATAGTGTTTTCCATCGTCGTTGGATGATTTTCGCCAGGCAATGTGAGATGGCGTAGTTTCTGGTCCTCTCTTCGTATTTTTGCTCTGTTGGATCGACGATAGCCTGTGGCGTTGTGTTTATGAAATGAAAAATGTCAGTAAAATTTGAGTAATTATTTTCTGTATTGTTATGTAACTTGTTATCTTAAAGAATAAATAAAGGTTAAGTACCATGCTCTTAATTTATAGGGGCTTGTGTTGATGCAACCATGTGATGAAAGAATGGTCCTGTAGGTATTTCATATTGAATTTGAAATCTGTTTGGATCGAGCTGTTTAGCAAGAATCGTTATTTCACTAGCTCGTTATTGGACGTTTCTTTAGGACTATACAAGTTTATTTTCTAGTCTGCATGACCCTTTCGCAATACAATGATTCTTTGTCATGTTTATACTTTGTACGAGTTTCGTGTACTTTTCTTGTAGGCTGAACACGCACTGAGCTTTGATCTACTCCTACTGTAGAAATTCTGAACCCAAAGGTTAGAGTACCATGTTCTTATAGGGGCTTGCTTTGGTGCAATCATGGACCTACTACGATGCAATCATGTGAAGAAAGAAGGCGGACAAACAGGTGATGTTCCAAAGGTCCTGTTGGGACGTGAAAACGGGTTGGAGCTGTATAACGAGGAATCATTTTTCGCCAGTAAGAAGAGAAGGATCGGGATCCAAACATGGAAGGACCTAAAGGCAAGTAGCTTGATCGAGAGAAACATATTAGAGAGAGAATCAAAATGATTTAGTTTGACTCTGAATAACTCATCTCTAAGGTGAAGTGTGACAAGACAGTATAAGAAAAGACTCGTCTTTATGAAGAGTTAAGAATCAAGTTACAAATCAATCGCTACCCAATGCGATCCCTGGACGTTATTTTATTGTGAAATTCGATTTTGATACTTATCTCATCTGGACTGTGATCCCAATCTCATCATGTGTTTGATACCAACTTAATTATGCCAATCTCTACTCAAGTCTGGTATATCGATCTAATCTAGAAGTTGATATAAATTTCATCTTGAGTTTGATACTAATACCAACTTGAATTTGATATTTATCTCATCTTGACTTTGATGCCAATATTATCAGTTCTTTACGAGACCACTACTCTACCACCGCGCTCTACCACTGAACCATTGCGCCTTCTCATCTTGACTTTGATTCAAATCTTATCTTCAAGTTTAATGTCAATCCCTAATTTAACTCAAGTTTGTTTTTATAATAATTATAATAATAGCAACAATAGTAGATTATTGTCAACGATTAACCACCAATTCTAGTAATGATGACGGTAATTACAAAATGATAAATAACTACAATGATTCATTGCTAAGAATAATGTAATGCATTTTTGTTTAGAACCTGTCCGGGGTTGGACCGGTGAGATGTCGTTCCTCCTCGCCGAGGCTCCTGCGCATGTTGCCAAAACTTGCTACGAGTACGATAACACCATCACGAGCTTTTTCTTTACCAAGAAGTGTATTGAGCAGACCAAGAATTTCAAACTCCGATCAAATGACGTGTTCATTATCACTTATCCAAAGACAGGTGGGTATTAACCTAAAGCTCCTCTTACACTTTCCTGAACTAGGTAACATTGATTATGAGTTGAGTAAGAACTGAGTATGAGTTGGAAACGATGTGAGTCCGAATTGGAAGCCTATAACAAACAACTCGTACAGAACTCAGGACAACTCGACGAAGAAACTCCTACATATATTTCAGATGCTCAAAGCTCATAAAGTATCATGTTCTAAAATCGCAAAACGTGGCAATTTAAGTAACTTCACGAAGGATATCCATCATGAGTCTTTAACTATTTAAAGCCTCGCCGTTTGATTTTTGCAATGGTTTTTCTTTGTTATCCTATTTTGCTTGTGCTTGTATTTATATTGTATATTGTTAATCAAACATGAAGCCTTATTCAATTCAATTCAATTCAATTCAATTTCGGTTTTATACGGTTTTGTATACCAAATAAAAAGTCCAAAGACTAACAATAATTGGCTCACAATGTATCATATAAAATGCATTAAACAGTATAATTAAAAATTCAGTAATAACTTAGGGTACGGAAAAAAAATGATTGTATATTATAAACTGGTGAAAATCAGTTTGTCAGCGAATTGAGAAGAAAGAAATAGCGAAAAGTGGAAGAGAGGGAGAGGGAAAGAATAAAGAGAAAAAAGAAAAGAGAGTTCAATTTATTACAAAAAAATGTAAGCAAATGAACGAGAATTGAGTTGATTCAGCCTAAAGAAGCATTGTAAAAGTATAATGCACATAATACGGAAATGTCAAATGATACATTAATACGAAAGCCATTATGGGATTGTTATTATACTGTTTAGCATTAGTGAATATCAGTGACCTATACGTATTGGTGAAAATTATTATTATTATTATTTATATTATTATTGTCGGAAAATTGAGAAAAGTAAATACAAGACAGAAATAGAGAAATAGTGGGAGAGGGGAGGAGGGAAAGGAGAAAGAGAGAGAAAAAGCTAGAGAAAGGGAGAAAGAGAAAGAGACACACAGAGAGAGAGAGAGACGGAGAGGGGGAGAGGGTTCGAGTAATGACAATACTGTACATTGTAAACAGGTCTAACAAGATTTCAGTTGATTGAATTTAGCAAACGAACAAAAGAGGGAACTGTGGATTGTTTGTAGCGCTGAGTTCTGCATCGTGGTAGGGACAAATGATCGGAGTTTCTCAAGCTGCGGCAAGTAATCAAATGGCGCGGCGGTGTCTTAAAGAACCCAGAAGTGATTTCGCAAATCGCGTGAGGATCTCAACAGTTTGATAGAGACAAAAATAAAATGCATAAAATGGTGCACCTTCATTTTGTTTCTATGGTACCAGGAACCACGTGGGCTCAGCAGATCATGATGCTGGTGCAAGTTGAAGCAGATCTGTCCTTCTTCGAAGGGAAGCATATCTCCAAGTTGGTTCCATTCTTGGAATGTCCTGATGTACCGGATGCTGGGGCGGTAAATATAAGCATCAAACCCAATACACATGGGTGTTATTTCTATCGTCAATAGGCCATTTTCGTAATGTAACCAAATTTAATGCATACGTCTTTGTGAAGTGCCTCAATACAAATTATTTCATTCACCTGATAAGAATAATAGTATTTCAATAGACAGAATCCAATCTGCATACATTAGTTGTTGAAGCATTATGGCTTGACCTACCTAGCAACACTTGATATTTGCTGTTGCATTCTGACTATTGAAATACTATTATTCCTATCAGGTGAATGAAATAATTTGTATTGAGGCATTTCACAAAGACTTATGCATTAAATTTGGTTACATTACGAAAATGGCCTATTACGCCAAATGGATCGCTTAATTTCAATAGAATTCATTACACAGTAAAGGGGCTTTCACACCGGGCCTTGCGTAGAGTTGCGTAGCGACTACGGCGATTGTACGCAACCCTACGCCGATCGTACGCAACCCTACGCAACTGTACGCGGAGGGACGCGAATGGGTACGCGAGATGAACGCAACAAATTAAACATGTTTAATTTTGTTCGCGTACTTTCGGCGTAGATACTTTACGCTGACAGTACGCAATTTGTACGCAAGTCTACGCAACACTACGCAACTGTACGCCAAGCTTACGCAACAATACGCTACCCTACGCCAGCATTAAAAAACGGATAAAGATTTTTTTTTTGGTATATACCTGGATGTAAACTTGACAGGTATTGATCATTATTTTGAAAGGAAATGCTGTTTTTGTTTACATGTGTGCGTTCTCACATTTATTCTTTTCATGAAGAAAAAGTGTGTCTTTGACTTTATTTTGTATTTTTTTTGCTTGTAATTCTGTTTGTACTACTACAAGGTATTTCAGACTGACATATTTGGTTTTGTTATGGTTTATTCAATTTGTGATGTTGACATCTCAGGCTGTTGATATAATAAACAGAGATAAGATTGAAAAACTAATGCCTTATGCGAAATGTTTTTATGTTTTGTGGAAATCTGTATGTATTTGTGTCGGTTTGTTTGTTTGTGTGTACGTTTGTGTTCCTGTTTGTATATTTGTAATATAACTTTGTTTACTTGAAATGAGCAAAGAAATATTTTTGTCTCACTCTGTTAGTGAGATTAAGTGAGTGTGCATGTCAGAAGTATTTCTTTTAAATCTAATAAAGGACTAACATTTATATCATTAAATTGTCACACACATATACGCTACGGACAAAGGACAACAGCTTTAGTCTTCAAACTTACAGGAAACTGAAATGAAATAAAATGAACTGGAATGATATTTTACAAATGAGTAAAAAAGGAGATTTTGTCAACAAGTATCAGACTTCTGTCCACATTTATTCACAAATCAAAATAAGCGCTCTCTTTTGTTGGCGTTTTGAGGTATCAAATCACATCACGTGACCTTGCAATGTACATCAAAAGAAAATTCATTTATTACCCTTGTGAATGATACATAGTACAATAATGTAGTACATCCAAAAAAATGTCTGCATTTTTTGGAAAATAAAATGTTGAACAAGTTAACATTTACTGCAAAATAACCTCAGCAGTTGTTAACACCTTACTAAAAAACTGAAAATGTAACGGTCAAAAACGTGTACCAATTAAATGCCAATTTTTACTATTAAAACTTATGGCAGGTTTAAAAATGTTATTTTCTTCACTGACTATGTTACGCAAATTGGCGTTTCAGCCCTATTTCACGCATGCAAAAGAGACCCACCGCCCCTTGGATGTCAAAGTTTGTCAGAATGTTATTATTATACTAAGAAGAAGTTACGTTTACGTGTAATAACATATACAATTCTTTGTACACTGCACAGTTCGTTTATACAATAAATTGTATTTGTCTTTTTAACATATTTTTTTAATGTAGGTTTATAAAGCGCCAATGGCTACACTCGCGGCTCCTACGAGCGTCTAATGCATTTTTACATGGCATTTTCGCACACAGTAAGCAACCGTACGCAACCGTAAGCAACCCTACGCCAGGCCTACGCAAGCGTACGTAACCCTACGCCAGGCCTACGCAAGTGTACGTAACCCTACGCCAATTGCCTACACCGTAGGTACGCGGTGCCTACGCACAGGGTACGTAACTATACGCCATCGTACGCAAGCCTACGCATAACCTACGCAGAGACTACGCCGAAGCATCAATTTATTCATGAGTACGCAGCTTAACTCCGGCGTAGTCAGTATGCAACACTACGCAACTCTACGCAGATCCGGTGTGAAAGGGGCTTAAGAAATTAAAAATAGGCCCCTCACTCTGTAGATTATGAAGGCTGGGCCCGGAGTTGGTTCTCAAATGTTCTTTATGCTCCTGTTTTGTTTGCCCAGAATTCCTAGATCATTAAGTTTTTACGCCAGTTTTCCGTCAGAAGTATAGATTTTCGGATAAATCAGAAACCTTGCATATGACATTGCACTCTGCTTCAACGATTGCGGCTTGACCTGTTCTCAATAGCTGATTGTCCTTTATTGGAATAACGAAATAGAATGCCTTTATGTGCGCCGGGTTTAACTCGCATGCACGGCGGATCTAGGAATCAGTGACTAATGGGCGTATAAGGACAATAATTACCCCTCTGGGCAATCACCCATTGGAAAAGTACTCCCAAAATTATCCCCCGAGAACAATTACCCCCGCCCCAGTACTGGCAAGGACAACCACCTCGAGGACGATTCCCCCCCCCCCCCCGAAAACCACCCCCATATTCGTTAAAGGGGAAGTCTGGGTGCCGTTGCATAAAACTTGCTATTATAGTAACTTTTCATGGAATACTGGATTTTGATTGGCTCTTGAGCAACGTTACTATGGTAGTTACTATTGATGGCAAAGTTACTATAATTATCAAGTCTTTATGAAATGGCACCCAGCCTGATTATAAGTTGGTTTTAATAAAAAATAAATTTCGAGGGGTATATTGTCATCGGGGGTTATTGGGGGGGGGGGGGTAATTCTCCGGGAGGATTGTCCTCGGGGTGATTTTCCTGGGGGTAATTGTCCTTAGGGGTAGTTTTCCGGGTGTTAATTTTCTGTGGGGAGGGTGATTGCTCAGGGGGTAGTTGTCCTAAAACCGACTTTGGGCATTGGTCTGTCTGAGGCAATTAAGCCTTTGGACCCATCACTAATAATGATAGTGCATAAATCATCAAATAGGATAGTGATTTCTCACTCTCCTACACCCGCCCATCCACCTACCATCTCCCTGTCCCCTTTCCGTCTCGAAAGTTGAACTATAATTATGGCTGGAAATAACCTTGTAGGTCTCGAACAATAGAGATACAAGTACTTTGTTAAAATGAGGATATATACAGTGTGAGTCATAAAATAAAGTTTACTCCTAGAAAGTTGCTTATTATTCTAAAAATCCCAAATCATTTGGTATCATTTTCGTGTGGTATATGTTCACGCTTGGATGAACAGGAGGCATAGTTTGCGAGAGTGCAAAAATCGACTTGCGCCAAAGTTGCTCATGTGATGTTTGAATAAAACAATTGGGATTTGGGTATTAATTCGGTTTTTGCAGATCAAAATAACATCCCTTACAAAATTAATCATGCCACACATATCAAAAATCGAATATCAAATATCAACGAACATTTTGTGCGCGTGTGTGGGTGTTTGTGACCTTGCCCTCTGCAAAAAGCATATTCAATTCATTCTGTCACTCCGCTAATCCCAACATATACTGTAGGCATCACTTTTATTGGCGCAAGTCGATTTTTGCAATCTCGAAAGCAATGCCTCCTGTTCATCCAAACGTGAACACATACCACACAAAAATGTACCAAATGAAGTGGGATAAAATACTCTTACATGAGATGTATAATAATTTACTGTTCATAGATGATTTCAAAAATAATTAGCAATTTTCTAGGTGTAAACTTTTTTTTGACTCACACGGTATATTTGTTTTTAATAATTTTCATTGACTTTGGTTTGAAATCTAATTCTTTTAGTACAAGACGGTGGCAGAGATAAACACCGCACCAACATGTGTTGAAGCTGCAGACGCAATGCCAACTGATACACCCAGAATACTGAAAACACACGTGGTCCAAAGATGGCTTCCTGTGGGACTCAAAGATGACCCCCAGGCCAAGGTTGTGTACGTGGCTAGGAACCCGAAGGATACGGCTGTTTCTTACTACCACTTCTGCCTGCTGATCAAAGATCTTCCAAACTACACGTCGTGGGACGAGTTCTTTGAAGAGTTTCTCGCTAATAGAGGTAGATCTCTCTGATTTGGCTACGACTTGGTATTAACCCTGATCAGCAACTCTGCATTTATGTGTTTGTTTCCCCTCCGCATACTTGTTATCATCTTATTTCCCCCCTTTATCACTTACTTGTTATGTATGTATTCCTTTGTATTTTATAATGTACATTTTTTGTATTTGTATGGTTTTTTTTAAAACTGGAATGTATAACAAAATAATTTAAATGAAATGTATATTTTATAAAAAAATCTATCATGTAGGAATATGCAATTCACGTATATCACGGGTAGATCGACAATTATGAATGTGCGAGATATTATTCTATTCATGTAATCTTATATATGAAGTATCAAACAATGAATATTACATGCATGCCAACTAAATGCCTATATCAAATGCATTGCCATACGAAATGTAAGATGATATAATTATGTTAAATAAGATTATTAATACTTTAGTCGTGGTGATATAGGTTCCAGTGGCAGTGGTTGAAGGGATTCTCCAGTTGATGTAGGCTATTAAATGGGGCCATCCAAGTCGATCGACAGCACAAAAGACCAGACACGTAGCCACGGGGGTGGGGGGGGGGGGGCGTGCACCCTCTCCAAATTTCCAAGATCGGTTGAAATTTTTTAGACCCCTCCCCAGGACGTCGATCGATTACATGTATGTGCCCCCCCCCCCCCCCACCTCAAACTCTGGCTACGTGCCTGCACAAGACCGACAGTCTGTTGGGCTACCGGGGGATGTCGGTCGATGAGGCTTTAGCTCAGCTAAATTTGGGAATGGTCATAATTTGTTATTGTGAATTAAATCTTACAATTTTGTCTTCTTCATATCTCATCCAGTTCCTGGCGGTTCTTGGTTTGACCACACCCTCGACTGGTGGAAGCTCAGGAATCATTCGAATGTTCTGTTTCTTACCTATGAAGACATGAAACAGGTAAGATATAAACGTTCTGTGTCAAACTATATGAAGACAACGTTGGTTACATGGAACCTCAGAAAAGTTTTGAGAATGGCCGTGAGACTCGCATTTCGATCGCGTATTCTCCTCTCCTTCAGTCTCCTCGGCTTTCGGTCTCAATTGCCGTGGATTTTTTGGGGTTGTAAGCCCGCTGTAGCCATATTTCATTCGGGCACGTAACAAACAAACAGACAGGTCATTCAGAGGTGGATACTTGCACAGGGCAGAGTCACCCATATGGCTCCGTTTAGTCTCATTTCACAACGCCCCCTATCGTCAGAGCATGATCTGAGTCGGCAGCCTAACATGTTAGCCTATGGACGTTTTTTTAAAAAATCGTTAAAAATTCATTTTTTGTTTAAACGAAAAGCACATCCACCCCGACGTACGTTATCACTAGCTCTTTCATTGGAGCCCTCATGTCTCATTGACTTTTGAAAGTTCACCCACCGTAATTTTTCAAAATAGGTTGCAAGCTCGTCATTGCCTATAATACACATGTGAAACAAGTCTAACTTTGGACTCAGTTTACCAAGCGATTTGAAGATTATAGGTCGAGCACACGAAACATAGAAAGCATGAATTATCATAGATCACTTCTGCCTATTTCATTTTGTCCATTTCATCCAACCCCCCACCGTAATTTTTCTATTTAGTAAAAGCAAACATTTTGCCGAGTTTAGCAAAACATGAATATTCATGAACGGTCAGACAATACAGCCTTTTAGTACATAACGTATAGTGAATGGGAATGGGCGATGATCCGTTCAGGAGGTAGAGGTCAGTGGTTTGTGCTGGCAATGTTCACGCGAGCGAAAATGAGACAATCGGAGCAATATGTAAAAAGGGTTTGTACATGGGGTCAACAACAACAGTAACAAAACATTTGTTCGCTGGAATCCTGTGGAATGTACTCGCAATTATAATTGAATCAGAGATTTTTGTTTTTTGTCAGAATAAGTTTTTTCTTTAGAAAGATTATGTGAGTGACGATAGATACAATGATGAATTATTAATAATAAAGGATGTTTCATCCACATAATATCTTTGGGAGCCTCCTTGGTTACATGGCGAAAACAATAAACGACAGTAGAAACGTCGAGAAGGATGACAGAGCTATTTTGATAATAATGTTCACACAAATTTACTTCGCTACGCATACTTTTTCAATTGCGATAGGACTCGAGGAAAGCCGTGGTTCAGATCGCCGAGTTCATGGGAAAATCTTTACCAGAGGACATCATTGACCGTATCGTCGATGCGTCAAGTTTCAAATTCATGAAGAAGAATAAAAGCACGAACCCCGATATCGCCTACGAGAAAGAAATGGACACCACAAACAAGAAAACATTCATGCGGAAAGGTAAAGAGTCTATTTACGCTCTGATATTCTTTGTCCCATTGACTTATATCTCATAAATCTGTCCCATTAAAGACATTAGTCCTCTTTCCAAGTACTCGTATGACACGTTGATCTTCTTACAATTATTATTGGTCCTGTGGCATATAGTGCTCTTTCTTCCCATTATATGGCAAATTGTTCAACTGTCCCATTGGTCCTCCGTCCGGTTGGAACTATGTCTCACTGGTTCTCCTTATCACGGGTTTGTCGTCACATAATGTCCAATGTCCCATTGGTCCTTCGTCCGGTTGGAACTATGTCTCACTGGTTCTCCAAATCACGGGTTCGTCGTCACATAATGTCCAATGTCCCATTGGTCCTTCGTCCGGTTGGAACTATGTCTCACTGGTTCTCCTTATCATGGGTCCGTCGTCGCATATGTCCAATGTCCCATTGGTCCTTCGTCCGGTTGGAACTATGTCTCACTGGTTCTCCTTATCATGGGTCCGTCGTCGCATATGTCCAATGTCCCATTGGTCCTTCATCCGGATGGAACTATGTCTCACTGGTTCTCCTTATCGCGGGTTCGTCGTCGCATATGTCCAACGTCCCATTTGGTCCTTCGTCCGGTTGGAACTATGTCTCACTGGTTCTTCTTATGGGTCCGTCGTCGCATATGTCCAATGTCCCATTGGTCCTCCGTCCGGTTGGAATTATGTCTCACGAGTTCTCCTTATCATCGCCTACGAGAAAGAAATGGACACCACAAACAGGGAAACATCCATGCGGAAAGATAAAGAGTCTATTTACGCTCTGATATTCTTTGTCCCATTGACTTATATCTCATAAATCTGTCCCATTAAAGACATTGGTCCTCTTGCCAAGTCCTCGCATGACACGTTGATCTTCTTACAATTATTATTAGTCCTGTGGGATAGTGCTCTTTCTTCCCATTATAAGGCAAATTGTTCAACTGTCCCATTGGTCCTTCGTCCGGTTGGAACTATGTCTCACTGGTTCTCCAAATCACGGGTTCGTCGTCACATAATGTCCAATGTCCCATTGGTCCTTCGTCCGGTTGGAACTATGTCTCAGTGGTTCTCCAAATCACGGGTTCGTCGTCACATAATGTCCAATGTCCCATTGGTCCTTCGTCCGGTTGGAACTATGTCTCACTGGTTCTCCTTATCATGGGTCCGTCGTCGCATATGTCCAATGTCCCATTGGTCCTTCGTCCGGTTGGAACTATGTCTCACTGGTTCTCCTTATCATGGGTCCGTCGTCGCATATGTCCAATGTCCCATTGGTCCTTCATCCGGATGGAACTATGTCTCACTGGTTCTCCTTATCGCGGGTTCGTCGTCGCATATGTCCAACGTCCCATTGGTCCTTCGTCCAGTTGGAACTATGTCTCACTGGTTCTCCTTATCATGGGTCCGTCGTCGCATATGTCCAATGTCCCATTGGTCCTTCATCCGGTTGGAACTATGTCTCACTGGTTCTCCTTATCGCGGGTTCGTCGTCGCATATGTCCAACGTCCCATTTGGTCCTTCGTCCGGTTGGAACTATGTCTCACTGGTTCTCCTTATCGCGGGTTCGTCGTCGCATATGTCCAACGTCCCATTTGGTCCTTCGTCCGGTTGGAACTATGTCTCACTGGTTCTCCTTATCGCGGGTTCGTCGTCGCATATGTCCAACGTCCCATTTGGTCCTTCGTCAGGTTGGAACTATGTCTCACTGGTTCTCCTTATCACGGGTTCGTCGTCGCATATGTCCAACGTCCCATTTGGTCCTTCGTCCGGTTGGAACTATGTCTTACTGGTTCTTCTTATGGGTCCATCGTCGCATATGTCCAATGTCCTATTGGTCCTCCGTCCGGTTGGAACTATGTCTCACGAGTTCTCCTTATCATAAGTCCGTCGTCGCATATGTCCAATGTCCCATTGGTCTTTTGTCCGGTTGGAACTATGTCTTACTGGCTCTCCTTATCATGGGTTCGTCGTCGTATATGTCCAATGTCCCATTAGTCCTTCGTCCGGTTGGAACTATGTCTCACTGGTTCTCCTTATCATGGGTCCGTCGTCGCATATGTCCAATGTCCCATTAGTCCTTCGTCCGGTTGGAACTATGTCTCACTGGTTCTCCTTATCATGGGTTCGTCGTCGCATAATGTCCAATGTCCCATTAGTCCTTCGTCCGATTGGAGCTATGTCACTCTCGATTTCCTCATATGGGTCCTATAATATCACATTCGACTATTGTCCCATATGTCCTAGGTGGCTTTGTGAAATTATCGTTACTTGCCGGATAAAAGCACCAATTTTGGTACAGGGCTTCATTAGGACCTACTAAGCGATATTAGGCTAGGAGCCCCTGGCAAAAATTTCAATTTAAGGGTGTAGGCGGACGCGTCGTCTTGTAGCCCCCAAATAATTTAGAAGGTAATATAACGTTAAATTTCTTATCGCATGAGGGGGTATGAGTGTAAACTTTTTTCTTTTTATTTTATTTGTAGGGATAGTTGGAGATTGGAAGAATTACTTCTCAGAAGATCAGAATCGTCGATTTGATCAACTCTACCAAGAAAAGATGGCAGGATCTGGACTCGAATTAAGATTTGAATAATCACGATCAGAGATGGTGATCCCGGGAAGCTCTCCTTCGAAAACTGTAAAGGAAACGTAATGGCAAAGGGGGTATAATGCTAAACGCGACAGCATACCTACCTTCTAAAAGGCTCTATATATAGAAGGCAAAATTCCACCATTCACGAATATCAAATCATATCGCTCTGTTGCGACGCGGCCTCTCATAACCTACTTTATCTTTACCCAGTTATGACAAGAAATCACGGTTCATGTATTCATACTATAACCATGATCACTTCCTCATTTCGTTTAAATCCATTATTGCGCTTTGATTCACACATATTTGTCAGGTCATTAATCTACATTTGCCACTCTCCACCCAGGTGCGGGTAAATGGGTACTCGGTATGTAGAAATTCCTTCAATGCTTTAGCACCTTATTATGGCAGATCAGCTAGAGTCGGGGTAATTTTTATGATACTTTATATTAAGCGCAGTAGAGTATAAATAGTGGCTGCGCTATAAGGATGGATCTATTATTATTATTGTAATTATGTAGCTGGGAGAAAGAAACAAATATGTTTGTCTTTTATACGGAATTATAATGACAAATCAACTAATCTTTAGCTAAATATTCGAGTGAACTTTTACTTCTATTTTTCATAATGATCAGCGTTTTGTTTCCAAAGCTTTATATTTTTTTTTTAATGATTATTTACTTTAATAACTTGGTAATTTTGCTTTGTTTTAATTCTACTTCTATTTTGCATAATAATCAGCGTTTTGTTTCCAAAGCTTAATACTTTTATGTGATTAATGATTATGTACTTTAATAACTTGGCAATTTCTTTTTTGTTTTTATCGGTGTTTTATGACTATTTCTAATTGTCTACATATTTACCATTAGGCAATCAATCCGTGGACTATTACTACATACTAAGCCAGATTGAATTGGATTCAATTAAGTTGAGTTAGGAAATCGTATTTCATCAGCACATTATATTGATTTTACAATTTTTATTTTACACCACGATCTTTTTTATTTCACGACCAAAATTTGATACTGTTTAAACCGATTTTATTATGAAGAAATAATATAACTTTTCTTTACCATGAACTGTGCAACGATGACTTTCATGATCAGGCCTTAGAAACATTTTGAAATTTCTTTACTAGTTCATGCTGTAAATTCAGCGTAATTCTGTTATGAGCAATGTTCCTTTCATTATGTGATTATTACACCAAAGAAACAAGTAGACAGTTTTATCGTTTAAGGAAAATCCAACTACGAACTGAATTATGTAATTACATTTATTTCTCTGGATGCTCAATGTAGAGAGCCTAAATTGCGTTGTCGAAAAATCTACCATGAATAAAACTATTCAACTCGAAAAGAAAAACATGTACGAGTACGAGTGATACTTATCTTTTTTTTAAATGAATTGATTTCTGTAAACTATATTCTCTGATTTATTCAAAACAGTGGCGTGGCTACGGGGGCACCCCCCCCCCCTCCAATCGAATAGATAACTAAATTTAAAAAGAGGCGAGAGCGAGTCGAGAGATGAAGGAAGAGGAAGAGAACGTTAGATGTGTAAAGGAATAGATCGTTCGAAAACACTCTTCAAAGATAACAATATAATATGAATCAGTTACGTGGAAACAACTACGGTCTCAAATGAAATCTGTTATAAGAGGTGCATTAAACGAGTATCGAAAAAGGCTGTGGGATGATCCAATCTGCGCCCTTGATGTAGTTTACAGCAGAGAAAAAATGAAATGGAGATAGGAGTGAAAGATTGAAGACATACGGGGAAAGAGACAGAGAGTATGTTTGTGTGTTTGTGTATGTTTACTTAAAATGCAAAAGAGGCAAGGGATATATCCCCTCCAAGCCTAGTGAATCTGCCCTCTTAAAGTTTGACCGTCTAGGACGTTTTTAAACCGGGGTACCGCGAGAGTATTTTACTTATATTAAGAATGTATTTTAGAATAACGTCATCTTCATTGACAACAAGAGGATCAAACATTTAGTTTTACATTTTATCTAGTGTATATTGGTGAATAAATAAAAAAAATTCCATAATGAAAGTGCTTTTTTTTTTTTTTTTTTAGAGATCAAAACACTCCTCTTTTTTTTTAAGAGCACATTTTTAATTTATTTTTTTGTCTGAGGAGGGGGGGGGGGTTCGACCCCCCCCCCCCCTCCCCTAAATATTTCCTGAAAAATTTGGAGGGGGGAGTGCCTCTTCATGCAATGGGTACATGTTTTTTCTTCTTTCCTTCCTTATGGAGGCAAGATGTTCCCCTTCCCCCAATACTATTCTCTCTCTCATCCTCTCCATCTCACTCTCTTATTTCTCTCTCTCACTCACTCGCTATCAACTCATTGACCTTAAAAAATGAAAAGAGCTCGCAAGATATGTCACAGAGATGCAATTTTTCTTTTGATTGAACCCATCTACACAAATTCATAACTTTCTAATTTTTAATGGGGTTTCGCTCAAAATATCACTGACCTGTTCGTCTCATTATTCTGCTTCAAAACACCGACTTAATTCCAGTCGGACTTCTCCTTTAATAAAGTCTTTCATTTGCCCGATTATCATCCGATTTAACTGGCCGACTAAAAGATGTTTATTCACATAACTAGTTACGGCGGTAACCTACACAAATGAGATAAAGATGTAATGTCATGAATAGAATGAAACCAGTAATGTTTACATGAACATATACGTTGTATTTATTGTCATACTCGATATCAACATATCACTTTATGATTTCTGGAGTGGGACACTCGTTTACGACATCCATAAGGTTTAGTGTAGTCCTGAGAAATGGTTTTGGTCAAGCTACATCTGTGTTACTGAGACCATATGGTAACAATAAAAAACAGGACATGGTAATTAAAAAAAGAAAACATTGTATAGCCTCTATGGAATAATGGAACTTGTGAGAAAAAGAAGGGAAAAACAGTCGAAACTGAATCTCGGTAGGTTGCTGTATCTCTACAATCTCATTGATTTTCGCTAATTATAAAAAAGCACTTACAACATTGTACATACCTACATGTATGACTTACTGTTGCCTATAACGTTGGAATATTTTTTCTTACTTATTTTCATGAAATAATTATGACAATATTGTTTATTCTTGATTAACTTCATATCTATTCAGAACTTTTTCGATCAATCTAACAAGTCCTAGAAATTAAATAAAGATCTGAACAGAGATAAACCTTATCTACACCTGTATATCAAAATATAAATATTGTCACAATAGTTTCATGAAATCAAAATTTATTCCAAATGTATGGGCAAGAGTGTAATCATAATATTTCAATTCACATGTATAATTTTTGTACCAGCTTTCTTTTAAATAATGAGATTTTCAGTAACTGATTTTTTTTCTTTTGTGTTAAAAATGTCTTTCCCGTATTCCTCTCCAGGCTGATTTCAGGAGCGCATCACATAATCAGTTGTGATCCTTACAATCACATCTTGAAGTAATACAGGCTATGGGATATTGAATGGGCCCTAGAGTGGTTTTCTTGATGGTCTGTGCTGCCCTGTTTGTCAATTTAATTCAAAGGTAAAGACCAGTATTGGAAACGCCCCAATTTTTAAAAAAATGGAAGCTCTTTATTACCAATCATGTGAAAGAATATGTTTTGACTAATACATGATGATAAAAAATTTGCCGGGAAACCGCCTACTAATTGATATATTTGGTAAATTAGTTTATCTATTGGACTGTGAGAGATAAACGCACGTGTCGCGCACGTGTGCGTAGTCCCATATACATCTTTTTGTGTACAGTGCTTGAAACTTTACGAAGACTGGGCCAAATTTCTTATCATTTTGATGATTCCAGAACCTTGCAGTACACACCAATACTTATATGCTAGATGATCAACTTTTTCTGATCGATTCCACAACGTTTCCTTCACAATGCAATCGCATGACCAGAACCGGTCTTTATCTTTAAACCCTGGACATTCAGCTTCATTAAAATAGTTTTTCAACAAGTCATTAGACTCCATATTGAAATATATCTCTTCAGAACATCAATGGTAACAAAATAGAAAGAAAAATCTCATGAGTGAAACATCTGCAAACATGTATAAGATGTTTTCTGAAGAAGATATTCCAACATGCATAAACATTACTATTATTATCTATAAATTGCATGACACATAATTCTCACATTGTTTTCTAGGGTCCTATGGTTCCCTCTAGCTGACACATTTTCAATGATCATAATGCATCAGAGATTATCAATTCGTACTAAAGATCATTTTATCTTTATATTTGTATTAAAAGACAACTCTCTCAACTCTTTATTCCACACTGGTAGACGAGTATTTGAAAGCATCTGCAACATACATACACAGGTGTAATATGTGATGGACACTTTGCTTGTGTTCGCAAATACATGTACATGATTTCATGTTTTCAGCAAATGTTTACATTATTATCATACTATCATTATTATTATTATTTTATTAATATTATTATTAGCATTACTATCATTTTTATCATTATCATTATTACTATTTTGGAATAATGATATTTTTGGTACATTTTTTATTATTATGCTGAATTAAAGAATTCATAATGCTTTGTCTTAATACCTCAGGAACAGTTATTACACTTTCGTTAAATTAAAAAAATGCCAGGAGAATTGCAGTGTATGTAAATTTTAAACTCACAAAGTTTATTTATTTATTTTTTTTTTACAAAAAAACTATCTTCATCCATGGGCATTAAAAAATACTATCATTTATGCAAAATCGCTATTTCAAATTATAAATTTCTACATAAGTGAAAACTTGAAATGAAAAATTAGAAGAAAAAAAATGAATGGAAATTGAATTGAAATAAAGAAATGAATAATAATAATGATAACAATAATACTAGTAAGAATAGTAACAATTATAATAATTATAATAATACAGATGATTTTCTGCTTATGGTTTTCCATTTGATTACATGAACAGCACCTCCAATAAAATATGAATTTTTTCTCCATACAAAATGAGAAATGACAATACATGTGTACATGTATTTTGTTTGATTACAAACTATAAAGTGAATGGAGTTGTAGAGAATACAAATTTGCACCAAAAAATGAGATCTTTACCGTTATGACTTTTAACCTTCAATAGCCTCTTCTGGTTTTCTGCTTTTAGGATGAAAACGGAAATACGTGACAGCCATCAACATAAAATTTTAGGTCAAACTTAATAAATAATTAAAAGAAACAATCAAATAAAGATTTATTTAAGGAAGGAGGTGTGGTCCAAGTCTGTTGTTTATGTGTTAGTAAGATTTTATAATAATATCCTGCCTATTTTATAAGCTTTCATTAGTGATAAAAAGAAAAGTGGTGTTTCGGTGTGTCTTCTTGAAAGATAATAGAAACCTCTACTAAAAAATTGGTGGCAAAGCCATTGCCTAACTTGTATCTTCACACACCATATAAATGGATGAATAACAACATGGTTGGTACATGTATGCTTAAGTTGAAAGTGTCTACAATTATTCACGATGAATAAATAAATGCAAAAGCCTTAACAGGGGAAGTCCATCCTGATAATGATTTTGTTTCAATAAAAGCAGATTGAGAAAAAGAACTTGGAGAAAGTGTGAAAAATATCTGATTAAAAATTGGAAAATTACATATATTTTTGACGATATCATGAAAATAATAATATGCGCTTCCAAAGAGCTTTGGAAATTATTGGAAATTATTACCCCGGCTTTAGCCTTTAGCAAGGCTTCCATTACGGCTCTCGAGCATTTCAGGGAATTAATTCCTGCCAGGTACCCATTTACCTCACCTGGGGCGAGTGTGGCAAATGTAGATTAATGTCTTGCCAAAGGACTTTGCTGCCGCGGCGGCACTCAAACAGCGGATCTTGTGATCAACAGTCTGGTGACATATCCACTCGACCACGACACTAATTTCATCAGTGTAACATAAATCGGCAACACTGTGTTGTATCTCGGGAGTTCCTCTCCAATGTGCCCTGTACAGAACACGTCATCAACTTTCAATTTCTTAGTTATTGGTGACGGAATAGATTTGTTTCAATTGGGAGGGGAGCTTGCAAGATATGCCACATAATTGCCAATTTGTATTTGATTGATTTGATCTGTTTGTGCTCCAACTTTTACTGACCAGTTTCTCTTACTTTTCTGCTCCTATCAAATCCAACATAATATGAGGGTAGACTTCCCCTTTAATATAACTAGAAAAAAATATGTAGACTAACTGTTCAAATGTTTGTTCATGTTTAGCCAATTGTTTAATTCATTCTATTTTATGGTAATATCTCTTGTGGGGGAATAATTTTTGCACTCCATAATTCACGTTACAAATAGTTGCCAAGAGTATGCTCCTTGTTCATGTCTCTATACAATGCAGATTATATACAATATTTACAGGTTTTGTAGCATGTGGTACAAGATGCCAACATTAAATAAAATGTTTGAAAACAAAAATAAGCTCTAAAAATGAGTCTATGGAGATCATTTTTTCTTGACCTCTGGTAAGCACTTTGGACAATACCACTTGCCCTTGGGTTTCGTCGAGAGTCCTACACATCCAAAATGGAACCATTCATAAGGGCAGTCTTTATTGTCACATCCGACCATATCTCCGTAAGAGACTTGCTGGCATAGACAGTATGTTGGTTCGTTGGGATCGATGGGGGGATCTATAGGCAAGATGTCTCGCTCCTTGGTCTTGTTGCGCTTCTTCTTCTTGGCCTTGGGGTTGTCGTTCTGCTGCGGCACCCTGTGGTTGTCTTTCTCCTTCACCACGTCGCTGTTGCGGCTCCGCCTCAGACGCTTGCTTGCTTTCTCCGCCGGCGCTTCAGGCTCCACGACAACTGGCACAGCCTTCTTTGTCTTGGAAGGGGGGTCGGGAGGATGCTCTGGCTTCTCCGTGATCTCTAGGTGGGTGCGGTTCATGTTCATCTGACGGAGCCGGTTCTCCACAATCTCTGATATCTGGGATGCAAACTGGAGCTTCTCATCTCCGAGCTCCTGGCTTTGGATGAGACAGCGATGAAGGCGAATCAGAGTGCGTCGTTTGTTGTGATTGTCCAGATCCTTGGTGGTCAGTGTTTCGTAGAGCTGCTTGATTTCTCTAAGAACACCTATAGAAGAAATCAAATGAAGACTTTAAAGAGAATTCACGTTCAGAAAATCTCCCCTAGTGGATAGCTGAGATTTGATGACTCTAAGAATGTAATTTGTTTCCAAACATAAAAAAAAGTTTTTTAACCTCTATATTACATTTAGATCCATCATCCATCCTGACTCTAGATCCATTGTAGATCTATATATTAAAATGTTCAGTTTCTCCCTATACAAGTACAAATAAGTTATCATTAGTACTTATGGATTACTACCACCAGCCCCTCTCCCCCACAAAAAAAATATATAAATAAATAAATAAAAAAATAAAAAATGGAGAGTCATTCAATAACATTCGGATGGTATCTAAACCCCATTTTGGTAGTTTGAAAGTGTAGGGATAAACTATAATATGTAATTATCTAATCCATCCTGACATTCTGAAAATGACCTGCTTTCATTAACAACATTTTCTTCAGAAGTTGAGGTTTGAATTGTACTTAAAAAAGGCCCTAACTGAGGGCCTACCGGTAGGCATTTTTCTTCATGAACACCTTAAAATTAAATGTGATCATGCAAATTTCAGCACCAGGCCAAGAGTCTGTATATATTTTTTATTTCAGCTTGCCAATATGTTTTCTTCACAAACACTACAAAAAATAAGAAAATAATCTGGCACTAATACTAATAGCGACTGATAACCCATGGCAGGCACAGCCACAGAAGAATTCCAGACAACTCGCCACAAAGACAACCCGCCCCAAGACAACCCGCCACAATACCCTGGACAACTCGCCACAGGCGAGTTGTCCAGGGTGGGGTGCTTTTCGGACAACTCGCCACATTTTTTTCCCCTCATGATTTCTAGACGTAAAATCCCTCATCTGAGATGAAATTGTAATTTTTCATGATTTTCGTGCTTTTATAAAAAGTCATTACAAAGAATAAAGAATAAAGCTGATTTCCCTTGCAGCAATAATATATTTTTGACAAACCGAAGGCATATACGTTCGCCAGATCATTGGGATAACTTCTCGGTATTTAGATCTAGAGGTCTGTAACAGCTGCATTTTTTCTGTCTCAGAAATTGTTTAATGGTAGGATACTGGAAGCACTGGCGTACTGATGGGGGGGGGGGGGGCAGGGGTGGGTATTTGACCCGCGAAATACAATTGAAATCTGGTTTATTTCTATGTGAGTACCCCTACCCCTCGGGGGGGGGGGGGTATACAATGACACTGATAGTGATGAGAAAGACTCTCGGACATCTGCAGTATGAAGTTGCACCTGAAAACATTTTGTGCTTTTTGTTAAAGAAAAGAAAAATATACAGACTTAACCCTGTTAATGTTAATAATAATAATAAGTTATAATAATAATAATAAAATAACGTTGGTTTCTTTTTGACATTTTCATCGATCTTGCAGGAAAAGAGTGTATGCTTTATCATTAAATATGATTACATATGCATTTCATGCTCAATATTATGTTATTATTAGTTGTTATTCTCATGTTTCCTGTCATGACTGTGTTTATAAAATAATAATGAATACATAAAATGACAATTTCATCTAAGATGAGGAATTTTAGATCTAGAAATCATGAGGGGAAAAAAGTGTGGCGAGTTGTCCGAAAAGGCACCCCACCCTGGACAACTCGCCTGTGGCGAATTGTCCTGGGGCGGGTTCCTAGAAACCGTCATAAGTCTAACTTCTTGACTATCCCATTGAACCGCGTGTTAATTCTATAACACACGTTTCAATAGGATAGTCAAGAAGTTAGACTTATGACGGTTTCTAGGAACCCGCCCCTGGGTATTGTGGCGAGATGTCCAGGGTATTGTGGCGAGTTGTCTTGGGGCGGGTTGTCTTTGTGGCAAGTTGTCTGGACCCCCCACAGAGCTGCATTTTACTTATTATATGATATTACATTATTAGTAACCACTTTATCACAGGTAATGTCTCAGATCCTCATTACGGTAGATAACTTCACACAGGCGCGCAACCCACCATCGGTAGCACTTGTATTGTGCAGCGGTTTGCCGAGAAACCTGTGAAAAAGTGGTTACTAATATTAATATCAACGTTTTTCCGACAAATAGATCTACTCCAAAAATAACAGGAAAATTGACACGAGACAGGTACATGTAAGAAACATAGACTAACTACTTTTAACACATGATATTTATTTGTACATTTGATTAATATTTACTTCATTTTGGTTATGTTTTAGCAGGGTATCTCCTACTCCTAGACAGAAATAACCATCTGATTTGGGTCATTTCTTTAATAAAACTGACATTTGTGGACATTCCCCAATAGTGGAGCCAGACGTAGTCTCAGTGGAACAACCGACGATTAGAGAGACTGAAGTTTTCGGTCTAGGTATCTCCACGCCGGAGTTACAGGTCAAATTTTGGATAGGTTTCTGAACAAGCGCCGCCGTCTGTGTATGGCTATGGCCTTTTAATGGGAAATGTCGAAGCGACAGATGTCGGATTTTGAAAGATTTGTCTTGCCTAGGCTAGATCTAGGCCTTACCTACCTAAAATCCAGTACAAATTTCTAGGAATAAGAGAAAATTTCATTGCAAACTTCATCTACAAACTGATATCACATACATTACATTTTCAATAGGTATATCTATGGAATTTAGATGGATTCTAATGGCGGAGCATCCATTTGCTTGAAACGGCCGTTGCACCGCAGTCGCATGGACATGCAGAAAAAGCGAAGCAGCGGCATACCTTGCATCTGCTAGCCGACAGGCCGGGGACGCGCGCCTTACAATCCCGCTGGTGTCAAATAGCACTTACTCTGATATGTACTGTCGATCTCGCGGATCTGAGACACGCTCCTTTGGAGATCATTTGGAAGGGATTCGATGCAATCCAAGTAGTCTTCCACATAACTAGTAGTTTGGAACATATTTGCCGCCGTGTGACTCATCTTGATACAAGATTCAGTCCGAATTAAACAAAATAATCAGTAAATTCGTAACTATGTTATCCAAAATGTCATGGCATCGACGTTGGTTGAGCAGAATCAAACATTAAAATAGAACTGCGCATGCGTAATGATATGAAGTTGAAAGGTCATTTTCAAGAAGGAAATTTGGATTATACCATTTTAGATAGGTAAAATATAATTTGTATTATTCAAAGTGTATGAATTTTAAACAAAAATTAAGTTAATAAATATTTTATTGTATTTATTAATTATATTATTATTCCTGATTTAGTAAGACTTAAACAAAACAAAGCTCTTAGTTTTAGGAAATGAAAAACGTTTTTATGATTTATCTCTTTATACAAATGGAATAATACTTTCTTCCGGAAGTTTGAGTCGCGGGAAATACGGAAGTAATCAAATAGTACCGTAATCATAACTCATATGCATGCATGCGCTATGCATATGCGAGAAACAAAAATCAACGGATTAGCAGGGCTCATGACGCCAGCGCTGCAGGCCTAGGGTCAGTTAGTTAGCTAGCTAGGCTGTACATGTACCTACCGCGCCAGGTATCTGTCAGTGTCGCTCGATATAGATCTACAGTGTGTAGCTGAGACTTCACTACCGACTTTGTGACTGAATCTGACTCTGAGATAGGTCTACTCTAGTCTACTTTGCATCATCCTGTCATCGACATCGAGGCCAGGACCTAGCTAGCGCTAACCTGGGCTAAGACTAAGTCTGAGTGAGTTAACTTATTTTTCACCATGGTCACAGACGGCTTTCATCGAAAGGGTGCGGTGCGGCGCGGCGCGGTGTGGTGTGCTCAACGCACCCATTCGATAAAAGAGGGGGGCCTTTTCTCGAAAGGGTGCGTTGAGAGCGGAGTTCCGTTTTAACACACCCTTTCGATGAAAGCGGGGGGGCTTTTCTCGAAAGGGTGCGTCGACTAGTCTTTCGCATCAGTCGTTTAAAATGAGGATCTCGGACAGAAGGTAATAGTTGCCAATTTAAGTATATCGAAAATGTATTAAATAAAATGGAATGGTCTTGATTACAGAGTGGTCTCTTTCGTTATTACTATGTTGATGGGGGAGACAAAGAGAAGGAGGGAAAGGGAAGATAAAAGGAAAGAAAGAAGAATAAGAAGAGAAGAGGGAAACGGGGGGGGGGCGAAGGACTCTTGCCAAAAAATAAATCAGAGAGAGAGAGAAGGGAAAGGGAAAGGGAAAGAGAAGATAAAAGGAAAGAAAGAAGAGGAAGAAGAAGAAAAGAGGGAAACGTGGGCAAATTAGGGCTTTTGCCTCCTCCCCCCCCCCCCGCCAACAAATAAATAGGAGAGAGAGAGAAGGGAAAGGGAAAGGGAAAGAGAAGATAAAAGGAAAGAAAGAAGAGGAAGAAGAAGAAAAGAGGGAAACGTGGGCAAAGGGCTTTTGCCTCCTCCCCCCCCCCCCCGCCAACAAATAAATAGGAGAGAGAGATAGAGATAGAGAGAAGGGAAAGGGAAAGGGAAAGAAAATATAAAAGGAAAGAAAGAAGAAGAAGGAAAGAGGGAAATGGGGGAAGGGCAAAAGGCTCTTGCCTCCTCCCTTCCCCCCCCCCCCCCCCGCCAAAAAAATAAATAAGAGAGAGAGAGAGAAGGGAAAGGGAAAGAGAAGATAAAAGGAAAGAAAGAAGAGGAAAAGAAGAAAAGAGGGACACGGGGGCGAAGGGCTCTTGCCCTCCCCCCCCCCCCCCACCAAAAAAAAATAAATAAGAGAGAGAGAGAGAAAAGGGAAAGGGAAAGGGAAAGAGAATATAAAAGGAAAGAAAGAAGAATAAGAAGAAAAGAGGGAAACGGGGGCGAAGGGCTCTTGCCTCCTCCCCCCCCCCCCCCCCGCCAACAAATAAATAGGAGAGAGAGAGAGAGAGAGAAGGGAAAGGAAAAGAAAATATAAAAGGAAAGAAAGAAGAAGAAGGGAAGATGGATACGGGGGAAGGGCGAAAGGTTCTTACCTCCCCCCCCCCCTTCCCGCCAAAAAAGAGAGAGAGAGAGAAGGGAGAGGGAAAGAAAATCTAAAAGGAAAGAAAGAAGAGGAAAAAGAATAAGAAAAGAGGGAAAGGGGGCGAAGGGCTCTTGCCAACAAAATAAATAAGAGAGAGAGAGAAGGGAAAGGGAAAGAGAAGATAAAAGGAAAGAAAGAAGAGGAAGAAGAAGAAGAAAAGAGTTAAACGGGGGCGAAGGGCTCTTGCCTCCCCCGCCAAAAGTAAATAAGAGAGAGAGAGAGAGAGAGAGAGAGAAGGGAAAGAAAGAAGAGGAAGAAGAATAAGAAGAAAAGAGGGAAACGGGGGCGAAGGGCTCTTGCCCTGCCCCCCCCCCCCCCGCGCCAAAAATAAATAAGAGAGAGAGAAGGGAGAGGGAAAAAAAATATAAAAGGAAAGAAAGAAGAGGAATAAGAAGGAAAGAGGGAAACGGGTGAAGGGCGAAGGGCTCTTGCCCCCCCTCCCCCCCCCCCCCCCGCCAACAAAATAAATAAGAGAGAGAGAGAGTGAAGGGAAAAGGAAAGAAAATATAAAAGAAAAGAAAGAAGAGGAAAAAGAATAAGAAAAGAGGGAAACAGGGGCGAAGGGCTCTTGCCTCCTCCCTCCCCCCCCCCCCCCCCCGCCAAAAAATAAATAAGAGAGAGAGAGAGAATCTGTTCTGATCCTGGTCCTGATCCTCAAGAGGGATATAAAGAAGACCAATAAGAACGTTATCGTTCGAGAGAGAGTGTTTGTTGCTTCTAGAACATTTTAGAATTAAGTCCCATCACATTGCAGTTGTGGGGAGGGACTATGATTATTACCCCCTTGGATGGCTTCCCAGAGTCTGGCTTTGAAGGTTTCGACTGCGTTGCAGGCAAAGATGCTGGGGGGGGGGGTAAAGTAAATTCCAGGCCCGTACGGTTCTTGGAAAGAAGGTGAGTCGATTTATATCCGTCTTGCATCTTATGTTGGAGAAGGAGAGGGAAAGAGAAGATAAAAGGAAAGAAAGAAGAGGAAGAAGAAGAAGAAAAGAGTTAAACGGGGGCGAAGGGCTCTTGCCTCCCCCGCCAAAAGTAAATAAGAGAGAGAGAGAGAGAGAGAGAGAAGGGAAAGAAAGAAGAGGAAGAAGAATAAGAAGAAAAGAGGGAAACGGGGGCGAAGGGCTCTTGCCCTGCCCCCCCCCCCCCCGCGCCAAAAATAAATAAGAGAGAGAGAAGGGAGAGGGAAAAAAAATATAAAAGGAAAGAAAGAAGAGGAATAAGAAGGAAAGAGGGAAACGGGTGAAGGGCGAAGGGCTCTTGCCCCCCCTCCCCCCCCCCCCCCCCCCGCCAACAAAATAAATAAGAGAGAGAGAGAGTGAAGGGAAAAGGAAAGAAAATATAAAAGAAAAGAAAGAAGAGGAAAAAGAATAAGAAAAGAGGGAAACAGGGGCGAAGGGCTCTTGCCTCCTCCCTCCCCCCCCCCCCCCCCCCCGCCAAAAAATAAATAAGAGAGAGAGAGAGAATCTGTTCTGATCCTGGTCCTGATCCTCAAGAGGGATATAAAGAAGACCAATAAGAACGTTATCGTTCGAGAGAGAGTGTTTGTTGCTTCTAGAACATTTTAGAATTAAGTCCCATCACATTGCAGTTGTGGGGAGGGACTATGATTATTACCCCCTTGGATGGCTTCCCAGAGTCTGGCTTTGAAGGTTTCGACTGCGTTGCAGGCAAAGATGCTGGGGGGGGGGGGTAAAGTAAATTCCAGGCCCGTACGGTTCTTGGAAAGAAGGTGAGTCGATTTATATCCGTCTTGCATCTTATGTTGGAGAAGGAGAGGGAAAGAGAAGATAAAAGGAAAGAAAGAAGAGGAAGAGGAAGAAGAATTTGTGTTCTGCCAGTGTCACAAATAGATATATAAATATGCTCATCTGACGATAATTTGATGTATAAAACCTCTCACCTTCTTGGGGCTCCGCCCCTTGGATCCAACACCAATTTGTGTCCTGCCAGTGTCACAAATGGATATAAAAATATGCTCATCTGACTGTTATTTATTGCCCAAAACCCCTGAGCTTCCGGGTGCTCCACCCCCTGGACCCCACGCCAATTCGTGACCCCTGTGTCACAAATAAGGTATAAAATAATAATAATTTAATGGACAAAACTCCTGAGCTTCTGGGGGCTCCGCCCCCTGGACCCAACACCAAATTGTGTCCTGCCACTGTCACAAATAAGGTATAAAATTATGCTCATCCGACGTTAATTTTGATGATTAATACCCCTGAGCTTCTGAGGGCTCCGCCCTGTGAAAAAAACGTGTAAAAAAAAACACGTTAATTTTTACCGTTTTGGGGAGATACCCCCCCCCCTGGCGTTCAAGGGGGGGGGGTACGATTTTTCAAATTTTTGAGGGCCCCAAAAAAGATTAGTGCTCTCTAGTAATTTCGCGACTACTCCGGAACCGCGGCAGATATAAAGTTTTTCTATCATGACTTTTTTTTTTCGAATCTTACGCATCTTTTGAAACATTTTTTTGTTGAAAATCGGACGTATAATTGCGGAGTCACGTGACCTTTTGTTTTTGCATGTCGGCCCTAAAATCGCTCATTTTTGTGATTTATGTACCAAACATATGGAAATACCATTTATTCTTTTAAAAAAAGAGAAAACATTGGTTATTTGGTCTTGTTTCAAGTTAATGTGTTTGATTTTGGGTAAAAATAGTTGAATTGTGGTTAGAAATGAAATGAAATAACAAAATAATATAATACATAAACACAAATTATCAAAACAAGAGATAACATAGGGATAAACTGGCTCTTCCAACTTTGTTGTCGTATCATTATTCTAACGAATATATGAAGTGAAAAAGAACGCTCGAATATGAATTATATATGATTTATGGGTAAAAATGTGAATTCTCTGACCTTGTTTGCATAAATTACCATTAATATGCATTTTCGCGGCGATCGGCTGTGAAACGGCCGAGATCTCAGAAGGGGGACCCCCCCCCCCACCCTCAAGTCCACTCCAATCACATTGAAAAAAAGTATGACTTAAATCATCTCTCTCATCATTATATAGTATTCATGTTTTTAATATTATTTATTGTCCATTAAACAAGTTCATAGAGAAAATACATATCTCTCTGCAACATTAAAAAAGAATCTTCATTAATATGTCTTAATTTGTATTGATAGCCTTGTGGTCGCCAACAGTGGCGTAGGCAGGGGCGTCTCCAAAGGGGGGTGTGGGGGTGCGACACCCCCCCCCCCCACCTGTCAGGATATGGTCGGTAAAATTGCGCTGCCGTCGGGAAAAAAGAGAAAAGGGGGAGGGGAAAAAAGAGAGTAAAAGGGAAAGAAAAGAACAAAAGAAAAAGAAAAGAAAAAAAAAAGAAAAAAGAAAAAAAAGGAAAGAAAAGAGAAGAAAGAAAAGAAAGAAACAGAAAAACGAAAAAGAGGGAGAATAGGAAAGACAGGAGGCAAGAGCCCTTCGCCCCCGTTACCCTCTTTTCTTCTTATTCTCCTTCCTCTTCTTTCTTTTCTTTTATCTTCTCTTTCCCTTTCCCTTCTTTCTCTCTCTCTTATTTATTTTTTTTGGCGGGGGGAGGGGAAGGAGGGCTATAGGAGGCAAGAGCCCTTCGCCCCCGTTTCCCTCTTTTCTTCTTCTTCTTCCTCTTCTTTCTTTCCTTTTATCTTCTCTTTCCCTTTCCCTTTCCCTTCTCTCTCTATCTCTTATTTATTTTTTGGCGGGGGTTGGGAGGGAGGAGGCAAGAGCCCTTCGCCATTCCCCCGTTTCCCTCTTTCCTTCTTATTCCTCTTCTTTCTTTCCTTTTATATTTTCTTTCCCTTTCCCTTCTCTCCCTCTCTCTTATTTACTTTTGGCGGGGGGAGGCAATAGCCCTTCGCCCCCGTTTTCCTCTTTTCTTCTTCTTCTTCCTCTTCTTTCTTTCCTTTTATCTTCTCTTTCCCTTTCCCTTCTCTCTCTCTCTCTCTTATTTATTTTGTTGGCAAGAGCCCTTCGCCCCCTTTCCCTCTTTTCTTATTCTTTTTCCTCTTCTTTCTTTCCTTCTAGATTTTCTTTCCCTCTCCCTTCTCTCTCTCTCTCTCTTATTTATTTTTTTGGCGGGAGGGGGGGGGGTGGGGAGGTAAGAACCTTTCGCCCTTCCCCCTATCCATCTTTCTTTCTTCTTCTTCTTTCTTTCCTTTTAGATTTTCTTTCTCTTTCCCTTCTCTCTCTCTCTCTCTCTTATTTATTTTTTTGGCGGGAGGGGGTGGGGGAGGTAAGAACCTTTCGCCCTTCCTCCGTATCCATCTTTCCTTCTTCTTCTTCTTTCTTTCCTTTTATATTTTCTTTCCCTTTCCCTTTCCCTTCTCTCTCTCTCTCTCTCCTATTTATTTGTTGGCGGGGGGGGGGAGGAGGCAAGAGCCCTTCGCCCCCGTTTCCCTCTTTTCTTTTTATTCTTCTTCCTCTTCTTTCTGTCCTTTTATATTCTCTTTCCATTTCCCTTTCCCTTCTCTCTCTCTCTCTCTCTCTCTCTCTTCCTTTCGCCCCTCCCCCGTTTCCCTCTTTCCTTCTTCTTCTTCTTTCTTTCCTTTTATCTTCTCTTTCCCTTTCCCTTCTCTCTCTCTCTGATTTATTTTTTGGCGGGGGGGGGGGGGGGCAAGAATCCTTCCTCCCCCCGTTTCCCTCTTCTCTTCTTATTCTTCTTTCTTTCCTTTTATCTTCCCTTTCCCTTTTTTCCTTCTCTCTGCATGTCTCCCCCATCAACATAGTAATAACGAAAGAGACCACTCTGTAATCAAGACCATTCCATTTTATTTAATACATTTTCGATATACTTAAATTGGCAACTATTACCTTCTGTCCGAGATCCTCATTTTAAACGACTGATGCGAAAGACTAGTCGACGCACCCTTTCGAGAAAAGCCCCCCCGCTTTCATCGAAAGGGTGTGTTAAAACCATAGAGATATATTAAGTATATATCTCTATGGTTAAAACGGAACTCCGCTCTCAACGCACCCTTTCGAGAAAAGGCCCCCCTCTTTTATCGAATGGGTGCGTTGAGCACACCACACCGCGCCGCGCCGCACCGCACCCTTTCGATGAAAGCCGTCTGTGACCATGGTGACGTGTGACAACTGATGACATATGACTGTCATTTGTGTTAAGAAAAATATATTAATAGGGTCTAATCATGTTTTGTTAAATAATATCATTATCAATTATTTATTCATATTTTGCTAATCGTTATTGGCAACTTTTTAAACTTAAAATCAAGAGGTCAACAGTGCAGTGACAATGTATTTAGGTCTAGTAATTAACCTCATGACGTACCGAAACAAACACTAGTCTAGGCCTACTAATTCTCTTAATTTCTTTTAGTTTTGTTTTATTATATTTTTACCTTTAAAGGGGGTGTAGGTTTGGCAAATACTGGTTAACACCATCTACAACTTCTTTTGGACAACTGCATGTAAACGAATGGACTAGATTTAGAGTCTATATAACGGTCAGCGCGAGCTAGTGTTCGCGAAACAGACCGAAGTAATTCTCCTTGCGGTTCGGTTTAGCTTAATATGTTGCACGCATGTGAATACTGCGGTCGCATCGTCCGTAGTTGTATTATACCCGATTGGCCCTGAGTCAGGCCACAGGAAAGACACGCACTAGTCTCGTTTTAAATGCTACACCCCCTTTATTTTAACCCTTCTTTTTTATCTCTCTTCCAACTTTTTCAATATAGATCCTAGATCTGGATTTAATCTGATACTACTGATAGGACAAGAAAGAAGATCATGAATGAATCAGAAAGGAAGACTGACATGGAGGAGAAGCAGGATGAGGGAGAAGGACCGGTCAAGTTTCCATTCCCCTTCCCTCCGTACCCAATACAAGAAGACTTCATGAAACATCTGTACGAGGCACTGGATGGTGGCAAGATTGGTATCTTTGAAAGCCCTACAGGAACAGTAAGCTCAGCTGATTCTCTAATTCGGTCTGCATTGGTGAATACATGTACATGTACCTACCCACAGACAGAATGGGAATAGTTGTCCTAGAATTAACATAAAATGGACCAGGAGCCATGAGGTACTAAGTTGTTTAGGATTTAAAAACTTACAATCTAGCTGAAGCCTACAGTATATCTATAGCAGTAATCATGGAACGTAGACCTCGATTGAGTCATTGAGAGAACCAAGTCAATGTGTCAGTACCACAAGACCTCAGGTATTATGACAGCTACATTTGTAGTCTCTCTATTAGCTCCTACCATGTAAAGCTGTAGGTCTTTCAGTTACCGTACACTTTTTATTTCATCAATGAGCCTACAAAGTTGAAATATACTTTGTATTTCTCAATGAGCTCACAGCATACACTTTTTATTTCATTAATGAAAAAGAACATACCCGTAGTAACAGTATTTCGTGTAGTATACGTATTTCAATGAAATTGTCATCATCTCTAAAAACTGGTTAAACTTCTGTAGAAACTAGGCGGTACGGCTAGCAGTAAATTAAAGAAATCTCCCATTGATGTGATGATATCAATACTCCTAAAATTTCAGCACTATTCATGGTTTTGTCATTGTATGTCTTTGATATGGTGCATGAATTTTTTGTTCAAACAACAATATATTATAAAATGTCAAAGAACCCATGCCAAGTTGAGCTATGTTTTTTTTTAAATGATAATTAATATATTTTGGTGACAGAAAATAAATAATTTCAGGGAATTCTTTTTATGAATTTTATCTTTTGTGCACATCTTCTATCTAGGGAAAGTCTCTGAGCCTTATTTGTGGAGCACTTAAATGGCTGACTGATCATGAGAAACAAAAACAGGTGGAGTTGGAAGCATTGATGGAACAGCAGCAGAGTGAGGCTCATGAACAAAGGTGAATTCCCCCTCTGAGCTTGTCATGGAGGTCAAACCAAAGTTTTTATGTGTCTGGATTTATACACAGAAGTCTAAAAAAAAAAAAAAAAAACCTTTGACATAAGCCTCATTAGCAAACCATAGATAGCACTGTTTACCTTTATACTGAATTTACATTACAGGTCACTTCATGTGAAGTAGGCTTATTGTAACATTGATGATATTGAGAGTCCACTCAAACTTACTATTTTTCACATTGTTGTTTTTTTGTAGCTTTTTGTTGCTTTTTGTTGCTTTTTTGTTGTTGTTGTTTTCTTTTTCATTTTATTAATTTCAATAAAACTGGTCTACATTTTCAGTATTGATTGTAAACTCATTAAAGAGAAGGTTGAGTTGTGGGAAGAGGTGAAAAATAATTTGTGAGCATTACTCATTCTTATTATGCAAGTGTGGAAGAACATCAGTTAAGACATGTTCCCTGAAAAGCATGGCTCTTCAAATGCCTTCATATTCTAAATATGCATGTAACATCGTAAAAATCGGGGGGGGGGGGGGGGGGTTTACGCCACGTGTTCGTGTAGTCCCATATACATCTTTCTGTGCAAGTGTTTGTAACTTTACCAAGACTTGGCCAAATTTCTTATCATTTTGATGATTCCAGAACCTTGCAATACACACAAATTCTAATATGCTAGATGATCAACCTTTTCTGGTCGGTTCCACACCGTTTCTTTCACAATGCAATCGCATGACCAGAACTCAACTTCATCTTTAATGACTCATATTATATTTGATAAAGGGTACATAAATCAAAGATGGGTCACTTTGGTCATGCTCTGCTACTGTATGTCATTTTTTTTCCTGCTGTGCCCTCTCCCCTCTCTTCTTAAACATCTCCCAATGCAGCAATGGAACTACGCAGTCATCAGGAGCTCCTGATTGGGTTATGGAGTTTGAGTCAAAGCGAGATCAGATGGAGAAAACGACCAAGCTCATGGTAATCAATTGCAATTTTCTTTTATATTATAGTATTAATGACTGCTATGAGAGATATAGTTGTTTTTAAACGCTCAAGGGGAGGTTACATCGTGCTATCGCCAACATCGGCTTCATAGGGGTGAGGAGAAGGACGTTGCGAGGTACAGTGCTTTTGGTGCACACAACATACAAGTGGAGACTCATATGCGGGCTATTGGTGTTCAAATACACTTCGTAGGACAGCTCATCTCAACCTTTTGTGGGCTTTAGTGTAGGAGGTACACCCTTCCAGTTTATTTGCAACGTCCTGATCATTGTCATGCCGATTTCCTCGAACAGCCACTTGGCCAAGGTAACTGCAGTGTATAAGCGGTCCATGCCGAGGTTCCTTCCTTTCAACTGTGCATGCTGTCGTAGGATGTTTACCATGTGCCTGACGAGTGCCACAGTTCATGTTACATAGTCTTTGGTAGGCTCCCCTCTTGGCTTCCCATCGTACGGTGTTGAGAAAAATGTGTATGGATATCTGGCAGCATTTATTGAGCGAAAGAGCATGCCATGCTTCGCCGGCTTGTTCTTGTTGTACTGTTTGATTGACATGTGTGTGCGCATGGGGAATAACGACGCATCGATAGTTAAGAAGTTGTCCAGGGTCATTGAAGAGGCGTAGTTCCTATTGAGCAGACGGTGCATCTCCCTGAAGGCTGCGAATCTATCGTGTTGCCACCATTCCTCCCTCGTTTCCATGTCGTCAAAAGACACCCTCACCAGCAAACACGTGAATCTATTCCTGGACATTGTAGCTCCAAAGATAGGATGGTCGGTGCGATCATTGAAGAGATGGTCGGTGTCTAGGTTGCCTTGTCCTAACAGATCGCGAACGTAAATGAGCCCGATGAGCGTGTCAACTCCTACACAGTCGTTTCCTTGAGATTGGTGTTTTTGTCACTATCCATCATGTCTGTCCTGGCCTTGGCCTTGGCCCTTTAATTCTGAATCTTCTGGTTTGTTTGTTGAAGAAGAAGTTTCATCATATCGTCATCAAACATGCATTCCCATGCGTCACATGCTGTTTCTGCCCTCCTAGCTCTTCCTCTCACTCCAGGCCTCACTGTCGAGATGTTAGCTACATTCTGTCTACCTCTCTGTGAAGTCTTCCGGTTCTTCCATGTGATTTTCTTCCCAGGGTCATATCTCTTGGGCTTCTCGATGATGGCCGTGTGTTCTACCTCCTCTGCTGGAATGTCTCATGCGTCGTAATTGGCTCTAAAGCTGCATCGGTTGAGTTTACTTTTCTGTTTCGAAGCTTCACTCTGTTCGGGTGCTCTTGAGGGTCTTTTCTGTCACTGTCACTAGAACTTGAGCCGATATCACAGGGTGCTACAAGAATTTTTTTCACCACTTGCCCTGTCGGGCAAGTGGGTTTTCAATTTACTTGCCCAAACAATATTTCCACTTGCCCAAAACTTTAAAGCGAAAAAGGACTCGAGGTTAAAGCATTTATTATCTCGTAATGATAAGTTAGTGTTTTAGATAGCAAATTAATGCACATACATGTACAGTGTAACTGTACTGAATAATAACCTAATATGTCAAAGAAAATGGTCAACAAAGGATGGTTGAAGGTTTAAAAAACGCATTTTATTGATTCTCCATAAATAATCAGATTCACATGAATCTCGGCAAGGTAGAATGGTTCAAGCAGGTTTAAGTTTTTAATATTCAGTCATGTAAAAAAGCATAATGACCCTGTTGTAAAAAATATGATACAAACATGTCATTAATGGTAGCCACATGAATAAATATCAAACATTTGACTTTTTGTACTTACTAGAAAATCCCTGTTGTTTATTCCATTCCGATTCGCACGTGTTCATTTCCCTAGAATAATGACGTCATATTTGGCGTGATTCAACCAATCGGCAATCAGAGAATAGCAAAGGCCTGTCGGTGCGGCCTGCAGAGCTAGAGAGAGAGAGCGCGAATAAGCTCGCAGCTGGTACGATCGCGCTAGCTGTCTCTAGCTAGCTCACGGCCGGCCGTGCGTGGAGGCGGAGCGGCATTCATGGCTTGAAGTGTCACTGTTGCATGCGCGCTGAGCTGGCTAGCTGTCTGTGAAGTTTTTTCGAAATCGGAACGATCGCTTTTTTGCTTCTGGATTTTGACGACGGGTAAGAAGTTGACGGGTGAATGGTAGAGTTCTTGGACACTAGGAAATTACTGTAAAAGTATCACTTGCCCGAATCGGGCAAGTGATAATTTGATTTACTTGCCCGACGGCTCAATTTGGTTGCCCCGGGACGTCGGGCAAGCGGGTTTGTCGCGCCCTGTATCATCAGAGTCGATTAGTTCACATAGATCATCTCCTTCTCCTGCATTGGCTGCTTCATCATCCAAGTCAGATTCCACAACAGGTGGATCAGGTTCCACATGTCTTCTCTGAATATACAAACAAACAAAAAAATTGGTTATTTCTCATCCATACAATTATATCATATATTTAGATTACGATTCTACACAAACAGTTATAAATTGTAATCATGAGATGATGTGATTACAGCTGTTTTATACGTACTTTTCTAAGTGTGTATGGATACTTATCCAAGTGTGTATGGATGCTTTTCCAACTGTGTATGGATACTTTTTTATGCGTGTTGATTGGCTAATTAATATAATAAGAGGCCGTCCGATTGGTGTTACTAAATGCTTCTTGTTGCTGGGTAGACCTGAAGATGAAATTAACTAAAGGAATGTTCAGAATGTTCAGCAGTAGATTGTTATTGTTATCAAAGCTGGCTGAATGGAAAGTACTAACGAAAGGTATGCTTAAAATGCTGAGTATTTACAATGTTGATAAACAAATAGCAGTTTGTGACCTTACAAAGTTCAATTCACTACACTCAAAGGAGTAATAAGTGCTACATTTCATAAACATGCATAAAACAAACAAACAAACAACTTTAATACAAACATACAAATAAACACACACAGGTACAAATATGTTTGCTACATGTACATGTTGTTTTCATATGAAACTATACATGTAGTTTTTACAATATTTTTCTGGTGAAAAGCGTCAGTTTCTTTTATATTTATAATTACCAATTTCTTATGTATTCTATTGTTTTTTAATTTCTTATGTATTTCATTATGTGAATAAAAAAATGCTTGGCCAATACTAAACAAGTATAGTCATGAATGTATGACTGCATAACATGAAATAAATCACTCATGATATTGATTTTGATAAAGATCATATAACTGCAATATACTTATACATGCACATTTCTGAGAATTACATATTTTGATTGACATGTGATGATATTTTGTCACCTAACACCCGAACCATAGGTCCGCCCATAACAAATTTGGTATCAAAAACCGTGAGAGACATGAGGGAAAAAACTCATGAAATTTCAGCGCCAAAGGTTCAGGGGTTTTGATGCAGCAGTAGGCAGCTAGGAGGGGGCCATTATGCCCCCCCCCCCCCCCCCCGGCCTTATTAGGGTTAAGATGTTGCCAATGACTTTCATTTTAAATTTAATTTTCAATATATTTGTTTTTAGGAAGAGAGAGAAAAGAAGCTAAAGAGAGAAGCCAAGTTGGATAAACTGAAGAATGACCTTCGTCAGAGATCTTCATTCAAGCGAAAGGTAATTTCCATCAGTCGATTTATTCCTGTGCAGTTAGCTTGGTAATAGATAAGAAACCCCCATCCAAACACAGATGTAAACAGACTACTTCCTTATTTTTTTCAATTTGTAAAATTATAATTACCATGTAAATTTGTTATAGCATTATATCCCTAGGTGAAGAATAATATTCAGCTACCCAAAAGCTTTGGATTAATGTCCCTTCTCTGGCTCAGCAGCCCAGATATGATGCTGAAGCATTCAAGGAATTTCTTCAGCAAATGTAGGGTTTCAATTTTTTTTTTGAAAGTCATTATATTATCATGCAGAGGTAGAACCACATTGTAAGGATATGGAGCTGGTAAATCCATCTCAGTGAGGCTTAAATGTTGGCTAAACCTTCATTCAGATATATGTCAAAAATGAACTTTTATTGAACAAACATCACAAACTATTATGCATTTCGCGTTCCGGACACATCTTTTTGTGTCACTTTATTTGTTCGCTAAGCTACCTCACTGATACTCGTTCACATCACCTGGGTCAAGTATAGTACGATAATACTCTGTAAAGAGGTCTGTACTCAAAAGGAAGAAGAAGAGTGGCAAATGTAGATTGATGTCTTGCTAAAAGACTATCTCATTGCTGTGGCAGGGATTTGAACTCTTTCTCTGGAGGGTTCCATTACATATGATTTTTACAATTATCTTTCAATCTCTCCTTGGTGTTCTTATCAGAGACTCTCAACCACGGATGAGACCGTAGGCCTGGACAAAGAGCTTGATGATAAAGATAAACGTCAAGGAGCTGGAGATGCTCCTCCTGGAGAAGAGGATGATGTTGATGATCATCTAGTTGCTGATTACCATAGCGATGGGGACAGTGCTGAATCAGAAGAAGATGAGGAAAAGGACGAGATAGACGAACCTGAAGAGATAACCAAGGTGCAGTTACAGATCACAACAGATTGTTTAGTTTTGCTTTGTTTTCATCGATCCTAAAGCTGTTCAAGATGGGTTTAGTTCAATTTACACACATTTCACAGTGATTTGAAAACACACTTTCTTGGCTTGGGGGTCAGAAATTAAGTAAGAGTCCTTTCCTAGCTGTTATGCCACAAACAGTTTTTCTTGTACCATTTTTTGTTTAGTGTGTTATATTTCAAATCATGTCCCTAGACTTTCTATCCACAACTCTTGGCGTTTATATTAATTTTGAAAATCATTACACACTCTACAAGTCAGTAACTGTTACATGACCAGAGTGTTGGCTCGTGTCAGTAAAGCATCCGCCTCACAACCGGGAGGTCGTGGGTTCGAACACCGGCCGCGTCATACCAAAAAGACGTTAAAAGATGGGAGTTGCTGCTACCTTGTTTGGCGTTCAACAATAAGGGATAGAGCAACGTCGATCTGGTGCTGCTCAGTGGCTGCCGGGCTCACAATCAATTGGGCAAAAAGAATTTTCATTTCGGTTTAATTAAATTTGGAGATTATTATTATTATTATTATTATTATTATTATTATGAATGTATTCATATATGTCAAGAAAATTGTGATTTCATTAAGGGAGGTGTGAGCTGGCCGAGTGGTACATTCACCTGCATGGTCAGCTCTCTGTCTTCGCCTTCAAAATGGCTCAGGCGGAACCAGGTTCAAAACTTAGTCACTACTTTCGGATGGTGACGTTAAAGGTCGGTCCCCAGACGTAAATAAGCATCTGGTTGATTACACGCTGCAAAATTAATACCCAACACACACAAACCAATCAAACAAAACAGAGATCTGTCTCACTGTGTTTCTTGATCTGAAACACAAATTGTAGAGCAATGTTTAATGTGCGCTTTATAGACCAGTTTTGGAAACGTCCCCTTCTCAAAAAATGAAATGGAAGCTCTTATTACCAAGCATGTGAAAGAATATGTTTTGACTAATACGTGATAATACAAATTTTGCCGGGAAACCGCCTACTAATCATCCGGACCGGATAGATATCGCGTAGTCCCATATACATCTTTCTGCGTACAGTGCTTGTAACTTTACCAAGACTGGGCCAAATTTCTTATCATTTTGATGATTCCAGAATCTTGCAGTACACACCAATACTTATATGCTAGATGATCAACCTTTTCTGATCGATTTCACACGTTTCTTTCACAATACAATCGCATGACCAGAACTGATCTATACCTTTAATATTTTGTTGTATTGTATGTTTTTTTTAAAATGTCTGTCTATCAAAACTACTCCTATTTTTCAGATCTTTTACTGCAGCAGGACCCACTCTCAGCTGAGTCAGTTTGTCCATGAGGTTCAGAAGAGTCCTTACCATGACGACGTTAAGGTTGTGACCTTAGGGTCAAGACAGAATCTCTGCATCAACGAAGCAGTGAAGAAGCTCCGATCCATGACCCTTATCAATGACAGGTGTCTAGAGATGCAGTCCAAGAAAAAGCCGGGTAAGATGGTCTCATATTTCACCCTCTACAATTATTTAAAATTGACCAAACAGTCTATTCATTATACAGTAGGCTTGCGGGTGCACCATGTGAGATTGTATATGTGATGTATATCTACATCACCATGCAAACCGACACTTACGAGCAGCATCTAGTCTAGTCATTCTCTGATAATTTCCATTGTTTGAAAATAAATTTTTAGTGGATAAGTAGGGAGTTAGTCATCAGTTTCTGTGTGAGAATAGTAATGAATTCTAAATTGCATTTATTTTGATCATTCTGTCTGCGCCGTCAACCTCATTCTCCAGCAGCCAAGAAAGACGATGATTCCACCACCAAACCGAAGCGAAAGCGCTCCAAGCAGTCCTTAAAGGCTTGCCCTCACTTCAGTCAAGGTCAGCTGAGTCTCTACAAGGACAGGGTCGCGGTAGAGGTCATGGACATGGAACAGCTCGGGAAGGTCGGCAAGGAATTGAAGGCTTGTCCATACTACGGCACTCGCTATGCGGTTCCCAATGCCCAGGTTTGTGATAATATCTTCTTGCCCAGAGTAATTACCAGTACCTTACATTTGTAGCTTTTCCACTCACAAAGAGCCTAGTTCGTGTTTAATCATGACAAGCATTTACTTACTCTTTTTCAGCAAAGAAAATGCTCTCCTGTTCATGGAATCTCTTCTGGGGTTTGATGTTGTAAAACTGCTATATATTTTTTAACCAAAGCTCTTTTAGTGCTTCCAGAGCTAAATTGCTTACCACTTCCATGAACTTTGATGCTGCTCTTTAGAAGGATAAGATGGACTTATAAACAATATGTAATTTCATACTGAATTTGTTAATTTTCTTGATGTTGTAGTTACATTTGTGTGTGTTGTTTTGTTTTAAGAGGAATTAGTTTAAACTTGCACAGTCTTGGTCCTGTTGTACCAATTATTATATCGTTCTTCATTTCTCTTAAATCATGTTATTACTGTATGAATTTCATGACATGCTGTAAAACTGTCATTGCTCTTGTTGATAGATATGTTAATTATTGCTGATTTCATAATACCACCCAATTATTAAACAATTATTGATAATACTACCGCACTCAAAGTTTTTCAGATCTAAACTGAAACAAAGTTGTGTATATTTACCTCACTCCCGGATTATAACACAAAGTTATTTTATTCATTATGCTCAATTTTTTAAAGTGTTTTTGCTGGATGAGGGGGGGGGGGGGATGGACAGTGTCTGTATAGAATATTCCATATTTATATTTGATTTGTTATCATTTCATATTCAGGTGCCTTCTATTTTAGGGAAGGTATCCTTTCATCTATTATTTGCCAATGTATATATTTAAGTTTATATGTGTTTTTACATTGTCGGATGATAAATTAATGAAATTTACTTTAATTTAATTTAATTTAATTTAATTTAATTGAAAATTGAATTGAACAGTTGGTTGTCCTGCCATACAACATCCTCCTGCACAAATCAACAAGGAAGGCCTGCCGTATCAATCTCAAAGGCAACATCGTCATCATAGATGAAGCCCATAATCTCATCGAGACCATCTGCAATGTTCATAGCGTTGAGGTCACAGGAGCACAGGTAAGTCAGTTTCACTATCCGTGTGATCTACCGGTAGTGAAAGCAATGGTTCTCTATTGCAGCCCTAGTGACAGTAACCTGCTTCAATTTGCAAATGATTCTCTAGAAGTATAGTTCTCCAACAGTTTCTCCAGGAAAAACAATTGATGTGTGCTTTATTTGACCTCATTTAAAGGGTTAGATTTAGGCATTTAGCCCAGGGTTATGTCAAGGGTTTTTATATTTGGTTCTTGTATAGCGCATATCATTTAATTACGTCTCTATGCGCTTCTAAAGAGCTTTCAAAATAATTTCCCCTGCTTAAGCATGGCTGTCATTAGGGCGCTCTAGCATTTCAAGGAATCAATTCCTGTCAGGTTTACACCAGGACTTAAGAATTCAGCTAGTGTAGGTTTTTTTTTTTTTTTTTTTTTTTTTTTTTACTGTAGAGCATTTTTTGCCAGGTAGGGTCGTACCACCAGAAGTATAATGGCCTTATTGAAGTCAGTTTCTCCTGAGCATTTGTAAGAGAGACGAGAATATGCATCTCCCATGTTTGCATCCAATCCTTTTTCTCTTTCTCAATTTATTTGGTGGTATAGCGGATACAAATGTATTTTGTCTGACTTTTCCTCACTTATTTCCCTTATAGCTTTGCAGAGCTCATTCACAACTGAGTCAATACATGCAGAAGTTTAAGTAAGTGGCAATTAATAGTCGTCTTATTTCATAATGCAGTTATGTGCAGGGCTTTGTGTGTATATATAGCTTTCAAAAGTGTATGTCCATTATTGTCAACAGTATGTAGTGTATAAATGAAAGTGAAGTTTGTCATTGTATTTCTCCACTTTCTCAAACAATTTTTTTATTATTCAGTACATACACATTAACCTAAACATTCTTCCAGTGGAATACCTATAATGAAATACCCTTCTTTTTCAGTCACACAGTTCTAACCTCTGAAAAAGTAGTGTTAGGTCATTGTGCGCTCCAAATATATCTCTTTGCAATATATCTATACATGTATAAATAAATTATTACTAATTAATTTACACTTCCAGGTATTAAGATGATTTGGTCACATATGTTTGATAAAGGCCCCTAAGATGCTCGTGGATTGTGCCATTGCTTTGCTGGGGACCCACATTGCGCCTTCAAATTCTCAACTACTCCCCATTTTCATATCTTCCAGGAGCCGGCACCTTGCCAAAAACTTGATGTATTGCATTGATTTTGTTACACTTTTAAGAATGACCCTAAGGCGCATGTCCATTGTCCCCTCAATTCATTGCCTACTCCCTATCTTTTTGTCTTCCAGGAGCCGGCTCCTTGCCAAGAACTTGATGTACATCAAACAGCTCCTTCAGATCCTCTCCAGCTGGGTCCGTCAGCTTGGAGGGAGAACCGACTCGGCTCCAGACTCCCAGAAGCTGAGTGGATCTGGCTCCACCTCCGTCTTCACCATCAATAATTTTCTCTTTGAGACACAAATGGATAACATCAATCTCTTCAAGGTAGGTTACATGCTACCTTGTATAAGCCTTGAAGGCTGCATGTCTAATACCAATACACAAACACTGTTACACAACAATAAGTAGACAGTTCAGTGATGTAGGACTAAGGGGTCACTTTAGAGCCAGTTTAAGGAATCCAGACCACAAGCATGACTTATCTCTTCAATTTCACAGAGTTCTGCCATTTTGGAATTAGATATTGTTTGGGGATTATTTTAAAGTCATAGTTGTCACCTCCCTCTTCACTGTCAATATTTTTTTCTTTGAGACACATATATGGATATTATATTAGATGTCAAACATCAATCTCTTCAAGATGGTTTGTATTTCATTCAGAACTCATGGCCCCAAGTATAAGATTTTATTTTCAGATCTGCAGATTTCTGGTATTTACATACTTCAATTTTTCTTTAAGTTTTGAAGGTGTTGGATGTCTTTTGTTAAAACACCAATAAACTAGACCATTTATACAATGCAGGTGCTTGTACGGCACAAAGATGATTAGCTACAAAATCAAAGAATAGCGACGGATACAAACATACTAAAGCTTTTTGTCTTGTACTCATCGGAGTAAACCTCGAAGAGTTGACCAGAAAGCCAAAATCAGACAATGTCAGGGGAAGCCAAAGGAACAAAATGCACACAAAAATAACTGGCAGTAACCATTTGTTTTTTGTTTTTGATATAAATAATTTGTATACCTAACTTTTGTATAAAATGCTTGGATTTAACAATGATTATTCGCAACTGAGCTTTCAGATTGCTAATATACCTTTGTCTTCTTTTGCGTCCTTCATTTAACAGCTGCAAAGGTATTGCCAAAAGAGTCAAATCTCCAGAAAGGTAAGCAATATTTTCTCATTTTAGCATTTATTTCAAAATGTCTATCCTGGCAAGTGATGAAATTACGGCTCAGAGAATTTGACAAATCACTGGGGCCTGCATGAAAAGAAGAAGTCTTTTATTGGACTCTAAAGAAAGATGATTTTGTCTTTAAAAAAGGGACATTTTGACAATAGTTCAAGTCTATGAGGGGGGGGGGGGGGCAGAAGGCCATAGTAACCACTAGGGCCCTGTCTTACAAAGAGTTGCGATTGATCTTATACCCCGTTCTCACTCACTTCGTTGGAGCGCTCTGGAGCGCTCTAACTAAGACCCGTTCCTCAGGAGCGGTTCTTAGGTGAGTGAGAACGGTCAAAGTAGTCCAGGAAGTGGACTTCTGGACCGCTCCAGAAGACCACCTTCCAAGGTGGTCTTGAGGAGCGGGTCTTATTAAGAGCGGTTTGGAGCGCTCTAACGTGCAATGTGAACGGAAAGCGTACTTTGAACGGAAGTGAGCTAGTGACCTTCGGTGCGAAACATGTAGTACGGTACATACAGTTTGTTTTCCGTGCGCGAAAAAATTGATCTGCTGACCTGAGCTGCCATAGCAACAAGACCACTTTGACTCGTGGAGCGGTTTGAGCCATTAAAAACTGCTCGGAGTGTGTACGCTCGCAAACCGTTCCTCAAGACCCGTTCCTCTGGAGCGGTCTAACTAAGACCACTTTCAAAGTGAGTGAGAACGGGGTCTAAAGCAATTGCAAGTCCTCTAATCAATTGCAATTTTGCAGTCTCCTATCTCATATCTTATGTACATAGTTGCGATTGATATTTATCGTAAATAAGTTGTGATTAATCGCAACTGTTTATAACACGGGGCCCTGATGGAATTTTTTTTTTGTGACATCTTTTCTGCAGTTGAATGGATTTGTTGAGAGATATCAACCACTTTCGGTCAAAGTTCATCAACCTGAGAAACCTAAGGGATCTGGTATGACCCAGTTCTTACATCAAATCAGCAAGAGAGATCAGGCTCCAAGTCAGAACCAACCCCCAACTCCAGGTATTAACAGTTATAGGTTGAGACTGGTCTATAAATTCTTTGGTTTATGTATTAAATGTGAAAATTTAATCAGACAGAATCCAACATTTACCTTGTTCCTCATGATAGAAGAATTAAAAGCAGCCAGTTCTCATTTGAAGGAGGTTTCTTTTTTTTTGCGCTCTTGTGTGCTCTACATTCTACCTCATCTTACATCACACAGATTATACATTGTATCTGGCTCAATCTAAAGAACGTACAGATAATGAATTGAAGCTTGGATGGGTTGAAGATGCAGTATTCTACAATGAATTATTATGGAAGCTTATTTAGTCTGCCTTGTCAGCTTCGACTAGTGTCCTTGTTGTGACCTTCAACTGTATTCACCCATTCCTCGAAGGAGCTTTGTTTTTTTGTGCTCGTATGCCCTGCGTTTTTCCATTCCCTAACCTAGCAATGATAGTTTGCTTAAACGCTCGCATACATGCATTCCTATTCCCACCCAGCTTTTATTATTACTATTATTATTATTATTATTATTGATTCACCAGAACAAAATATATACAAAAGAATTACCGGTACATAGAAGAACAAATCATACGATACAAAGGATGAAAATCAAGCGTGCTCATTCAACTGCAAGTCTAAACATTTAAACCCCTTCTTGAAATTCATATTTTAATCATTTCCGTTCTTTCTTCGATGCTTTTTCTTTTCAGATAAGTCAGGTGATGACGAGACTCATGTTTTTTCCTCTCCCTTGATGCACATCGAGGGTTTCCTCCTAGCTCTCACCAACGCAAACAAGGATGGACGAGTAGTCGTTAACAAGAAAGGTACGATTCATTTATTGACGGTTGTTAATCCTTTTAACTCTTCATGTGCTAAGCGAATGATCTCTCTGTGCCACATTGTATTTATCATGGGATAGATACATGTATACAGGCTTCAAGATTATTTAAAGCCCCACTGCACTACTTATAGCTACTTGCGCCCTCTATATACATTGGAATTGGGACAGGAGGCTTTATGCCACAGTAATTTAGTTAACTTTTTCTGTCCCTGGCGTTCCAATGGTTGATAATTATGTCTTATTTTGTATTGTGTACACTGATATGTAATGTTTTCCTTTGCCGAATAAATAATAATAATAATAATATATAGCAAACAATGCCTAATCGGTGATCATTGGTCCCCCATGATCCTCATTTTCCTATGTTAATGGAGAGCTGATTTGATGAGATAACAACCTGTCAGTGAACTTGCAGGGTGGTCTAATCCCTCCTGTAATCTAGTGCAGATAGGCCTTAACTGTTTCCAGTGCAAGATTAACCTACCTATATCATTGTTTAAAGGGTTGTCATGGAACTAATCAAGACAAGAAATTGGTAATTGTGCAAATCCACTGTGTTGCACAAAGCAATCTCATTATCATTTGGTGCCTATTTTTTGTGTGCAAAATTTCACGTGTGGCAAATGAGCAACCATGCAGATAGGCGAAGAAAGCAACCAAAGTATTACAATGTAGGTGGGCATTATTACCTTGGCAACCACTAATTATGAGCCATGACTATCTCTCTCTCTGTCTCTAGAACTAGTGAGCCAGTGTAGCCTCAGGTTCCAGCTTCTCAACCCTGCTGTTCACTTCACTGATGTAGTAAAGGAGGCTAGGGCCATCATTGTTGCCGGGGGAACCATGCAACCGGTAGAAGATTTCAAGCACCAGCTCTTTGTCTGTACCGGGGTTCAACCGGAAAGGATATTGGAATTCTCATGTGGTAGGTGTCTCTGTTCTGCTTCTGTTACCTAACATGCTTTAAAGCGAGACTGCACTACTTGTAGCTATTTGCGCCCTCTATATAGCAAACAATGCCTAAGCGGTACCCTTTGGTCCCTCATGATCCTCTTATGTTAAGTGAGAGCTGATTTGATGAGATAACCACCTGTCATTGACCTTATAGGGAGGTCTAATCCATCCTGGCTAAATTAGTGCAGATGGGCATTAAATTTATATCAGTTGAGTGTATTCCTACTTATCCTATACATAATCTCTACAGTAAAGCCTGTCCATGAAGAACACCCAATGAAAACAGTATGACAAATGTCATTCATAGAGTTGTTCTATAATATGTTTTCCTTTTGGAAACAGTTTCTTTTTGCCTTGTAGATAGATGGCCTTAGCTAAATCTACATCTGTATCTCATTATCTGGTATTGCTCTCAAGAGATCAAGTCCAACTTCTTGGTCTTTAGGGTATTATATGTTTCAAATTATTAATGTTACTCTGAACATAAATTGACATTATTTTACTTGATAATGGATAGATTTAAGAAACCAGGGCCCTGTCTTACAAAGAGTTGCGATTATCAATCGCAAGTCCTCCAATCAGTAGCAAGTTTGCAGTCTCCTATCTCTTATGTACATAATTGCGATTGTGCGATTGATATCAATCGCAATAAAGTTGCGATTGATATCAACAGGGCCCTGATGATTAAAGACATTTGAGTAGCTCAAGAGAATAATAGATAATAAACTGTAACCAAGAAACACTTCACTTTTCTAATTGTACATGTACTCTGATGTTTCTTACCCACCAAAAGTAATCTGATGTATATATATGAAACAGGGACATGCTATCCATTACATCTAGATTCAAACTTCTAATTTTGTCATTGTATCATTACAATATTTAGCTCCACAATATTTATAAACCTGTTTGAATTTTAATATATACACCTGCCAGGGCATTGAGGTCAGCCAGTGATCCTCTCCATCTAACATATTCAGTTACCCGCACATTAGCAGGTAATAGAACATTTACTGTATCTGCTTCAATATACTGGCATGATCTACCACTTAGAATTAGGCAGTCTCCATCAGTTATTACCTTCAGAAAGGCCTTAAAAACATATCTTTTTTTGCAGTTTGTAGTTATTTTCTTGTTATATGTATATATGTAATTTTGATTTCATTCACCGTAAGCGCTTTGGGCCTTATGGGAAAAGCTCAGAATAAGTAATAATAATAATAATAATAATTGTATTCATTCTTTCCAGGTCATGTGATTCCTCCTGAGCACCTGCTACCAATCTCCCTATCCAAGGGACCGACGGGATTAGAGCTAGACTTCACATATCAGCACAGAGATCTGCCTCAAATGGTAAGATCTAGTCCTTTCTTACAAGAAGCCATGAGAGTCTACTCACGGCAAACCCTAGACAGAAACATTTTCCTGTTGCCAATCGCTTCTGATTAACCCCCTTCGTGCTCAGGGTAACAGGTCGCACCCAAGAATTGAAATATCGGACAATAGCAATAACAATAATACTTAGCTTTTATATAGCGCTAATTACAATTAAGTCTCTAAGCGCTTTCAAACTTGGAGATTATTACCCCAACTTTAGCTGTGCTGCCATTACGGGGCTCTAGCATTTCAAGGAATTAATTCCTGCCAGGTACCCATTTACATCGCCTGGGTTGAGTGTGGTAAATTTAGATCAATGTCTTGCCAAAGGACATTAGTGCCGCGGCGGGATTGAACCGTGGACCTTGTGATCGACAGTCTGGTGACGTAACCACTCGACCATGACACCTCTACATAAATGTCTACATTTGTCTTCCAGAAACAGTATTTGTTACCTATATCATGATGGTTGTTTCCATACAAAGTATTTTATACCCAATTTATCAATGAAACAGGGCATTTTTACTCAGTTTAGTGTTGAGGTTCATTTTTGACACAGATATTTTCCAGCTAAAAAACACAATTTTTTATTTTCAAGGAATCCGGTAGTGTCAAGGCCTCTTTATGCCAACAAATGCACATAACTTTTGAACATGTCCTTCTCAGGAGGTGATGTGGTATAGTGGTTCAATCATTTGACTCCCAATTCAAGGGTTGATGGTTCAAATCCCAGTCTAGCACTTACATGTACAGTGTATATCCTTTGGCATGACATTAATCCATTTTTGCCACTTTCCACCCAGGTGCAATTGGTTACCTGTCAATTCTTGAAGTAATAACAATTGCAGGAGAGCAGCCTTAAACCATAGGATGTGGAAACTAGGTGGTCCCTGTGTTAAGTCTATGAGAACGAGAAAATTCATAAGTCAAGAGGTTAAATACTGATGTGGGTACCCTAGATAAATATCAAATCATAATTATTAATTATAAGACAGGTTATAGAATGTAAGCAATCCGATTGGTCAATTGACATCACGTGGGCCTGTATTAGCTCTTCCCATCATGCAAAACATCTCCCATCAAAAATTGATAACACACGCTCGATACCTGCCAATATCGCTTTCGCATAACTCAGCCAAATTTAATTTGGGCATAATTTTCCATATCTAGATCTAGATTTAGAAATTTAGAATCTAGTTCCAGTGCATTCAGTTTAGTCAGTGCATTATCACCTAATATGTGCACTGACTAAACTTCGTGCACTGGCCTTGCGCTAACACACTCGCAACGGTGCATTATTTGTATACTTATAATTATTATTCTCATCAGGTTTTACAACTCTTTGATTCTCATTATCTTCCTTTCATCTTTCTCACCCCCCCCCTCCCACCAGATGGATGAAGTAGGGCGTATCCTGGTCAACATCTCCAACATTGTACCCGGGGGCGTGGTCTGCTTCTTCCCCTCCTATGACTATGAGAAGCAGATCTACCAGTACTGGGAATCTCACGGTGTCCTCACTAGACTAGGCCATCGTAAGAAGATCTACAGAGAACCAAGGAAGGCCAATCAGGTAGACCAGGTCCTGGGCCAGTACTCTGCAACCATTGAGGTATGATCGTTACTTCCTCCAGCAGAAGTGTCTGCTATCACTTGGCATTTGCCCAAACTTTATTTTGTACCTTAGAAATTTAGTGTTTAATAAACACTAGCACCAGCCCTAAACACCCAAATGGAAATCAGCTTGGGTTAAGGCTTTGACCTCTGAATAATGTCAACTTCGGGTAGGCAGTGTTCGTCTGCTGAACCGACCTTTGTGGGTGGTGTTAATATTGTACATACAAATGTCCTTTTCACTAACACTAGCTCCTAGGGATTAAGCAAATGTTGATTTTCAGTTTGGTGTTGTACCCGCACAACAGTCAAGGCACAAACGACACTAATTTATTGTCTGACTATCAAATACCAATATGTGATACAGGTCCTTTACTATGCGATTCATACATTCTTTTGTGTAATATGAGTTATTTTATAAGACCAGAGAAATAAGTGTAAATTTATTCTGTAATTTTCATGATATCTTTAGTTTTGATGTACTAATTTTAAATCATTGTCGTGAAATCAAGTTTGTGTGGCAATGTCACAGTGGTGTTACACTATCGATATTGATATCAGTATCAGGCTCTTAATTTCATCAGCAAAATTTGTTAGCTCGATTTATGAGCTCTTGACTACTCTAAACACTAACACTAACAATAACACCCAACTTGAAATCACTCATTGTGTTGCACAATACAAAATAACAAAATTGCGATACCAATACCGGAATACATCAAACCGAGGCAGCGAACTACAAGGAGGAGTCAACAACAACGATATATGAGACTAGGCTCTTCATTGGACACTTGCAAATTTAGTTATTTCTCCAGGACACTTAAGGACTGGGACGAGCTACCTCAAATCATCTTTGAACTGCCTTCTTTAGAGCAGTTCAAGGTGGCTCTTGAAACAATTTAGTTCCCTCTTCAGGAACTGTACCACATAGAGCTGTATATAACAACTCTATGCTTTACCCTCATTTAGATGCTGAACAGGCGTTGATGAGTATCACCATAGAAGTAGAAGTAGAATACCACCTTTCCCCAATTGGTGCATGTATTGTTTTGTGCAAAAATGCATGTGGGGCAAACGAGTGACCGTGCAACAAGGCGATGAAAGCAACCGATGTGTTAAATGGCTGTTCCAATCTTTTTTTAATTCTATTACAGAAAGCATGCAGTGGCTGTACGCTTTCAGGCCTGAATGGTGCAATGCTGTTCTGTGTGGTCGGAGGAAAAATGAGCGAAGGCATCAATTTCTCTGATAATCTAGGAAGGTAAGATGAGAGAGAGTTCAACTTGATTCTGATGGTCAGTCTTATATGTCAATGGGAACTTTGTAATTCAACTACAACCAGGATTTTGAAGCAAAAGATTTATGATTCTTATCTTGAATTTATTCATGATTGCACCTCCAAATACTCATACAATAGTGACTTTTTTTTTACCCAGCAACAACCCACAAATTGAATATTTATCTCTCTCTCTCTCTCTCTCTCTCTCTCTCTCTCTCTTTCTCTCTCTCTCTGCCCCTCTTTCTTTCTGTCTCTCCAAGAATGCATGACTATTTGGATCCACAATCTGAACAGTGACTTCAACATCTACAAATTTTCATAAATAACCGTGAATTTAAATCTTTCCAGTAAAAGGTGTTTTACATGAAATATTGTCAAAACAACATAATTTCACTAAGGTAGAAAATTAATTCAATCACATTTTTTTGTGTTCATGACTTTAAATTCCCTCTTCTTTTATCATTCACAGGTGTATTGTGATGGTTGGTCTTCCCTACGCAAACATCAAGTCACCAGAATTGAAGGAGAAAATGGACTACCTCAATGCAAACATGGTAAGAAATGAAGTGAAATTCTGATAAATTGATGATGGTAGACAACCTGTACATTGCTGTATGAATATCTAATGAATTATATAAATAAAAGAAATGAAGTGTATATATTGTATAGCTGTACATCATCAGCACATGGTGATTCCATGACAACTGACCCACAGGTTACCACTAGTCTAGCCCCTCCCCCCCCCCCCCCTTGACTAGCAGTAATTATGCCCACCCAAAAGTAAGCCAATTGTTCCATTCCCTCCCCCCCCCAAAAAAAAAAAAAACAACAACAACAACAACAAACAACAAAAACAACAAACAAACAAATAAACTAAACTAAACAATAATAAAACTAATAATACAAAATTATAATAATAATAAATGAAATAAATATAACCCAATAAAAAAATGTTCAGAATGACATAGTGATCAAGTCTGTGACCTGCTAGACATCAGGATCTTATTAAGTGCTATAGAAATCCAGAATACTATTATATTCTCAAACTATATTTTTACCTGTGACAAAAGGAAGTGTGAATTGTAAATGTATGTTTTTTTTCTTCTTCCTGTTGCTTTATAGCCTCAGATCAATGGGCGCAGTGCTGGTCAAGTCCACTATGATAACCTGTGCATGAAGGCAGTCAATCAGTCCATAGGTGAGATATCTATAGGCTTGTTTACAGTGTAGAAAATGAAGTGGCAACTTGATTTTTAGTAGGATTGTTTTTGTGTTTTTTCTATTGCAATTTTACAAATAATCTCCCATGCTAAACATTTTGACATGACATGACTTGGATGATGAGTACCATAGTTCCTGTGAAGATCAGTCTAGGCTCGTGAAAGTGAGTTTGAGAAAACAGAATAATAAGAAAGTTTTACAAATGGTGGATATGTTAAGATGGTTGGATGAGGTATATTGAGCTTATCCTTCAGCCTAAAAGTTTCCAGAAGGGAAATATTTAGAGAATAGATGACATCATCTGAGGTTTAAATGATTTTACAAAAGATTGGAATTAGCAGAAAAATAACCAAGCTGAAAATGTTATGATAGGGCAAATTGTAAGAACGGCAGGGGTAGGTTTTTAATTTTTGAATCGACTTACCTTCTCTGCAAACATGTAGCCAGTTGATGATAATGAGAAAGTGGTCAAGATTTGACTGTAAGAGCTGTGAGAGGTAACTATTGTCCTGGTCATAGCCAGAAGGGTTCCAAGTCCTGATTTTACATAAGAGTTGATGCCCCTCTTGGTCTCGTAGATGTAAGAAGCAGATTTCCTTGGTCCTCTCCAAACAGTCAGATATGAAAATATGATTATAATTATTGTAGCCATTATACTAATCATGATTATCGTCATGACCTATCTTACCCCAGGCCGAGCTATACGTCACAAGGGAGACTATGCTAGCATGCTGCTGTTAGATCATCGCTACACTAGACCTTCTATCAGGTCCAAACTACCAGCATGGATCTCTGAGAGGCTACAGGTCGCTTCTCGCTTCGGTCCTGCCTTCGCCTCTATCAATAAGGTAAGGAGTAGCATTTCTTTTTCATTTTGTTCTTAAAGATAAAGGTAAGTTCTGGTAAAAAAAAGAAAATTAATTCTCACAGAATCAAACAAAAATTACACTGAATGTCCAAGATTACAAATAAATGTCATTTGCCAAACAATTTTGGTAGAAAATGTATACTTGCTGAGTAATGAGCATATAGAAAGATTTGGAAATCAAGGTTAGCAGCCCGGACACCATTTGTGGGGTCCCATATACATCTTTCTGTGTACAGTGCTTTTTATTTTACCAAGACTGGGCCAAATTTATTATGATTTTGATGACTCTGGAAATTTGCAGTGCACACCAATACTTACATGCTACATGATCAACTGTTTCTGATCCATTCCACACCTTTTCTTTCACAATTAATGCAATCGCATTACCAGAACTCACCTTTATCTTTAAGGCTCGTTCAGATATGACGCATTAAACTGCTTTACCTTTACCTTGATTTACCTTGATGTTGGGCTTCAAGTATAATTACTTATATGCCCCTCTGCAGCAGGATTAATATCTGTATGTACTGGGGATTGCGCCTACGTCGGAGCTTCGGACAATGCAATAGCAAGGAAACATTTCTTTAGGGTTGTACATGTCATATTTAGCTCTCCATGCTTTTTCCAGGTTGGATTTGAATGAGTTCACAGATGGGCTATCAATTACATAAGCTGGAAGCGCATTCCATAAATTGACGACTCGTTGTGAAAATGATCCCATTCGGATAGAAGTGAAGGCTCTAACTTTCGATACTTTGAAGTTGTGGCCACGTGTTCTGTCATTCAAGGGTCTTAGAAAGAATTGGTTGGGGTCACTGCGGTCAATCCCATGGAAAAGTCTATATGTTTGTATCATATCCGCTCTGTGACGACGGTATGCAAGGGTGGGCAGTTTCAAATGTCTAAGCCGGTCAGAATATTCCAGGTCACGAATCGATAAAAGAATTTTGGACATCCTGCGTTGCACTCTCTCCAGCTTTAGATGGTCTCTCTTGAGAACAGGGTGCCACACACTGGAGCAGTATTCTAAGGATGGCCTTATTAAAGACGTGTAGAGGTGTACAAGGCCCGATTCATCCAAGAATGAAAAGGTGCGGCGAATCAGGCCAAGCTTCCTGTTTGCGGAGGATGCAACTCTGTCTACATGCGCTGAAAACTTCAAGTTGTTGTCGAAGGATACTCCCAGATCAGCCTCTAGAACCACAGATGTCAAAATTGATGATTTGAGGTTATAGTTTACATTAGGGTTAGACTTCCCAAGATGCATCACCTTTGTCTTTGACTCATTTACGGGGAGTTGCCACTTGTCCGTCCAGTTTGCAAGGAGATCTAGATCATGCTATAATGCAGCACTATCTTCTAGTGAGTTCACAGGAGAGTACAGCTTAGTGTCGTCTGCAAAGAAAAACGCCCCATTTTGTATGTGAAAAGGAATGGCAGCTACTGTGCTATTGTGCTATACAAATAAGATACAGAAATGTGTATCACACTTTACATCTTCATTGAAAAACATCAAAACATGTTTTGCCGTGTCGTATCTGAAGGAGGCTGTAGACAAACACCAGTTAATGAAGACAGGTCTTCAGGTGCAATGTTAAGAACTTGTAGGGAAATTGCATATAATTGAAATCAGCCTAGAAATTTTTCTTAACTACTAAGCATAGAAGACCTCGTAAAATGTGATACTTGGGACTGTGATAATACATGAAATATGTATTGGTGCATCATTGATGTGCATACGAATTTGGAGTGAAGTAATCCAATGAACTACCTAGTTTTGTTGGAAATTAGATTATTTCAAGGGAACTCTTTAGATGACTTAAATTACATGTAGCCCCAATAATCACTTCTTTGAATATTGTCTGGAGCCAGAAAGGCTCATATACATTAACACAGAGTTAGCCACCTTCTGGCTCTGAACAAACAAAATGTCACCTTAACTTTCACATTTTATGTATCCTTAGGTTATCGTATTTATGGCTAATCCATATTTGAAGTAGTGCTCTAGAATCCAAAAAAAAAAGCCAATGAGCTAAAGGTTTTGAGATAGTTTTTGTCTCAACTGGTCCATGAACCATCTCACCAGGCTTGCATGAAAATAACACTCTTTAATTTGTTTTGCATTTAACTCTATGCAAATTTTTTGGGGCTCTTTTATGACTTTCTGGGGCTCTTTTTGGCATTTTGGGGGCTAATTTGCCCAGAGCCCCCGAGAATTTTTTTCACTGCATCTCACTTTCCACCTCTTCTCAGTTTTGCAGATCTTCCATCTCTTTCTTTCAAGCCCCTTTTCTTTGTTTCTCACTAATGTCTTCTTTTTCTTTTCCATGTTTCTTTCAGTTCTTTGTGGACAAGAGACCAGACAAGCTGGAGTAGTGCAATCACAGTGCTGGTGTTTAAAGGGAGTAGGGCATGACGAGACTACGTGTCTTTCCGTGGCCTGACTACGGACGACGCAACCACAGCAATCACGTGCATGCAACATACGCGAAAGTAAAGCGTGAGGATAACATCGGTCTGTTTTGCGAGCTGTAGTGCTTGCTAACCATGTAGAGATTAAGTCTCTGACTACCGTTAATCAAGTCCATTCGTTTACGTGCAGTTGTCCAAAAGAAGATGGAGATGACTTTTACCAGTCTTTACCAAGCCACACTCCCTTTAAGATGAGGACTTATCCCCAAAGATGTAAAACTTGTGTTCACAAAATTATTTTCTGAATATTTTTTTGTTTAATCCTGTTTGTTTCACTCAGAATAATGAGATTTGAGACATGATTGTACGTTCAGAGTATCATGTTATTATGCACCAATATATTTATGTGTCTGGACCCCGCCCAGGTATCCATACTTGTGATCGGGATATCTTTAAATCGCAGTAGTCCCATAACATTTCCCTTCCTTATAAAAAGAAAAAGAATAGTGTTTCCTTCAATCTTTATTAATATTATTTGCTTTAAGCAAACAAAATAATAATTTGTTTGAGGCTTTTCTATTTTGTTTTTTCTTTTGTCTCCTTTTTCTTTTTTTACAAATTTTTCAAATTTCTATATCCCAATCACATTTCATTCTGTAATACCATACATTAAATAAAAATGATGAGCATTTGAGATAAAATAAAATATGAACATAAGAGTTCTTCGTTCCATTTGTAAAGTCATGGAATGGTCAACAGTAATGAGGAAGTCCTCGATCTGGAATGTGGAGAGGTCCTGCGACACAATACTTCAAGGCCGGCTCGTGCGCCATCATGAGCTCTTTCTGTTGCTTTGGCTGGAAAGCATTGCAGGTGCTGCATTGGGTCACCTTTTCCTTCACTTCCTACTGCATGCCAGGCCAGAACAGGACATCTCAAGCTCGTCGAACACAGGTATCAACTCCTAGATGACTGCTGTGCACCCTGTTCAGCATCAGGGCTCTCATGGCGGTTGGTACGATAACTTTCATGCCCATGTACAGAACACCGTTCTGTACAGTTATCTCATCCCAGAACTGGTAATATCCTCTCACCACCACAGACACTTCATCTCTCCGTTCAGGCCATCCATTCATTACAATGGATGTCAGAGTTTGAAGGGCGGGTTCTCTTAATGTCTCTTTCTGCAGCTGTAGTGATGTGGCATCACGTATCCTGACATCATTTGTCTGGTTGATCCATTCAATCTCACCATAGATCCTGTCGCAGCTCTCTGTGTCAGGCAGGAAAGCTCTACTCAACCAGTCTGCAATCAACATATCCCTGCCTGGACAGAATGTTAGCTCAATGTCATACTTCTGCATTCTCAAGAGCATTCTCTGGAGGCATTTCGGGGCACTGTTCAAAGCCGTGCTGAGTATCGGCACCAAGGGCTTGTGATCTGTCATGATTGTCACCTTCCTTCCTTGATGTGCAGGAGACTGACTGTCCATTCTGGAGCAATGTAGCTCCAAGCCCCTTCTCTGATGCATCGCACTGGATTGTCACCACATCCTTCAGATTGTAGTATTTCAAGATTGGAGTTTCTGTCATAAGGCTTCGTAGCTTGTTGAGGGGTTTCCTCAATTTGAGCATAGTTTTGTTCTGTTTTTGTCAGAACCCTTGATGTGTAGGAGACTGGCTGTCCATTCTGGAGCAATGACGCTCCCAGCCCCTTCTCTGATGCATCACACTGGATCGTCCCCTAATCCTTCAGATTGTAGTATTACAAGACTGGAACTTCTGTCATAAGTCTTTGCACCTGGTTAAGGGTTTCCTCATGGTCCTCCCTCCACTCAAAGTGGACACCTCTGTTAGTAAGCCTTCTCAAAGGTTCAGCTACGTCTGGTAATCTAGGCATGAATCTGGACAGGTATGTGACACTTCCAAGAAGGCATTGAACTCCCTTCTTGTCAGTAGAGCCCGGCATCTCCATTACAGTCTTCACCTTCTTAGGATCTGGTTTGAGACTATCACTCATCAGTAGATGTCCCATGTATGGCACTTCACTGAGGCATAGTCTGAGGTTCTTGTTGTTGTTTAAAGTCAGTCCGACCGCTCTTGCCCGTGCCAAGAACTTCCGGAGATTCCTATTGTGGTCCGCCAGGGCTTCTTCATTTGTAGCACCACTGCCATATACTAAGAAGACATCTGCCACAACATCAATTCACATTTATTTCATTTACAGAAAGTGTGAAAAAAATGTATTTACATATTCATTTTTTCTTGGTAACTATACAAATACACTTTACACATAATAAAATTATTACAAGAAATTCTTAACTTCTGAGGAAATGGGGGATCCATTAAAAAGCAGTGCTTGCAGTTTGTGGATTCCCCTCAACACCACACCACACAAGCCTTCTATGATTTCATGTAACTCCTCGGGTGCTGTACATATGCCAAAAGGCATCCGAGTCCATCTGTAAAGACCAAATGAAGTTGCGAATGTCGTTGCTCCTTTCTGTCAGCTTTACCTGCCAGAATCCGCCCTTCGCATCTAACACAGAGAACACCTTGGCTTCTGCAAGCTTTGGCAGTATATCATCCATCGTTGGCATGAGATAATGAGGTCTCTTTAAGGCTCTGTTAAGATCTCGCGGGTCAAGACAGATTCTGAGCTTGCCTCGTTTCCTGACCCAGTCTGTAGGTACTGACACCTTCAAAATGCCTCTCTACTCTAATTCATTAAGCTTCAGCTTCAGTTTTCCTTTCAGAGGCACCACCACCTCCCCGGCTAGACCATAAAAAACATCTGCATAGTCATCGATGATAGCGTTGTCTTCCACTATGGTGACTTCATTGGAACTATCGACCGTGATCAGTCACATATAAATAGATGTCTTGCTAGACAAGAGGGGCATGTGCTCACATCAATGATCTTTAATAAACGTAACATACATACATGCATACATACATACATATTAAAATTTATATAATGCCTTTACATAAACATGCTCAAAGCGCTTTACATAAGTAAATAAAACCGAATAATTATCAATATACTGTACTCCCAAATTCGATGCACATATTCAGCATTGCAAAATTAATTTCCTCCTTCCAGGTAGCACTTCAAACATCAGCGCAAGCCTCTTTTACAAATTTCCCCCCGTAGATCAGACTCCTGACACCATGTTTCACTCAGAATAACGAGATTTGAGACATGATGGTATGTTCAGAATAACATGTTATTTTGCATGAATTATAAATATGTGTCTGGACCCCTATCAAGTATCGATACTTGTGATCGGGATATCTGTAAATCACAATTGTCCCATAACACTGTTGATGACATGTTATCCTTGTTTTCCACTGTTATGAATGGAAGATTTAAGAATCTTCGCGAAAAATATAATCTTGATCTATTTTTTTCAGTCATTTGAACTTTATATGTTGCACATTTCATTCCAAATCTACAATCGAAGACAACTGCACAAAGAATGATTTCATGAGATTACCTTGTTTGAAATATCTATTTGTTTCATTTTACTTAGCGAAAAGGAGATTCTAATTCATTTTAGTTTTAATTCTTTTGAAGTTATTATGGGCTACTCTTCTGTTGATGCTTTGTTTTTCTTGATTTTTCTTTCAGCTCATTCAATAGGGAGTAATAAAAATATATATATTTTTATTTATTTTTTTTTTTTTGGGGGGGGAGGGGTTAATGACTAATAATTGTTTTTTTTTCTTTCATAGCGTGTGAAATGAGGATGTGTTCACAAATTTAGGTATTCATATTTCTCAACCACTGTTTTCACCTCAAAGTTTTCTGAATTTTGTATACACACTACATCATGCATTTCATGGTGTATCTAGCTCCAAGAGTTTACTGATTACTCATCATTCCTCTTTTTATCAGATAAGAAAGGGCAAATTAATTAAAGTCTGCTTGGCAGTTGACACTAACTCAAAGTGTAGATAATTATTGATATGATGGAATGGTACTGATGAAAAATATCTAGCATATCATATATTACTTTATTCTATACATGTTTGCATATCTTCAAATTTACATTTTTTCTCTGAAAATTTTGTTATAGTCTGAATAATTTTCTTGCCATTATTGAGACAGATACTGAGTGTATATTTATGTTTGGTTAGCGTAATGTACATGTACATACATGGAATATTATTAATTACATTTGTTGTTGTTGATAATCTTATCTACAGGTATATACTTTGTTACAGTTACTCTAACGAGTCTAATCCATTATATTTGTCCTTTCGTTTGATTATTTCCTTTTCAGTTTTTCTCTATAGACACTTGTACACCAATTACATTACATTTAAAAGTAAGCACATGTACATCTACTGCAAGTAGGAAAAGGAACTAGACTTTTGAAAAGCTTTTACAAATTGTAAATTATAACAACTCTAAACCATCCCAGCATGATGGTAAAAAATGCAAGTATGATTGTAACTAACACCGCCGGGTAATGGGGGTGGGGAGGGGGGATGATCGGCCAGTGCCCCCTTTAAAAAATATACAACAAATGACATTTAAACTGAAGATTAGTACCTTTTAGAAACAACATTTGTATGAATGAGTGAATGATTAGGTCGGTAATATGCGAAATAATTGAAATAAGTGAAAATTCAGTTGAACTTGAATGTTAAAAACAGCAGGGATAAAGCCTTCTAATTGTTGGCTAACTGTAAAATGATGTTTCATGTTTTTTTCTATTTGCTAATAGCATGTTATTGTATTTATTTCTACAGCTGTATGATTGTGTAAATCTTTAAGTAATGTACAGTAGGTAAGTATGGATATCAAATATTGTTTATGTACAATGGTACTTATATTTTGTGAAATTCCATACATGTTATTGGTTTAATATGAACCACGAAGGATCACATCAAAGATTAAAAAGAACACTTTAATATAAAACATATGGCCTGCCAATCAATTTCTCAATGTGAGTTGAGGATAAAGAGAGAGAGAGAGAGAGAGAGAGAGACACGGCAGACGGCAGACAGAGAGGGGAAGATATTGAGGAGGGAGAGAAAGAGAGAGAGAGAGAGAGAGAGAGAGACACGGCAGACGGCAGAGAGAGAGGGGAAGATATTGAGGAGGAGAGAAAGAGAGAGAGAGAGAGAGAGACACGGCAGACGGCAGAGAGAGAGGGGAAGATATTGAGGAGGGAGAGAAGAGAGAGAGAGAGAGAGAGAGAGAGAGAGACAATCAGAGAGTGGGAGATATTGAGGAGGGAGAGAGATTGAGAAGAGAGAGAGATTAGCTAGAGATAGACAGGGGGAAATATTGAAGAGAGAAGGGAGAGGGGAGAAATATTGAGGAGGGAGAGATGGAGAGCTACAGACCGAGAAGGGAAAGAGATATTGGGGAGATAGAGACAGAGAGAGAAGACAATGTACTGAGGAGAGAGAGGGGAAGATATTGAGAAAGAGAAGAGAGAGAGAAATGGGCCGGGGGTGGGAGGGCACAGGCTGTAGGTATAGTAGTGAGAGAGGGGAGAGATACACTGTATTGGAAAAGAGAGAGACAGGGCGAGAGAAGGGGACCATCTTTATAGCTCCATAGGCAAGGAAAGACCCCCCCCCCCCCCCTCCCCCACTATTAAAAAAACAACATGTAATGCCTAACTCTTGTATGCAAATCTGTACAAATTTGGTGTTTATCTTGGGCTAAAGTTCAAGTACAGGGAATCATAAGATAGTGTTTAAACAAGCAACACACTATAAACACACTATCAGTATAGATTATGTGAATTGTCTTTGAATTAGAACCCGGCTAATGGGGACATTATACACTGCAAATAATATGTTAACAAACTATATAGAACACTTCACACAGGCTCATCAGAATTGCATTATATTTTATTAATCATGAAGGCATTCTTAATTAGCATCTCACATAAACCTTATTTCTCTTGTCATGCATAGCATGAAGAAAACAATACAAGGTTTGTAAAAAATACAAAATAGATAACTTTTATGTCATTTTAACATTTACTTCTAAACACAAAACTAATTACATGTACATTCAAAGATCACATATATACTTCACCGGTCTGTAAACAAATTTATGCAAGAATGCAAATGGAAATACTTGTTTAGTGCTAGACTAATTACTGGTGTAAATGTACAGGTATTGGCAATCACATCTACAAAATGATACCTCACACTGTTTACCCATGGTGCTCTAATGGCTGTGCATAAAGAACAAAATAGACACATGTGCAAGGGCTATTCCTGTATTAACTTTCAGTACACATTTAATTTCAGAAGCAAGCAACCGTAAGCAAAAGGAATAAATAATGATAATAATAATACCCTGGTCATTATTTAAATCATGTAGATGAAGAACTGAACTAACAAGAGACATTTACCATTAGATTTACAAAATTAGTGGACTGGAATACATGTATAGGAATAATTTTGGACATAATCATTCTTTATGAGCCTAAAGAAAGTGCAAAAGCATTTGCAAACAATTTGAAAATGTTAATACTGGTAAGCAGTTAGCATATTCTATTATAAAGCAATATTCTCAGAATATTTGAAGGTCTCGTTACAGACAGCATATGAAATCAAATGCTGAAGACTCTTCAGTACTACTTCAGAAGAAATTTGTTACTCTACGGTCAACTTAACTCATTGCCTACCGGAGATGGGTTGATCCTATATTGAGTCTATTGGACTGAGAGAAATCAGCATTCATTGGGTTAATTATCGGTAAAGAAACATAGTCATGTAAGGGTTTGTATACCTGTAATGCCGACTGCTGAGCTTTCAGATTGAAGTAAGTAAACTTTGATGACAGCTCTTATTTCTAGCACAACTATCTAGGAAATAGATTTGGTCAGCTGGAGTTCAAAATTAAAGACATGTGATCCAAAATGAACACTGCATAAAGTGCATAATACATGGAATTATAGTCAGTCTTGAAACATATAGGAAGAATGTTACAGCTTTCTATCCATGATGAAATTTACTCATTATTTTGATGTAGCAAATTAGGAATATTATTTCAGACTTCTTTTCAAAACAAATTTTGAATAAGGTAAATTCCAAGAACTGATTTTCCTATTTGTATAAAACAGACAAGAAATCCTTGACATGATCCCCAATCTGGATGGGCGAATCTTCTTGTAGAAAATGTAACCCTTCAGATTCGACAGTCTTCTGATTCGGCCAGTTTGCGATGCCTTTCTTGATCCCCTCACTAAAGAACCCTGGCTTTGCATGGATGTAAAGCTTTGGCAGATCAGCGGACTCCTTGAGCCAGGCATTGTAGGATGAAGCGATTGCGATTACATCGTCTGGGCCATCACCCTTGATGGGGATCTCACGGGGCCAGGTAAGGGTGGGGCGACGGTCCTCCCCGGGGTTTTTGAAGGGCTCACGGTAAGCTTCCATCTCTTCTGGACGTAACTCACGCATGATGGCCCTCGGGAGGAGAAGCTCTATGAAGTAGTTCTTCTGCAGCACTAAGTCATCGCCAGCCTCGGAGCGAAGAACCTGGAAGAAGTCTTTGGCCATGTCTGGGAATCGATCCCAGCCTGGGACAGGAGCCACAACACTCTCCATGTGGATCAGCCCTACAGAGCAGGAAGAAGAACCAAACTAAACAATTAAAAGGTTTAAAAAGGACCATTTCATTAGGTCTTGGAGTGCTTTGAATATAGTAAATGGTACATGTAGGCTTACATAACAATCTGAACCTACTCAATTTATCTCATTACCTATCTTAACTTTCTTTAGATTTAAGGAAGTTGTTTGTTGTTGTATTTCTCTAATATTTGTATTACATCTTACACCATTGCATCATTTTGTCTTGTATAAAAGCTGTGATGAACAAAAGGGATGAGAGTTTGTGCTAGACTGCATGCATAAATTAGAACCTAAACCTAAAGGCAATGCTTGACACCATCTTCTCCTTCCTCACATTATCAAAAACACAGTTTTTACAATTGTTTCATTTCAGCAGTGCCCATTTTCTTTTTGTTTTGGATCCATGGTTGATTTTAAAACTCACCTTCAATTCGATCTCTATGCTCATTGCACCAGTGGAAGCCCAGACCTGAACCCCAGTCATGACACACTATGCTCACCTGGAAAAGAATTTAATTTATCCTAATTTAATTTATCCAATCTAGCAAGATTTCCATACAACAGTAAGAGAAAGCGTTATAGGCCTTTAAAGTGTCATGAAAGTGTTATCTAACTAAAAATGTGCCTAAAAATTCCAAGTACGACTTTACTCTACGAAGAGGACAGCGTGTACTCAATGGAAGGAGAAGAACGAGAAGTAATATTGTAGCAGACTATAAGCTTAAATAAAAGTTAAATAAACCTCTCTTTTTCTTTTCATTTTTGACATAACATCAACCAGGTTTCCTTGTCCATTGCAAGTATTGGATTGCAAGCGCGTAGCCAGGATTTCATTTTAGGGGGGGCGGTAATGAGCATGCAAAGCGTGCGATTCACTTACAGAGCGCGCAAAGCGCGCTCCCTAGGGGGGTGGGTGCAGGAAGGGGGGAGTTTCCCCCCTCCCATGCGAAGCTTTGAAAGAAGAATATTCGTTGTACCTTTCTCGACTCATAATCCTTGTCTGAATTCAGTCCCTCCCCCGTCTCGCGCGAAGCTTTGACGTTTCATCAAAATATTAGAGAAAAGTGACGATTCGTTGTACCTAATTTCCCGACTCTTAATCCTTATCTGTATTAATTCCCCCTCCCGCGCGAAGCGCGGAAGCTTTGAAAGAAGACGATTCGTTGTCCTTTTCTCGACTCATAATCCTTGTCTGAATTTAGTCCCTCCCCCCTCTCACGCGAAGGTTTGACGTTTTATTAAATTATTAGAGAAAGAAGACGATTCGTTGTACCTTTCTCAACTCTTAATTATTGTCTGAATTCTGTTCCCCCCCCCCCTCTCATGCAAAGTTTTGACGTTTCATTAAATTATAAGAGAAAGAAGACGATTCGTTGTAACTTTCCCGACCCTAATCCTAAATTTGAACTCAGTTCCCCCTTACCGCGCGAAAGCTTTGATGATTCGTTGTACCGTTCGTGACTCCTTTTCCCTTTTTCTTCCAACGTCCTCTTTTTTTTTCTCCTCTTTCTCCCTCATTTTTTTTGGTCGGCGTTTTTTTTGGGGGCGACTGCCCCCACCGCCCCCCCCCCCCCTGGCTACGCGCCTGTTGGATTATAAAAACTCTGCTCAGGAATTTAATCCTAAATATTTAAGATTTCATAAAACAAAATCATAAAATATTAAATTCCCTTAGTTAAATATATTAATAAAATTGATTTTAATTGCCAATTAAATTGTGATGCTTTGTTAATTTAACGTCCAATCAAACTTTTAATCATTACTGTCAGTCTGCTTCATTTACCAATGCATACCTTTTCTGGTAAGTTGACAGAGTCAAACCAAGCAGACAAATAGCGGTAGTGATCAACAAATCGATACGAATGGTTGGCAAGCTTGTTGGAACGTCCCTGTCCAATAAGATCTGGAGCGAGACATCGAGCGATGGGTTCTACTTGGGGCATCACATTCCTCCAAAGATAAGAAGATGTCGGGTTGCCGTGAAGAAAGACTACTGCATGCTTGCTGCTGCTATTTTGAGGATCCGAATCATAGTATGACATTTTCTCACCCAAAACGTCGACTTTCTTGCACTTTCCCCACCATTCATCTGCCGTTACGAGGGGTATCGTTGACTGGTTGCGCGACCCCATAGCTGCGGCGGGCCTTGCGACTAGCTGTCCGCTAGAGGCAGGTCCATATTGTAAATGACCCACGACAGTCTGTAGTCTTCCAATAGAACGGAACGCCATTTTTCCAAACATGATTCAGCTAATATAATATCAGGAAATCTGAATATCCAGGGTATGAAAAAAAATCTAACAGAAGACAGTCCCTGCAATATCTTCGTTGTTTACATTACGGTCAATGTCCAAACTGTAAGGTATCTTAGAGCTAAAAATAAAAGGCAAAAGGGTATACCGGATTATAAATTGGCATCTAACAGTGCAGTGTGTCGTTTCTCGAAATCCAAATATAAGTTGATTCCTGTTAATGTGCAGGGCTACATATAACTCATATTTTTGTATTCAAACATCTAAATATATTTCATAGATTTTAAAACATTTTTTTAAATATTTTCACAGACCTGCTATATAAGCTCCACTCCATCTTGTGAAATCATCTGGCAATCATAAGTGCGCTAACAAGAGACATTGGTATGTAACTTCCCCCAGCTCATCACATGCTCACAAAAAAATGCATTCTTAATTCATACAATACCTCCAATACCTTTCTTTTCCTGATGATGCTACAGCACGTCTGACATAGCAACTCCTATGTTGGTAAATTGGTATTATGGTCTATTGTAAACAGGTGGTCAGCTCTGGTGTTATTCTTTAGTAGATACCTGAAGCATTCAAGTGCATGGTTTCAACACACTGTTGTTTTCCCCGGTGTCATTATTATGATTATGATGATGACGATGATATTGTCATCATCATGATCCGAATTATTATTGTTATCATTATTATCATCATTATTGTTGTTATTATTATCATTATCATTGATATTATTATCATTATTACTACTATCATTATCATTATCATCATCATCATCTTCATCATTCAATTCATTTCAATTCAATTCAAAATGGTTTATTTCAAATAAAACTTTTATCGCGGCGTTAAGCCGAATTACAATAGTTTACAAACAAAATTAATAACACATAATGTAAAATATAACATAGCGTAACATGATATATTGAATCTGAAAAATAAATCAGTATAACTATGAGAAATTTAGCTTATCGCAACATATGGGAACACAAGTTAGAAAGAAATCAGAATTTAATAGCATAAAGTAATCATCATCATCATCCTCATTAAAGTTAGTATTAGCATTTTTGTTAACCTTTGGTAGCCTCGTCAAAAATGGGGGACCTGTAATTATCTTTACCCTCAATATTGCCAGGTACCCATTTAGTACACCTAGGTCAAGAGGGACTATATGGGTAAAAACACCGTTAAAGGATTCAACCCTGAACATCATCGTATGAGAGTCGGGAGCCTCCACACGTATGCCAGAGTAGCGACTTGTAGATTTGCACGTCAACATAGTGGACTACGTCACACGTAGCAGTCCACTGTGTCGACGTGCAAATCTAAAAGTCCCCATTGCTCCACGGTAACGAGAGAACGTAGCAGGCCAAGACCTCTCACCCTCTCTCTCTCTCTCTCTCTCTCTCTCTCTCTCTCTCTCACTCTCTATCAGCCCTCTCTCTCAGCCCTCTCTCTCTGTCTCTCTATCTCTCTCTCTCTCTCTATCTCTTTCAGTTTCCGTATAATATAATGTCTGTCTTTGTATATATCTCTGTCTGTTTGTGTGTCTACCTGTATGTCTCTGTCTCTACTCCCCTCTCAATCTCTTTTCTCTGTCTACCTATTTTTCTCTCTGCACCGTCTCTATTCTCGATATCCGCCCATCTCTCTTTCTCTTTCTCTCCCTCTTTCTCTCCCTCTTTTCCTCCCTCTCTCTCTCCCCCTCTCTCTCTCTCTCTCTTGCAATGTCTGTAGTATGTATGGAAGTGTCTATTTCTGTGTCTGTCTCTGTCTCTATCTCTCTCTGTGCCTATCTGTCTGTCTGCCTCTGTCTGTCTACCTATACCCGTCTTTATGTTCGATCCCCGCCCCCACTCTGTTTCTCTCTCTCTCTCTTCCACTTTCTCTCTCTCTCTCTCTCTCTTTATCTCTCTCTCTCTCTCTCTCTCTCTCTCTACATATACATATATATATATATAAATATATATCTTGCTCTCAATTTATCTATCTATATATTCGCCCTTTTGTAACCATAGAAAAACGAAACTAAAACTTGTTATGTACATAATTATGCTAGGAGTAATAATTCTTCAGGAGCACACTTCGATCCTAGCTCCCTCCCGTCCAGGCACCTGATTATTCATATCTAGATATCCCATACTGCATGGCACACCTGAACAATGTTCCCACTTAAGTACAATTGTATGCAAACCGAAATTTGGAACAGGTTCAATATATTTGATACGGCGTCGAGTTTATATAGTCAGGCTCGGCAAGATGGCGTTCCGTTCTATTGGAAGTCGTCTGCAAACCATGTTGGGGCATAAACATATTGCTAGCGTACATCTAGTTGCCAGAGTGGTCTCGCGTTTTCAGTCCACGATACCTCTCGTGACGGCTGATGAATGGTGGGGGAAGTGCCAGAAAGTCGATGTTTTGGGTGAGAAGATGTCATATTACGACTCGGATACCAAAGACAGCAGTACTAGTAAACACGCAGTGATATTCCTGCACGGCAACCCGACATCTTCGTATCTTTGGAGGAATATCATACCACGCGTAGAACCAATCGCTCGATGTCTCGCTCCAGATCTCATTGGACAAGGACGTTCTAACAAGCTTGCCGACCATTCGTACCGATTTGTTGATCACTACCGCTATTTGTCTGCTTGGTTTGACTCTGTCAACTTACCAGAAAAGGTATTACAGAAGAAGAAAAAAAATCGTTTCAATGCTTTATATCTATGACATGTACCCTGAAATAAACGATAGAAGTTATGTTTACAGCCTTTTGCTTCAATGTTTTGATATGAGATTTGAAATTGCACGTACTGAATCCTGGCTATACCGGGACACTGCTCCCTCGGATCCATTAATGGTGTCAAAGGGGGGTGGGCGGAATGAAAAGAGTAGATACAGATTATAGGGCCCCTCCTATTTTCCTAATCCAAGAACATGTAACTTCGTGCCCATAGTATGTCCGGGCTCCTGGTTTTGACTTGTGACAATGATATATATCTTATATTATAAGTGGGAAATCAATCAATTATTGAAACCGCTCCCGATTTCTAATTGTTGTAATTAAAAGCGAATACGAAAAGTTCACGTGATCTCTATTTTTCAGGTGACCATAGTGTGCCATGATTGGGGTTCAGGCCTGGGCTTCCACTGGTCGAATGAGCATAGAGATCGACTTGAAGGTCAGTATTAAAGTTATTAGAATTATTATTTATTCGGCAAAAGTAAAGCAAATCCTTAATAATAATAATAATAATCCGGTTTTTTTATATAGCGCTCAATACACCGATCCAACGATGTACCTAAGCGCTTTACAGATATATTATTACCCCGGTCATCGGATTCAGGCTTACCCGCACACAATGTGTGCACATTTTCCACTCCCTGGGGAGCATTCCAGCCAGTCGCCATTTTACAGGCGCACACTTGCTCGTTCAACCACATGAACGTTCGCATCCTACCGAATACATAACAAGAGTACATTTGGAAAAGAGTCATATGGATGCCAAAAAAAGATTAAAAAATTAACTTAAAGGGGCATGTTCCCCGTATTCCAAAGCAGTGGCGGATCCAGTGGGGGGGGGGGGGGGGCTGGGGGCCCGGCCTCCCCCCCCCCCCCCTCCCTGGGAAAAAAAACGTGATTTTTACCCTTTTTGGGGGGGGGGTGCAAATTTTTTAATTTTCGAGGGCTAAGAAAAAAAATATGCTCACTACCCCCACCCCCCCCCCCCCCCCCCACTGAGCGACTTTACGGCCGGCGCGATATTCAAATTTTCGGGAGCAAAACAAAACAAAAAGTTGGGCCCCCTCCCCTAAGAAATCCTGGATCGGCGCCTGTTCCAAAGGGCGCTCAAAATACGTACGCGCTGGCGGACGGCGCTATAGCTGCCTATTGACACCAACAGAATACGGCTCTTACGCAGATGGCATGTTCCGATAACTTCCCTGGTGGGAACGTGCCCATTTAATAACTGTAACCCGAAGGTCTTCTTTTCCAATCCACGTGACTCTACAGAAATTGTAACAATAAAATGGTGAGGTGTAACAATTTATAAATCACTGTCTAATCAACAATAATAATCATTGACAAGATAAAATTATTTTAAAATAAGAAGAATTCAAACTTAACCCCTCCGCCCCCGACAAAAAAAAATACTCTAGCCCGATGAGGGACTTGAACCCGCGACCCTCTGATTAAAAGTCAGATGCTCTACCGACTGAGCAAACCGGGCTTCGGTGTAGGTGCGTTTTACTAAATTTCTTTAGCGTCTTTGAAACTTGAAAGGGGTATATTACATGTTTACACATCCCCTCCGTATTCTTGGATACGCGAGTACCTACCTGGCTACCTGGCTGCCGCCGTCAGTTGATGGCGATTGGCGACCACATCTGCACATCTTCTTGTTGTCTTTCTCCATTTGTTTCTATCCTGTGCTAATCTTTTGGCTTTTGAATATGTGAGACCTGTCCATTCTTTGATGTTATCAAACCACTGCTTTCTCTGCCTGCCTTTTTTTCTTTTTCCTTCTACTTGGCTTTCTATTTTGGGTACGCGAGCATGTTTTCGTTAGTCTGCGACTGCATTCATTCATAACAGCACCTTTTTTCTTTTCTTTTTTTTAAACTTTACTTTCGCACCAACATAAATTAAATATACTTGTATGCTAGTAAGGGAGCAAAGCACACAAGTATACATGTATATACTTTTTGTGAAACTTTGCAAATTAGGTGAGACTGCACTTTAGAGCACTTCAGAATAATTGTGTTGTAGCCTTGTACTCATTATTTGCTGTACATGTATATTTGAATATATGCACTTATTGCATTATTCAACGCTCCCCCCCCCCGGATTTCCGCCCCTGAAAGTAGTTATGAATGATTGAGATTGTGTACCTTTTTTTTCTATAGGTCTAGTCCACATGGAGAGTATTATACAACCCCTCCCGGGATGGGAGCTCTTCGACGACACTATGCGGGAGGTCTTCCAGGGATTTCGCTCTGAGGCCGGTGAAGAGATGGTCCTGAAGCAGAATATCTTCGTGGAACAGATCCTCCCTTTCGCCATCATCCGGAAACTACGACAGGAGGAGATGGACGCCTATCGTGAGCCCTTCAAGAACCCCGGAGAGGACCGACGCCCCACCCTAACCTGGCCCCGCGAGATCCCAATCATGGGTGATGGTCCGGATGACATGATCGTAAGAGCGACAGCCTACAGTGCCTTCCTCAAGGAGTCTGCCGATCTGCCCAAACTCTGCGTCCACGCCACTCCCGGGTTCTTCAGTGACTGGATCGAGAAGACCACCAAGAACTGGCCCAATCACAAGATGGTCAAATGTGAAGGGCATCATTTCCTCCAAGAAGAATCCCCCATCCAGATCGGGGATTACATCCGTGAGTTCTTGTCTGGTATCTACAAGTAGATAGATCGTCTAGCTTCCCTCTACTATCATATCTGCAGTAGTTGGAAGCATGATGCCATATTCCTTTACACGTTCTCCTGCTCCTATATATGTAAAGATACGGTAGAAAAATCAGTTGAAACTCGAAACCTTTCACACTGCTCCTGGAACTCTGAAATGATTGCCCGTATACAAATTTGCTCGGTTTGTCGGTTGTCATGATACGTACATAAAGTCAAACAAAAAGGGGCGGTGTGGCATGCGGAGGCGAATTTTCATATACATAAATGACGTAACAAAACAATATATAATAAATTGATAATGGCTAATTGGAAAGAAAAATAAATCAATGGAAAATAATGAGAAGTCCTTAAATCAGTTGATAGGTGGGTATAATTCTCAATTCAATTTTAAATCCATTTCAATTTTATTTTAAAATTCATGCCACTTTCATAATATTGCAATGATGCGTAATATAAATCAAAGCACGTTTCAGATAGAATTGTGACATACTTTGAAAGGAGTATAACAGCTCCAAAGGAAAGCTCTTATAGGAGGAAAACTCATATTTTGCACGGTATGTAACATGGGTAACCATGGTAACTATTCCTATGAAATGTTGACACAAGGTCGGTTATGTCATTATACAAATAAAACGCAAAATATGGGACCTGAGCCTTTTCTCTTTCATTTAGTTCAGTAACTCATACACTATAAACGTATTTCCATGCTTCACCTAAATATTCAATGATGTTTTCATGTGATGATTTTAGGCTTGAGTAGAGACGCCTTTCGGTGTTATTTAACATTTATCACACCAATATAAAAAAAAAATCTTCCTTTAATTGATACAATTTGTTCACTGCCGTTTCTTCTTATTACTACATCATTGCTATCCCTATTATCTAGAAATTACATATACTTGTATTACGCTGTGTACTTGGTATCTATTTTATATAATTGTTTGGTCGAGGCCTATGTTGCTGCTAATGGAGCTCTCACACTCTGCCGTGTAGGCCTACCGTCCACCTGCCGGGCTTTTAAAAAACAACAGAGTCCAGAACGTTGGGTTTTGAGCGAGCTTGTTCATAAAATTAATCTTTTCACCGTTTCGTTGCCATCTTCTGGCCGTTTCCATACCGGGCCCATACCGGGTCTCGAACGTGTGCACCGGGTTTGTAGCAGCCACCTACCAGTCACTTAGCGTCCCCTCACCGCTCGAAACGTCCTGTGAGCGAGTCCCCGGACTGCTGACGTCATGACAAGAAAAAGTAAAGCTCATCTGACAAAACCCCTCTATATATACCCAATATTTAGTGACAAACGGTGGCACACGGTGACAAAAGTAAATTTGTTGGTAATGGCACGTTCATATGACGCTACTGTGAAGGTAAAGACACGTTATGGACCCGTTATATGACGTTATGGGAACGTCAAGGCGTTAACAGGATGTTAAGGGAGGCGGCGCCGTCAGAATCAGGCGGTACCGCTTTGGAAACACCCGTTGGCAGTCCGGTATGAACACTGTAATGAGGACGGTATGAATACGTTATGAAGACGGTGGCACGGTATCAACACGTATATGACACGTTCACAACCCTCTTACAACCCGTTGCAGACGGTGGATTTTTTTTTGCCCGTTCATCACCGTTCTGTAACGGGTTATGAGCGTGTTGTGAACGTGTTCATACAGTGTGACCGTTTTCATAACGTATTCATACCGTCCTCATACCGTTCAACACCGTCCTCTTGCCGCTTACTTGCAGCCGGTGCCAGCCGGCCAAAGTTTTGAACATGCCCAAAACTTTCGCCGGGTCCCACCGGGTGTAAATAAGCGCCAACGCCCTATTAACGTGTTGCCCGCTTTGATAACGAACCACCGTGTGCCCTCGCCGTTCTCTACCGTCCGCAGACATTTTCGCGCACGGTGGCACACGGTAGGCCTACACGGCAGAGTGTGAGAGTCACTTAAGATATTTCTTGTTCTATTTTTATCTTCGTTTTCTAACTGATTATACTACACTTGTCAATATAATTTTCGTAGATCCACTTTTCCATCGATGTATTTTTTATCAAGATGTATGCATATCTTCCTCTTCCTCTTTCCGTTTTTCCTAATGTTTTCCCATATGTTGTTTCTATTTTTAACGTTTGTATTCAACTGCAGTTTTTCTTGTAAATACTCTTATTGTCAGTTCTTAAATTTGTATTTTCCTTCTCTATGCAGGATCATTATGTAAAACAGCCTGCGAGCTGATCAATGTTATCCTGTTAAAAGATTTTTTATTAAATAAATTGATAAATTTACAACACCTCACCCCTTTCCAGATGCAAGGCCTATACGTCACTGATCACAAAATTTTGAAATTTTTTGTTTTGCTTTTCAATATAAGGTCATCTTTTCTCATGTCATATGTTAATTGTCTTTATATTTTACAGTCTGCTTATGAAAAACGATACTGGCAAAATGTTGATCGCATTAAATCCCGCCATTTAATAAACTAACACGAATTACGGACTAGAGAGTGTAATTATTGGAATGCATACTTAGTTGTCTTGTGAAACCGAATAGTAAAACGTAGAAAAGAAGAATAAAAAAAGGATGATACTCGAGAAAAAAATTGGCCTCGTAAAATCCCGCCACTAAGTCAACACGGGCAAAATTATCGGGGAATATGAGATGTGTTTTAACAATCATTTAGATCCATTATTATCTGCAACCAAGACAGAAAAGAAAGACTTACTTTATGTTTCTAAATATGTCTAATTGTAGATGTTGGTATACATCTCGTCTCTTTTAATTACGAAGACGTTATGGGTGTGTTTTATACTCTGTTTCACCAATTTAAATTGTAAATATCGTCCTCTATTTCCCCCTCTCCCCCCCCCCCCCCCCCCTCTCTCTCTCTCTCTCCCTCTCTGTCTCGGTCTCTGTCTCTGTGTCTCTCTCCCCTTCCCCCCCCCCTCTCTCTCTTTCGCCCTCTCTCTTTTTGTCTGTCTATCTGTCTTTCTCTGTCTTTTTTCATTCTCTCCTCTATCGTTTAACTCTCATTTCTCCGTTATCCTTTCCCCTTTTTCTCTCTCTCAACTCCATCTTCCCTTCTACAAAATTCTAAAGAAAGCTTCTAAAAGTTTCCACAATTCCCATATTTGATCACTTAATCGAAAGTGCGTTAATGTAAGCACAAAACTAACTTTATAGAGCATGTACAATGCACTGTGCAAGAAAGTTCTACTGTATACTCGAAGCCACACACATTATATCTTAATAGATACACGAACAAACTAACTCCCAAAATGCATAAAAAAGAAATTGCCATTACCTTATATTTGAAATAAAATTACATCATTGATTTAACAAAGACAACATATGTTTGCGATACAGGTATATAGAAATTTAGCATTTTGTTTCATTAGCGTAGGATAATAGATATACTTTGAAATTGAAATGATTTCATTCGATATTAAAACAAAACAGAATGTAAAATAAAACAAATATACAAGTTAAAGGAACGTGAGAGAGCAAGCAATAAAAACAAAAACAAATATATTGGATCAATAAAGAATTCAAATATCAAGCAGAGATACTTAAGTTGAAATTGAAATGATTATCACAAAATAAATTACAGTCTACGAGTGTTTTGGTTCTCATTTACTATTTTTATTGTAAGGTATTGCTACTCTATGCAGTTGACGACTAAATTGTTCATACCATCACCAAGTTTTGTAATTTCTCAAGTATGTGTAAAATTGATTTGTCCCGATTTATATTTCTTGAGAATGTGACAATTAAAACTTACTTCTAAAAGTATTCAAGATATTCCTCAATTCAACAAGTCCAAGTTTCATTTATGATTTAATACAATAAACAAACTTCTTTTTTTTTTGTAAATACAAGGGGTATGGATATATTGCTAACTGTATGTCCTTGGGCCGGCCTCCTAAAAAGTAAAATGGGGACATGTCAGAGAAAAAATGACAGAAGTAAAATATCTGAGATCATAATATCATAGTTTAAAAAGATAATTTTTCGAAAGAAACAAGATGGTCCAATACTCTCAAAAATTCTGACAAGAAAGGAAAGAGAGAAATGAAGAAGAAGTAGGAGGAGGAAGAAGAGGAGGAGAGGAAGAGAAAAAGAGTATGTCATTAGATTTTGGGATATTAATTTCCACAACAAGAAGGACAAATCGGGGTCTTGGTTGCCCATCCGCCTTTGTATGTTAGAATGTATGTAATTTATATATTAAGTACAATTGTTGCATTACTACACCCTCTAAAAAACTCAGATCTGCCCCTGGTGTATAATTATGATCCGTCTACTTAAAGATACTTGATAGGAATTCCTTGATGTAATCACCAGTTTGGATGGGTGAATCTTCCTGAAAGAAATGCGACCCTTCAACCTGGACTACCTTATGATTTGGCCAATCCTTCGTGATCCCCGTGTTCCATTCACTGAATATTCCAGGAGTTGGGAGGATGCGAAACTTTGGGAGATCCTCAGTCCCCTTGATCCAGGCGTGGTAGGCCGTAACTATGGCGACCGTTTCCTCTGGGCCCTCTCCCTGGATGGGGATTTGACGGGGGAAGGTGAGCAGAGGGCGTCTGTCCTCACCAGGGTTCTTGAATGGCTCCCGGTAAGCGTCCATCTCCTCCTGGCGAAGCTTCCTCTTGATGGCGAGCGGGAGGATGGTTTCTATGAACATGTTCTTCTTCAGGATCATCTCTTCGCCGGCATCCGAGCGCAACGCCAGGAAGATGTCCCGCATAGAGTCGGGGAAGATGTCCCAAGTCATTGGCTGGTAGACGCCTTCCATGTGGACGATAGCTAAAAAAATTGTGAAAAATCATACTTTTTAAGTGCACCCAAAAAATGTGCCCTTCTTTTTGTCCGAGAGGGTATCTGAAAATTTGAAAAACATCTTTTGATATATGTCCGATATTTTTTAAATTAGAAAGTACCTTAAAATATAATATCCTTTCTACAATTTTGTGCTTGTCAAACAAAATAAATCATAGTGTACCCACTGTACCCCCTCTGTTTTGAACAGTCTTGGAGTCACCCTGGACTGCGTGTGTAGGTAGGGGAATGGGAAGGCAAATAGGAGCAAGTGGGGATATATATTACCAACTAACACTGAAACAGACTGTGAGGGCGGGCAGGGCCCAAAGAGCATTGACCATCTACTGAGCTGTGACATGCTAAATGACGCATGCATTGAGAGGAACTTGACAGATGCTAACGACGTGCTTTTTACTTCTGCAAGATATTGGAAAACAATGGTGTGACGACTGGCAATGATGGTGTTCCTGGACTAAACATCAGGGAATACAATGAATTATAACAAACAACTCTCTAGCCAGTTCCATTGACAGTGGGGCCATTAAGGCATATTTACATACTTGCAGAGGTGTCGTGGTATAGTGGTTCACTTGTTCATTCACTTGACTCTCAAGCCAAGGGTTGAGGGTTCGAATCCAGCCTGGCATTAACGCCTTTTTCAAAACGTTATTCCACATTCAGTGCCACTCTCAACCCAAGTGTAAACGGAAACATGGCAATTCCTGGGGTAATAATAATTATATACCTCACTTAAGAAATCCAGCCATCTGATTGGTCGAATTGCATTCATAAACTTCAACTGTTCCTGTAAAATTCCCGGTAACCATGCTTAAAACATTTCAATATTTTTAATAACCATGGTTATTAAAAAAATAGGTCAGTCTCCATGGTTACCCCATAGGTTTACATGTTAAAAATGGTTTGAGCGATGGAGGATACCATACGTGTGCGAAAAATTGGTCGGCAATTTCAATACAAT